TCGTTGTCCTCGTCGTCGATTCCGAACTGGACATCTAGACAGCGGGCCACCGCGATGCGGTAATTATCGGAGAAACTGGGGCTACACTTTCTAAAAGCCTCTCGCGCGATATGAAAACGAGAATTTTCGTCCAGCAGCTCCAATGATTCCCAGCCGGCACCATAGGAGCGGACCAAAGAACGTATTGAGGTTGCCTGGTATATCTCGATGAGCAGGATAGCCAACATGACGAGGCCGGGACGTGGATGCAATGGGAGGTCATCAGGGTCGCGACACTCCTCATCGTCCGACTGATCATCACCATGAAAACGTGCCCAGACCCTGGAATGGATGAAGGGCTGCAAAGGCACGGAGGCGGAGGTGCCGAGGAAGATGACATTGGACGAATTGAATGAACCCGGTCGCAGCCAAGGAGTTCCATACAGATGCAGGACGCAATGCCCCAGCAGGACTGCTAACACCCGTTTGATTCTATCTCCCAAGCTCTTCGGGTGGGCTTCCAGAATTTGCTCGAGACGGACGGGGATAGTCTTCAGCTGCATCTGGCTGTCTGCGGATTTGAACTTCCGGGGTTTCCCATTCTCCACTTCCATGTTGAGGCAGCGGCGGAAGTGCTGGGGGCTAACATGGTCGCATAGCTTGTTGATTAGAATGGAGGTCTCCCCCCGCCTCTTCCTCGGTGTGCTTTCCTTGACCGCAATGCGTACCTTTGAGGTCTTTTCCGGTATCGCGGCGTGAATCACTACCTCTTGCCAGTACGATTCATTCGGGCTAAGCATGAGGCTAAACACACATTTCTGCTCCAACGGCCGCCGGCTGCGGTAAGTCGCCAGCCGCAGTCGCGCGGTATAGGTGTGGCACGGCAGGCAGTGACACGCCTGGGCACTGGCTAGGAGCGCATCGAAGACCAGGTTTGCTTCCACGTGCACGGAAGTGGGTATTGAGACATTGACCCTTGCGATGGGAGGCCGTGACTCCCCGACGGCATCGGGGCCGGGCGCATCAAGCGCATCCGCGCATTCTTCCAGAAAGAGGGCTACCTCATCCCACAACTGTTTGGTCTCCCAGGCGAGGTTTGTTCTGCTGTATGCGATCTTCTCCGACCAGGACGTCAAACGGCCCCATCCGGCCTGTACATCCGCCAGCCTCTGTAGTGCTCCGGCCGGGGATTGTAGACTATTCTTGACCGGTGGACGAAGCAAAGAGGTGAATCGCTTGAGGAGTAGCCAGGCCAGCGGGGCCAAGGCGATTGACTTGGACGGAAAGTGTGAAGACTCGACCTGCTCGTTCAGGAGGAGAATTTGAACATGAAGGTAGCGGTAGCTTTGTCGGAGATTTCGATCTTGTTCGCAACTCGTCAGACAATCGGCGATCTCCCGGAAAAGGACGAAAGTTTCCAGGAGGGAAGAGACTCTCGACCGCGCTTGCTGTGGCTTGTGCATGAGTACTGCGCATTTCACACAGGTGTGAAGAATGGAGAGATCTCACCAAGACAGCGAAATCGTTCTCGCCGTAAGTCGATACGAGTTCCATTTTGCATGCTCTCTAAATGATATGCCTGGCTTGAAAGGTGCACTGGTGAGCAACATTTAACTGATTGGGCTCACTTGTGAGCGATAATGCCGATAATTCAAGCCATAGCATCGACTTGTGGTGAATAGGTCTAGCATATATCACAGTGATGGGTAAGAGATGTGGATGGAAGATCGGAGAATGGAAGATGTGAACTGGCCGGGCGCTAAAGAGAGGGGTAAAACCGGACCATTGCCTTGCGGCCTTGCAGCCTTGCAGAAGTCATCCCCGCATATCCTGAACTGCATCCTACCTTTCCTTCCTCTGCAATCCCAGAGTGACTTCCCTCGGTCGATATCATGGAAAACGAGCAGTCATATGTATCAATCACCACAGCAGCAAGGATATTTCTAGACTCAGCACAGCAATGCATTCAGCAGCCAGTCAACCTGGGGCCCCGGGAGATCATGCTTCTTCAGGATCAGCTCGGACGGTTTTCAATATGGGCTTCAGAAACAGGAGTCTTCGCCCCGCGCAGAGCCTCCTTGGACCATCGCCTTCGTTATGTACCCGAGATCCAACGTTTGGTGCGGGGATTACTGGAGACATTGGACGATCATCTGCACCACTGTGAGTAGGCAGACTGCTTCTCAATCCGTATTGCGCTCTTCATCCTTTAACGACGGTCTGCGCTGCCAGATCTATCGCAACAGAATGAGGAACGGGATCTATCGGCCATAGCAAAGGACCTGACACTGCTACATCGACTGTCGAACACGATTCGGAGAGCCAGCCGCGAAAGCCAAAACTTGCGGGCCGCAGAGCACTTTCGGATTGAGGACGAGGAGGGTGCCGATGTCGGGGCGGCGTGGCGGGATACCTTTGCCGCCGAGGTCATTCAAAGGAAGTGGCCGACCTGTGATGACTGGCTCAGGGAGAGACTGGCATCAGCAATGTTGCTGCGTAGGAAGCGTGTGCTATATCGACGATTTCGTCATGACAAGGCGAGAATGGACCAGTCGGTACCCGGGCGAGACGCCGAGGATCAAGGTCAGAAGCCGGAGGCGGACCACGAGCATGTTAAAAAACGAGAAACAACGTCCGCTCGCAGTGCTTCGGGATCGAGGGCCACCACCTCAGCGACTACGCTGACTCCCGAGCAGTTTAGAAAGGCATCTGCCCCCTCGGTCCTTGGGACCACAAGGACCACCCGCATGAACACCCACGAAGAGTCTCTCTATCCTCCCGCGCCAAAAGGTGAGATCATCGAGCGGCTTGAGACTCTAGAGAAAAAGCGGAGCACATCCATCGAGGATGGCGGTCAGCACTCGAGTAGCCAGGATGCGGAGCTTGGCCGAAGAGAGAATATCATTGCAGATAGGTACGCGATCTTGAGAAACTCGGAGGTCGTCTGTCCTTATTGCTGTTGCACCCTCTCGGGGGCGGATGTGATGGACGATCGTAAATGGAGGTGAGTAGTGGTGGCTGCATTGAAAACAGGACAACAAGATTAATTCTTCTCGGCCCATCAGGAATCATCTCAAACACGATCTAGACGCATATGTCTGCCTGTTCGAAGAATGCGCCACGGAAACGATATTGTATAGTCACAGTGAGGAATGGCTCAACCACCTGCGCGAGCACAAGGTTCGATGGCGCTGCACAGCTAAGGCTCATGGGATCCTGATCTTCGAGGACCAAGCCGACTATTTGGACCATATCCGGAACAAGCACAAGGGATCGGAGTCTCAGCTGCGCTACCTGACCGAACGTGGTAGCCAGCCGTCTGGACCGCTCTTTGTAACCTGCCCACTATGCAGCGTTGAGGCCGCTAAGTTGAGTATTCCTGTTGAAGACCATATTGCAAGTCATCTCCGATATCTAGCTCTTCAGTCGCTGCCGTTCGTGGAATATAACGCTCAAGCTTCTGGAGAGGATGGGTCACTGCCATCAAGCGACGGCGAAAGAGGAAGCCGCAGCACACTCGATGATGATTTCGATGGTGACCTTTCGTTCGACTCGGCGGATGAGCTCCATAACCCATTCGATTCGCTTCATGATGAAGTGCCTTCTTTTGCTGCTGATTCTCGACCTAAGCGAGATGTCCCACTGTTTGCGGAGTTACAACAATTATTTGAGACAATGGAGAAAAATCAATTATCCGCTTCCAAAAGCTCTTTGAGCGAAAGTAAAGCTGAGCAAGTCGACATCAATAGAACAATCGATGCATCTAATGACCCAGCTCAGTCATATCCATCATCGCCTCCTGCAAGTCTAGATATGACGTCCAGCGATTCCGCCAAGGGTGAGTTAATTGCTAGCTTGGAAAAGTTCATGATGGAAGAAAGGGCTGGAAGACCCGGGCGAGAGGAAACTGCTTCAAGGCTTCTACGAGCGACAGCCGAAGAAGACACGACTTCAGAAACCAGGAAATCCAGCGCCACCGGCTTGCTGGAAGCCGCGCGAAAGGAGGCTTCAGACAGCCCAGACCGCAAAAGGTCGACTGTCGAATTCAGGGATGCAGTAGGGAGGAGACTCTCGTTTCCATTTGACGCATGTCGCACGTGGGAGGTAGGAGAATCCAATCCCATCTGTATGTTCTTCGCTGATCGGAATCCGGTTCAGGGCATGGAAAGTCTCATAAGACAGTCCTTTTTATACATGGAGGAGTTAGAGTCTCACGTTGCGGCAGGGCATTATGATTTGGTCGGTCCCAATGGAGATATCATTCTACCTCAAATCTGGGAATCTTCAATTCAACCAGGTTGGGTTATCACCATGCATATGTGGCCACTTTCAGGAAGGCCAGTCACGCCTTCGTCACCAGTTGAACCCTCGGTTCCACCAGTCACCACGGCGGTTTCGATAGAGTCCATGAGCCCAGAGGCCGCAGGTAAGTCTTTTCTCTGATAAGTTGCCGACGGCCTTTTGTGCATCGAAGCAAATGAGTAAGGCGGCCTATTAACAATAAGCAGGGCACGAAATGCCGACGCCACAGGCGCCCGATCCTGAGCCATTCGCAATGTGGAAGGTTGGGGGCAATAGATTGAGGTCAAAGAAGGCTGCCAAGGGAAAGAAATATTGACCTCGCCGTACTTCTGGCACCTATGAGAAGGACATGTTTTGTTCTCAACGGAGAATAGCATCGCGCCAGAGGTAGAGGGCTGGGGTTAGCGATTCCATCCACAATTGTCGCCCCCATGATCAAGGAACAGTCATGACAGAGTCTACACCCTGGCAGAACATCTGTACCTTGGCATCTACTGGCCAGGACGCGAGGGGGCTAGATACGGAATGTCATGAGGGAGAAGAAGCCGGTGCGAGGGTGATTGAGGCAACTAATCTACTAGCCACCATCCAGCCATAATGCGTTTAATCTGACGAGAGAAATGGTATCAACCAGCTGGCGATATTCGTTTTTCAGCTACTGCATACTAAACCATTCTAGTGCCAACCTACACTTGTATATTCTAGTCAACCCTATAGAGTCACACCAGGGCAACACCACTCGGCAAGCCAAAGACCTGAGTATCCGCCTCCACCAAACAAGCACCCACCAACGCGTCTCCCTCGGTGAGACACTCCCCGGTCTTCGCATTCCTCAGATTCCCAGAAACCGCATACTCCCACTTCTGGTCCGCCCCTCCCTGGCAAGCCTGCAAGCTCACCTCCCCCGCCGCCGCCGTCAAGCACAGCGCCGTACTCGACAGCGGCCGCAGCGCGCCCTGCGCCGTGACCTGCCAGACCTGCGCATCCAGCGCCTCGCACGTCTCAAACCCAACCCCCTTCCCCTCCCCCTCTCCCGCCCCAGCCGTCAAACACCGCCCAGACGCGGTATTAAACACGATGCCCGTGGGGACCACCTTACACCCATCCGGAACCCTAACCCTCCAGACCCCCGTCGCATGCATCTCCAGCCCCTCCACCACCAAACTGCCCTCCACCCTGACCACACGCCCATCCCAAAGATCCTCCGCCTCATACTCACACCCAGCCTGCAGCCCCAACCTCTCCACTCCAACCCTAATATCCACCGTCTCATTCCCCCGATTCAGCACCGCAACGACCCTCCCGCCATCCACCAACGACCTAGTCAACACATCCACCCCCTCCGCCACCCCCCTCACCGCAAGCGTCGCCTGCAGCCCCAACGCATCCTGATCGACAGCAATCAACCGCTCATTCCGCAACACCTGCACCACCTCCTCCCCCAACCCAGGGATATAGGCACTAATAATCAGCGGCGCGCCCATGACCGCCCACAGCGCAAAATGGCTCTTCTTCTCCGCCAGCGTCAGCCCGAGATGATCGGGGATCAAGAAATCCGGATCATTGAAGTACCCGGGCCGCTGGTAGCGGGCCAGCAGCACGTTGTAATCGTAGTTGTTGAGGATACTGTCCCACGCGCTGCCGGCGCCGGCATAGACCAGGATATCGGTGGAGTGGCGGGCCAGCTCGCCGTAGCGCAGGACCCAGGCCATGACCTTGTACCAGTCCGTGTTGTTCCCGGTGCCCGCGAAGTAGGCGGGGGCGCTTTCGGAGAAGATCAGGGGTTTGCGGTTCTGGGCCTGGGCCGCTTGGGTGCTGAGGATGGTGTGCCAGTTGGCGTAGCGGTGGCGGTATTCCTCCTGCAGGGTGCGGTTCGCAGCGGCGAAGACGTTGCAGCCGTCGAGTTTGAGGTAGTCCATGCCCCATTCGGCGAAGGTGGCCGCGTCCAGGGCTTCGTGGCCGTACGAGCCCGGGTACCCGCCGCAGGTCGCGTTGCCGGCGTCTTGGTAGATGCCCAGCGTGAAGTTGAGCGACCCCAGGTGCGCGGCGAGCCACGGGATCCCCCGCGGGAATTTGGTCGTGTTCCAGCTGAGCGAGCCGTTGGGGAGCCGCGCCGTGTCCATCCAGCAGTCGTCGAGGTTGAGGCGCGTGTAGCCGGCGGCTTGCAGGCCGGTGGTCTGCATGGCGGTGGCGGTGGTGACGAAGAGGGTTTCGTTGAGGTCGCACATGAAGCGCGACCAGTTGTTGAAGCCCATCGGGGGCGTGGGCAGGGTGGTGGGGTTGGTGATTGTGCCGGTTGATGGGGGGGTGAGGAGGAGGAGGGTGAGAAGGAGGGGAGCGGGGGTTAGGGTTACTTGGACTGGGGGACGCATTTTGGTGGGTGTGGTGGGTGCAGTGATGGCTTGCGAGGGTGAATTGGGTGTCTGGGTGGTGGGTGCATCCGGTTATATGCTAAAGACCTGGTCGGGAGACGCTTCCCCGCTCGCCTGCGAGCTGCTGCTGCGCGAATACCACCGTGCCATGTCGGCTGCAGCTTGCACCAAGCTAAGCTATCGCGGTTTTGCTTATCAGGTCGGCAGGGAAGCCCGGCTGGTCGCTGACTGGGGAACAAGGTTCGGCACGGGTCGATTAATCTATTCTGCGGGGGGTGAATCTTATCGCAGCCAAGGGTCGCATACACACCACCACCCTGATTCGCGCTCATGCAAGGACCCTCGACAGCATTCAATCTAGCGAAGTCTATTTATAGCCCCGGCCCTGGTGAAGTGGTAAGTGGTAAATGCAACATGCGTCAGAACGCTGAGTAAGGAGGGTTTCACTGCAGCTGGAATTGCGGGGTCGATGGGATTGATGCAAGGGTGTCTTCCTACCCCTTTGCCCTCGGCCTGCTAGACACCACCCCTATTCTGCAACACGCACAAATCCACTCCACGTAATACATTAAACATTATCGTTTCTTGCAGCCATTAAGCTATCTAGCTACCGCCCGCAACCGCGACCCCCCCTCCGTCGTCTCCAACAGCACCTCCAAACTCCGCGATGCCGCCACCATCGCACTCAGATCCGGACTGCGGCGCATCTGATGCGGCGCCTCCAGGCTCACGTCCGAGAACAGCAGCGCCAGCGGCGACGACTTCCAGATATACTGGTTGCGGGTGCGCACCACCGTCGCCACCAGGAACCCCAGCGTCATGGCCACCAACGCGATCGGCAGCGTCAGCCACGGCCACTGCACGTGCACAAACGAGTCAACCGTCCAGGTCGTGCCGTTCACCGCCGCGGCGCAGACCTCGGTGCGCGCGTGCGTCGTCAGCGCCGTCGCGAGCGAGGTGAATACCCCCGAGACGTCTGTGTAGTTCCCCTGCACCCCGTACAGGGCCTGGATGGTGTCGGAGGTCCAGCTGGGGCGGTTGCTGATGAAGAGGGAGCCGCTCCCTGTCAGGAGTGGGGTGATGGAGTTGGCCAGGGCGAGGCGGCTGAGCCAGCTGACGCTGTAGGTGCAGTGGGCGGTCTGGTTGGAGGTGCAATGGTCCGGGAAGAGGGTGAGGTCGTTCGTTATGTCCGATGCGGCGGTGGAGGAGTTGGAGGTGGTGGCGGTCGAGACCAGGGTTTCGTTAAAGACGCCCTCCTGCACCGAGGCGGAGTAGGTTTTCACGCAGAAGTAGAGGGCGCATTCGGTGGCGCTGATGGTGGGCGGCACGCCGTAGCCTGCGGCGCTGATGGCGGTGAAGTTGAGGATCAGCGGAGGAAGGGTGGAGGCGTCGAGCTTCACCAGGTCTAAGCCGGTCGTCGCGTTCATCAGGTAGATCCCGCCCCAGGAGGTGGAAAAACTGAACCCGTTGGTCAGATTGTAGTGGTAAGTGCTCATTGTGCTGGTCGGGTTCGCGGTCGTTAGGGTTAGCTCGTCGGTGATGTTGGCGCATCGTTGGCACAGCCCGAGGGACTGGTACGGGGCAAAGGTGCAGTTGCCCGTTGGGCAGGTCATGGTCAGGGCTTGGCTGTTTTTTCCGGTGCTCTGGAAGAGCCCTGTGTAGATGGCCCCCGCCGTAGAGAGCGGCACTTTGTTCATGCCAGGTCCTGCCCCTTCGCCGTAGTCCACGTACGAGCTCGTGTTGCACACCCGAATCGAGGACTGGCCCGGCGAGTGAATGGGCTGCGAGGTGATGCTGATGACCTGCTGCACGAAGGGGGCAATTGCTGCCGCTACCACAAGGATGAAGCATCCTACCGTCACCAGATGGCTGTGCATAGGTTAGCTTGATTCTTTCTGGTATTCTGTCGGAGCTCACCGTGGGAGGAAGCGAAACAAGACGAAGACCGCATTGACGGCACCGCGACTGGCAGCGTCCAGCACTGCCAAGTCATTGAGCTTGTTTTGTCGGTTGAACCAGGACCATTTAAGCTGCGACAACCCTTCGGTGATGGGGTAGACCATGGCCGCCTTCATGACCGTCACGAGTAGTGACACCAAGGCGTTGAGGGTGATGCCGTACGGCCAATCCGGCATGGGTTTGCCGTCGTACGTGTGCAGGACGACGATGATGGCTACCAGGGCGCCCACCGCGATAACACAGCTCACGATCTCAAAGACCCAGCCCGCTCCCCATGGGCCAACCGCCCGGGGCTGCAACAGCATGGTTGACAAAGGCCGTTTCCGCGTGGGGTTCGCCTCCCCAGGTTCATCCACTTTGTGGTACCCCAGCTCATACTCCTCCTTGAGATGTCTCATCCTGGCTTGGCTGTTGACTGGGAGCTGGGGAAATGAGAGGTCTGACACCACGTTCGAGTTGACCCAGACATGGCGATGGGCTGGGGAGGGAAATGGAGTCTTCATTTGACTGCTCGTGCCTCTTGGCGCACAAAACCCGCTGTGGCGGCGCGGCAACTCAGTTCCATGGAAAGGGCTCCAGTTTGGGTCCAGTTTGAGGTCATTGTGAGCCAGTTTGAAACATCCTTAACACTTGTTTGGGGTTAGAGGCGAAGACTGGAGCTGAAACAGGAAGTTGATTGGCGTGATTTGCGCGAAGCCGAGTGCAGAATTTCTGCTTCGGGAAATTCTCCTGAAAGTCGGCTTCGGTAAGCTTGCTCATGATTGGTCATGTTTGAAAAAAGGTAAGCACGTGATTTTGGCCTATCCCGAAAAAGGACGATCTGCCCGAGGAGGCGTCCTAAGAAGGAAACTACCATGCTGCAAGTACACTTTGATAGAGTGACTTGGAGGTGTCATTTCCAGTTGAACCTCCCAAGCAAGCTCTTAGTATCGAAACTACCAGACATGAGCTCCTCCCAGTCAAGTATCGAAATATCGATAGTTTGCTGTAAGCTGCGTACACAAACAAGTCCAATGCAGGCGAAAACTCCACAGCAGCCATAGTGCGGAGTGCATCGAGTTGCCTGTCATTAGTGATGGCAGTATGTCTGCAAAAGAATCTGCCTTTGATCACGCGCCAACACAATGAGCAAGTAAACAATGGAAGCTGAAAAGAAAAGGCTCAAGGTAGATTTGGAGTTGTTGTCGAGTTAAGCTTTTCTCTCTAGTCAGTCAGGAGTGTGAGTATGCAGGATGTCTTAGCTTGTGCAGATCTGCGCATACGGGAGCACAAAAAATGTTAGCACTTGCTATTATACCCTCCACCACCTGGTCTTCCTACCAAAGCTGCAATTTGTCTGTGGCTTGGCTAGCAAGATGCCTCCTAGCGATGATCTCAAGGAGTATAAACTGAGGCATATGGACCAAATTCAACAGTGGTTTCAGATTCAGTGTCTGAGCTCGAGCCACAGAGAACAGGCCCCTTGCTTCTAGAGTCTGCGTCCGCCGCGACTTGCATTACCTCTGGCTTAATGAACTAGTCGCTTCAGCGCCCCAGATCTTATCACTGCGGCAGGGGGTTTCATTTCGGAACCGCATAATCAAGAACAAGTTGAGGATCAGATTGGAAAACAATCATCAACCTTTTTGAATCGAGTTTCCTTTCAGACATAGGCCATTTGATTGTGAGGTTGATGAGGTCGATACTCGAGGAAGGGGAAGAAGATAAGACCTGTGGTAGGATGCCTGGTTCAGCTGAGGAGACAGTGACTATTCATGCTTAGCAGAGCTAAGTCGGTCGGGATAAGATTTTTCCTCGCGGTACTCAAGCGATCACAGTCGAAGCAGCCAGTATGTTCCGGGTATTCATCATCCCATTCATCCTCTAGCGCTAAAGGCTGCGCAAGCGTGTTTTGAAGATATGGGCAAACACGGTAGCCTGCGGCCGATTCACCGAATGGCGCAACAGACAAAGCCAGAAGTGGGTTTGTTTAGGCATCATTCAATTGCTAGCAAGTGTCTGAAAAGCTTGACCTGACAAGCACCGGCAGGCCAGTCGATCCGTGGGTTGCTACCCCGCGAGTTTGAGGCTGGAACCTGATTTGGTCAGACCATGGCCAAGTCTCAATCTGATAAATAATTGAGGTTTAGGTTGATTCCTCGGGTTCGCAATGAAAACCTGATTATCTGCAACGGGCGAAATAGTGCCCGTCAATTTGACCGGCCAGTTGCCTACGGGATGGAACCCAAGCAATTTAGGGCTGTCGCCTTGAATTTCACAGGGCCACAGGGTTACTGCGAATAACGCCCTCAGACTCAAGATCCAGCGTCTTGTTCACTCGCGTGGTAAGTGCAGATATGAATGAAACGGTGACCGGCCACGACGAATCGAGACTTGAGGGTGGATAGGCAACGCGTCCCAAACAAGGAATTGGCTGGACGGAGTGGGCCTTAAAGTGGGGAGAAAAGCGGATAGCTTCGTCTGATCTGTCGACTATCGCTTTCGGTTGGTTCCCCTGGCCAGGGGAACCCGGCACTTTTGTGGCCAATTTCCAATTTAACCCCCCTTCTTTTTTTCGATTTGGGTTCTCTGCCACCAACCTTCTTCTTCCCGCCTGACGTCTGTCGGTTGGCCATTCCGTGGCTGAGAAAGGATCATCTCTAGGATGTTCCGTGTGCAGGAGCTCCAGATGATCTCGGTGTTCGTCTGAGGAACAATTCTCCTCCCCCTTCACTCAGATTCCACCGATCCAATGAGATTGGATTCCAGTAGTGGCTTTCCCTTGTTAGCGTGCGGTTTGCTCCAAGCGCGGCTCAATTCAGAGGCGCTGGTCGCAACTCCTGTAGTAACCTACGAGTAGCTAACCATCCGCGTTCACCCCCACTATAACCACCGAGCCACCCCCGGCTCTGTCACCAACCATCCCCCGGTCTCTTCACGGGCATGCAGTCCACGTAACCCGGCACGACCAGCGGGAGAAGATAGAGAAAGAGCCACGAAGCAGAGACTCCGCCCGTTACGTACGACGGAGCGGGCCTCTCAGCCCCAGGCGTTGTCGCGCGGACAATTGCACCCGTCGGAATGGTGCGGACTTCGCCCGGGGAGGCCAAACTAACCAAAACTCACCTTCCATGAAGCTCCTATCGAGGAGGGAGGAGGACCAAAGAGGAGCAGGTACTAACGCGAAGGGAAATTGTGCTAATTATACTACCTCCATCAAGGCATCCGCCGGGCTCCAGCCCACGAGCGGACACAGCAAAATCCGTCTTAGTGTTTGAATAGCGTCGATCTAGCTATTTACTACTCTTCCACCCCTTCTCCCATTTTCTTTTTCCATTCAACAACTCACATTCGTTCTTACCTCCCTTCCTCTTCATATCTCCATTCCACTCGCTTCATTTCACCTCCAGTCTCTCGTTTGCCGCCATTGAGGTGTTTTTGCGTGACTTTGAAACCTTCGAACCAAACAAAGTTTCTTTTCCAGATCCGACGCACTGACACGATGATGTTCGAGGGAGTTTTGAGCTGGTTCCGCCCTGCGGAAGCCGAGGTTGTGCAGGAGACCAGCTGGGATCCCGTTACCTTGACCATGGTCCAACCCAAGAGTCCGGTCGCTCCCACCACAGACGAGATTGTCACCGATCAACCGGTATGTTTGATTCACATGGTGGGAAAAAAAATATGTTGCGCAGGATACTAATCCAACTGGGCGATGGCAGATTCTCGGCGAAGGGATGGACTTGCGACTCCGCGGTGGTGACAGTGCTGAGGACGGGTAAGTCGCCCCGGGGCAGCCAACCCTAACCCGACCGACTTCGCCTACAGTACCTATAACTAAACCCCAACCCTCGTGCTAGATGCTGCTTCTGCTGTCGCTGCTGCAGCTGTCTCGATTCCTGCTGCGCCCCCGACGACGGTCCCGGCCAACGGCTGTAATCCATCGATCGCGATTCCAACCATGCCTACGTACAGTACATAAATCATCCCTTTCTTGTCAGCCACTGCATCCGACACATACCGACCATCCCTCGGACTGATTTATCGGGGGTGTTCCTGCATACATAATGTCTTATTCTGCCCGGTCTCAACGGCCGGGAAGACGGGTGAATCGCCAAACTCGCTCGCCTCATCTTTTCTCTCGTTCCGCATACTTGTTTCATCATCTGTGTATAATATCATCTTCCGTCATGACTTGCATCAGCCGCAATAGATTTCCTTGGTTCGGACCACAACTCGGTTTAATCAATAGCTGGCTTCTCTCGGGATACATCGATACATGACGATTTCAACCATTTGAGTGACGGGGTGGGACGGTGACGATGGCGGATATTGTACGAGCGAAGCCACGAATTCGTCTGTGCACGAGCACCACGAACACGACATCGCTGCTTTCCCGGCTCACTTCGACAAAGCTTGTATGCGTGGACTATGCTGCGGTCAGTCGGAGGGGTCTATCATTCGGGTGCGAAGCTCCATCGGCCATGGGCGCAATTGCGCGAACTGTGGCGGAGATCAACCTGCGCTCGTAGGAGCGTTATCCGCTGTAACATTTCTAGAGTAAATGAAGGATGTAGTTTGTAGAGCCCAAGAATGACCGTCACTATAGAGAGATTCTCAACATCCAGGAGGGTTAATTCTAGTCAAGCACATGTTAAAGTTGCAATGCTATCTATATGATCATCGATAATGAAAGAACTGATAAGTAGCCGGTGAACGTCGAAGATCTTCACCCAGTCGAGGATCGCTTTTGGGTGCTTAGTAGGCACTCTATATCAGCTGCCTGCTATTGGCGAGAGACGCGTTAGCTTTCCCATCCGAACCTTGGTTTGGGGAATATGATAGCAAAACAACCGCGGTTTCAAAACGACCCGACCGGATTACCTAGTGGTCGGATCCGCCAGCATCATTGGTCTAGTGGTAGAATTCATCGTTGCCATCGATGAGGCCCGTGTTCGATTCACGGATGATGCACAATCTTTTTTCTCAGTCTCGGCTTACTTGCCTGACCGAGTACAACAGCCCGCATTTTGTCCTTGTGTGTCTCGCCTGCGATTTTTGAAAACGGATCTTACTTTATTTCCTACCAAGACTATTATCATATATCAGGATTTAGATCGCGCCCATTGTTCGGCATAGTCAGGATGTCCGCTGAAGTCTCGACAAAAATATACTTCCCCGCAACCGAGCCATCCCCAGATCGCTCCCAAAATAGAGTTAACCTTCCGACACAATGACAAGAAGATCGTATTCGCATCACCTGACCCCAAACAAGGTCACCTCCTCTGGCTTTCCCTGATAAAACCCTTGGTTCCCTGTCCCCTCGTGTCGTCATGCAATCATGTGCACCGTCAGATGGGAGCTCCATATAATCAGCGCGCGCAACGCACTTGCGGACGCATCGCATCGACCAACCCCAGCTCCATGCATTAAACCACAACAACCCAACCCCCACCACCACCACCACCACCACCACCACCACCCAGGCAACAGCAAGAATGACCTCGTCCCCAACCAGCCGCAACGCCATCGACCTCCTCACCAGCCTGGCCGGAATCATCACCACCATCGCCACCAACCTGCACGCCAACCGGCTCGACCGCGCGGGGCTCCGCGCCACGCTCAAGGAGTACGCCGCGCGCGCCGAGTCGGACGCCAATCTGATCAACGCCTCGCGGCAGTCGCAGCGCTGCGTCGAGCACGGCCTGCTGCTCGCCTACGTGCACATGGAGTTCGTCGCCACCCTGCTGCGCTACAACCTGACCGTCCCCGCCACGGCCGTGAAGTGGTACAGCGTGCGCTCGCTGCGGAAGCGCCACCGCCTGTCCCTGTTCGGGATCCCCGCGCAGGCGCGCGACCTGCGCGCCCAGCTGGAGAATATCCAGAATAAGGCCGAGCTGCTGTATGCGGATTTCGCGGAGAGTGGGGTATGTTTCCCCCCAAAAGCCGTGTTTCTTCGGCGGAGGGGTCCGGTGCGGTGTAGGGCTATTATGAGCTGAGACTGAGAACTGGCGGGGTAGGTGCAAATCCCCGAGACGCCGATTCTGTATCGCAAGGTTACGGCTTGTGAGCCGGTTGGGGCGCCGCCGGAAGGTGTGTATCTCCCTTGTCGGTACGTGTGTTTGGGTTTGCTGATATGGGGCTGGGGTTAGCGATTCATGATCTCCTCCGTCGCGGGACCCTTGCTGAGCAGGAGTTGAGTGGGAAGATTCCGCCTTGAGGGGTGTGAGGATACCAGGTTGTGGACGTAAGCATTATCCGTTTATTGGGGGTTTGGGTGAAAAGTATATCTTGAGGGAGGTCCTTGCTTTGAAAGCGGAGATAAGTCTCGGTGAACTTAATATTGAGGGTTTGCATTAATTGCTGGTGCTTGCGATCACGGATGTTCTCTCTAGCTCCTGGTATGTAGTCTTTCACACCTTGCGGTGTCTCACCCTAAAAACGCCTGGTCGGCAATACAAGTCCATCGCCGTGTCAGGGGGGTCAAGACCGGTAAAATACTGTGATGCTTTTCCACGCTGACTCCCGCAGCTTGTGGAGTTGATAGTGCACAGACCTGGTCTAGCAGGTTGCACCAGCGAGCGCCAGGAGAGCTCTGATCTGAGGCAATATCGAAAGTCTTCTAGACACCTGGCCTTCCGAGTACTCAGGGCCTCTCCGAGCGACGCACGCTAGTCGTTTTATGCCCTGGTTCTCTCTAAGTACTATACTTGATTACCCATAGGTTCTTCAATGGCGGTAAACCAATATCACGATTTCCTTAGCTATGAGGCCGTAGGGTATTGTTTGCGTCAGACAGACTAAACGTAACTTTTCCCTCGCATATTTGATTCTCGCCATTAGTGAAGTAAGAACAGTCTATAATATAGTGGCGCTCATAAGTACAGTGACAACCGGCAAACCAAGATTTCACAACCAGTGGCTTGCTGCACCCATCCTTTCTGGCATTCTTGAGCTCTGAACCTGTAGAGGAGTCATCTGGTATCAATTCCGTGCGGACCTGAACAACTTGTACTGTGAAGCCAAAATCTTACCCTCCGACAAGGTCTGTTGTCGGGCCTAGAAGATACTCGGGAGCCTTTTCTTCAAAGCGTTCTCGTCAAGAAACTAGGGGCCGATGCGCAATGTCTCACTTCGGAAGAAGAGGCTCAACCTCCATCTGGAACCAAACATTTTCAAGTCTGGAAATGGAAATTCCTTTCGTGGAAGCGGGCGCCGAGTTGCTACCGACTCTCACATGCTGTTCTCGGTACGGAGGAAATAGAGATGAGGTGATTCAGGAACTCTTGCAATATTCATACGAGCATCATCTGCCTTGCCCCTCCGCTCCTTGGCTCTCTACAGTTCTTCGCACCCCGCAATTGAGGTTGTCTCTAGACCTCAAGGGAGTATTTATATGACAGCCATTGTATAACAGCCATGTAACCATCAAGCCGGAGTTGATTGGGGGCACCGATCAACTTCGTCAGCGTGCGTGGAGCCGTGTACGTAATCTGAAACATCAGTACAACCGGATCAAGATCAAGGTCAAGATGATCACCTATTTGGCCATTGTAAGGCAGGCATCAATCTCATCTCCTCCAAGCAGTGCTTAGCATAAACCATACGAGAGATGCAGGAACCAACGTGTGGAAACCCTCCGTCTCGCGCGCAGTACCTAGTTCCGTCATGGAGTGAATTTGAACAGAGGAAGATTAGACATATTACTGTAGTATTCATTCCAAGACAATTGAAGTAACTCCGATGTACCATCAATCAGCCCAAGCCCATCAATTTCCCCATCAGGCCAGTCCCACGCAGACCTGAGTATCTGGAAGAAGTACACGAGCCCTAAAACCTTCTCTCGCCCCCCAGCAACCGCAGCCAAGTACAATATACTTTCTGACCCTCAGCGCATGATCCTCCCCCGCAGGCCCCCAAACCCAGTGTAACAAGACAACCGCATATTCTCCGACCCGACAACCGAATCCAGTATATAAACCCCTCACCGTCCCGAAGATCCGCATCCTCCTCTCCAGCTTCCTGCCTAGGTATCACCAGGCAAAAGCAAAACCAGCCCACTAAGCCCTTACCAATTCCCCCTCCCAAAGCAAACTTCTCGCTGCCGTTCATACCCAGCCAAGAAAATGAAGCTCCTACTCCTCCCCCTCCTCGCCCTCCACGCGACCGCCTGGTCGCTGACCATCTACTTCACCGACGGCGGCCACATCACCAGCACCGGCCGCCTCAACTCGGGCTGCAAGGCCTACGACCTCCCCGTCCACAACCGCCAGGTCAACCGCGCCTCCTTCAGCGAGAGCTCCTTCGCCGACACCTTCGAGCTGTTCAGCGACAAGGACTGCCGGAACCGCGTGTTTCGGGAGGGGAAGGGCAGTCATCGCGTGCAGCCGCCGCGGCGGGTCAGGGCTTATAAGGTCTATTGAGATCTGGGGGGGGGGGGGGGGGGGGGGGGGGGGGGGGGGGGGGGGGGGGGGGGGGGGGGGGGGGGGGGGGGGGGGGGGGTGGGTTGGGGGGGGGGGGGGGGGGGGGGGGGGGGGGAGGGGTAGGGGCCTCAGGTTACGGTGGATTGGGGGAGTTGGGTGAGGTTGGTTTGGGGTTTGGGGGTGCGGTGGTTGATGGGGGAGAAGGGAGGGGGGTTGTGGAGCTAAAAGGGGGGGAGGTTGGGAGAGTTTGAATGAATGAGTTCAAGGGGCAGGGACTGGGGCGGCATTTCTTTGATTCTGCTGTATGCGTCTTGTGTTTTGATTAGTGAGTGGATGGAGTTCTGGTTTGGGAGGTTTAGGTCGATCAGGTTCAATGCAAGGTGTTTGTAGGTTACGAGAGAATTTGCACGAGCAAGAGGCGTAGCAGCATCGAATCAGCCGAGTACGAAATCTATATCAGCACGGTAGTATGTCAAGAGTGAATCATCGGAAGGGATGCTTGAAAATAAGATTGAACTTTTTATGAATGTCTTGCAGCAGGTCAAATTGAGAGGAGGTATTGCGCCGAACCGACCGCCCAATATCTCAGACCTCAACAAAGATATAGGAAAGGGATGCTCATAAGACTCCGCAGATTAATCTCATCTACGAAACAAAGAGACCTATAAACCTACAAAGCAGGCAAAGGTTACTTCCTACTGCAGGCCAGACCGCGACACCGGCGACGCTCCAGGCGGCGCCACCCAGAACACATTCTTCTGACACAGGACCTTAAACTCTTCCAGAATTTGATGGATTTCCGACATCTCCCCAACAATCCGGTACTCGTTGCGCCGATTCCGCGCATGGAGGGCCCGGGGATCATTCCTCAAGATCCGTCGCCGCTGCGCGCAATGCTGCGAGTAGAACCGACACTTCTTGCCAACGATTACAAGTCCCTCAAAGTCCAGGTATCGTCCGGCGCTGTCGGGGACCAGCATCTTCAGATGGTTCAGCCGCCATAAGAAAGAATTCCTCTCCGGGGGCCGCTCGTGGCCGCCCACCACCACCAGGAACGTGGTGGACCCCGGGGTCGAGAGTTCGAGGACCTCGTTGAGGGTCAGATCCTCTGCCTGGATTAGAGGGTTGGGGATCCAGCCGCGCTTGTAGATGTATCCCTCGGACGGGGGGAAGAGTTGTTCCAGGGCGTCGACGATGCGCTGGAAGTAGATTGGGCGTGTCATGGTGGGAGTTTTAGGGGGTGAGGCACTTACCGGCTATCCTGTGAATATTGAGGTTTGGTGATGAGATGGTGTCTGCATGATTTGGAGGACACTTTATATTTCCTGATGTATTAGAGTTCGTGGAAGTCTTCTCAGGCGGGCTCTCTTGCACAAAGAACATGGCTGCGATGCTGGGATAGTACGAGGGAGGTTCCGGCTATATTACTTTGACTTGGCCTACATCTGGTTCTTAGTGGCCGTAGTTATAGGAAAATACCGCGGATGTCTCATACTCAGATGAACGAGATGTAGTGAGAAGATAATCGACTCCGGCTATCCGGTGACAGAGAAGCTTAATTTATACTGAGACCATTTTGGGAGCCAGTGTGAGAAACAAGGAGTAGACAACCCGATCGAATCTCGAACGTACCATTTTATCAACTATTAACGGTCAGAATTTATTTTAGTGCTTTGATAGTGACCCTTCCGTTGTGACAGGAGGTCTGAACCTCAATTTGGCTGATCAGCATCAGTCAAATTGACGGAAGCAACGTTTATTGAGCGGCACGATGTGCAATGGGCCTGGGAAACGATCTTGGAAGACAGTTATCGATGGAGCAAAATTATTCTATGGAGCAGAAAAACCTCACAAGACAAATTGGCATCGAGTTCGTATTAGGATTCTTTATTAGGGAACCAATACTGTATATATCTTTTATACTAAGATCATATTGGGTGGTTGAGCGGCCTATTAGACGTAAACCTTTTCTTTAGAAGTACTATTCACCGCAATAATAACCGCCTACCTATCTAGTATTAACCTGCCCCCCACTGGGCAGTATTTGATATTTGATTCTCTCGCATGTGATTTTGCCGGCAGATTTTTTCATCTGCTGAGTGGCTGCAATGATCTTCCGTAGTCAAATTGAATCTAATTCAATTTCTAAGGTTGTGTGAAAGATGAGCAGCCATGTTGAGTGGAGTCGACCTGTGTTGATGTTTATTACACTGGGTACACTTCTGTTTCACAGCCGCCATCACCACAACAACCACTTGCGTAAATACACTGGTCAGCATTCCCTCCGAGCTTCACCTTTGCTATCCTCTGCACTAGTGCCCTATATTCTCGGCCCTCGTCAAAATGGCCACTCCTCTCCCAGAAGCCCTGGAAGCCCGATACCTCCACGATTACAAACTCATGTTTGAGTTCGCCCAATCCCACAAGGGCGAGGCGTACCCGGCCACAAACACCAAGCATCGTCGCACCGACCTCCTGCAGGTTTTCGAGACCCGACGGGCGACAGCAAGGAGCCAACAAGATGTCTTCGTATTTTCATTCAGCCTCCCTCCAGCCTACGCCCTCTGCACCACCCCGTTTGAGCACCTCACCAAGATCAAGATCGATAACTTGAAGGTCGAAGCCCATCACCGCGGGCGGTACATTCTTCTACGGACACTGACACCGACCGCCCTCGTCGCCGCTGTGGGTGCTGTTGTGGAAGACGAGGTGGGGAACGTGCTTATGCTGCAGCTACATAATCAGGAGTCCGGGGTTGTCGACGGGGCGGGTTTATCTGTGGGGCAGGTGTTGGTGGTGGTCGAGCCATATCTTCATGTCCCGATTGATGGCCATGGTGCCATCCGCGTGGATCATCCTTCTGATCTGCGCGTTCTCGCTGATTGGGACATTACGGTGCCGGTGCAGTGGCGACGACAGGTGGTCGAGTCGGAGTTGCATGCCATGCAATGGAAGGCGAAAGGGAATGAAGCGTTCAACGCCCTGGATTCTCGCTTTGCAATCGATTGGTAAGAAATACTGATCCCTTGACTTGATAACAGACGCCAATCACGAAAGACAGCTACACTCAAGCTCTATCCTCCTCACCCTCCGCGGACGAAGCCCTAACTATCAAGCTCAACCGCGCTCTGGCCTTCCTCCGATCCCATCAGTTTGACGCCGCCCTTCGTGATTTAGAAGCAATCCCCCAGCCCTCGGAGAAAGCCCTCTTCCGCAAAGCCCAAGCGTTGTACCATCTCCAGCGCTTCGCGGAGTCCTGCGAGGTACACAGAGTTCTTGCAAAGGCATTCCCGGGAAACACCCTCGCACAGAGCGAATTCGCGCGCGCCAAGGCCCGGCTCGCAGAACAGCAGACGGGGGTGTTTCCATTCAAGGAGATGCAGCGCGAGGTTACGAGGCGTTCCCCGCTGCTGTTGGACCACGCCACCTACGTCGGCCCGGTCGCGGTGCGTCCGACGCCATCCGCTGGGATGGGACTATTCACAACCAGACCTGTCAAAGCGGGTGATCTCCTGATTTGCGAGAAGGCGTTTGCCTGCACCTACATGGGAGTGGATGATTTCCCCAAGAGGTACAGGTCGACCTGGAGCGCGAGACCGTCGCCGCCAGCACTCAGATAGAGCTGTTGAGACTGATGGCGCAGAAACTTCTCAAGAACTCGTCGCTGATACCCGGGATTATCGCACTGCACCATGTGGGATACGAGGGTGATGACGTGCGCGAAGTTGATAACACACCGGTGGTGGATAGGTAAGCTTCTTGGTTTAGAGGAGAGAGGAGAGGGGAGAGGCATAGGCTCGGCTGACAAAGTATCTACGGCGCCAGCTTCCTCCTCGAGAGAATCCGCGCACTTAACGCCTTCGGTGGCAGCCACCCAAGTCGCCGCGAGATGCTCCTCGAGACCTGGGGCTCTGACGGGCGCGTTCCCGCAAAAACGCCGGACGTCATCTTCGCCGCCTTATGGCCCCTGGTCTCCCGGATCAACCACTCCTGCCACAGCAACGCGGTGCACACACATATCGGCGACATGATGATCGTCCGCGCGGCCCGAGACCTTCCAGCGGACATGGAAGTCACCGCCATGTATCGGTCCGTCCACCGTGACGTGGACTGCCTTGATCCCGATATTAACAGTACGCCGGCCCTGAACTTTGGACACTGGGGCTTCCGGTGCACCTGCATCCTTTGCAACGACCACGAGGCGAGCCCCGCGGGCAACCTGAGCAGACGGCGTGAACTCGGGCTGCAGCTTGGGTTCGTGCTGGGGACGCTGGCGGATCGAGTACCGAATCCCACGAAGCTCGAGGAGCGTCTTATCAACAAGATCGCTAGCACTTACGTCCGGCCCGCGGCGGAAGTGCCCCGTCTGGCGCTGGAGAAGGGATATCCACTGTTGGCGCGGCTTTGGGCGCGGCAGAATAACCCGCGCAGGGCGATTGAGTGTGCAGTGAAGGGGTTCGAGGCGCTGGGCTATGTTGTAGAAGGCGCGCTGCCTCCGTATCCTTCGGGAGGTGGCGGGGGTGGAAGACGCCTGCGGGTGAAGAAATGGGGAGTTGTGACGGAGGGGCTGGTCGGGTGCTGGATGACGCTTGCGCATTCGTATCGCAAGGTGGCGCCAGCTCTGGCCCCGCAGGCGCAGGAGTTCGCCAAGGTCACGTATCGGATTGTCGTGGGGGAGGATGAGACTTTTGCGGAGACCTTTGCGTGGCGGGCTGATTTGCCGGTTGGGTTTCTTTCTCCGGAGCGGTGAGTCCTGGCCTGGGGGTTTGACTTCTTTGATGTAGTCTTAGGTGTGGCAAGATCCCTGGTGCGGTGGTAATTGATTCGTGGTGATGGGGTTGTGGTGGTTGATGTCGTGGAGATCCTTTGCTGCGATGCTTAGCTTGATAGCACAGACGACTCCGTGTCTAACAAATTCAAGAGTTACAGAAATGCACGTACGGCCTAGAACTCCAGATTAACCCGATGCCATTCTGCTATGCGCTACCCAAGAGTCCCTAGCCCACAAACTAAACTAAATCCACCACCTCATCCCCAACCCTCACCCTCCCTCACCCATCGCCCAGACCAACCGCGCATAACACTCCCACCCCCTCCCCTAACCCAAAATATCATCCCAATATCACCCCCTAAAATGTAACACTAGTAGTAGGCCTCTACCACCCCCAGCATCAGCATCAGCATCAGCATCAGCACACACAAACACCTATGACACCCCACCCCTCACCCAAGAGAACTCAAAACTCACCGCATTTTGGGCATTCTGGTCCTGGCCCATACCAACATCCTGCTCCTGCCCCTGATCCAGATCCAGATCCAGATCCTGCTCCTCAGGCTGCTCCTCCGTCCCGATACAGATATCATCCCGGTTGACGCCGTTGTCCTGGCACGCGCCGCGCCGGCACGTCGCCCGGTAGATCAGGTAGTCCTCGTCGGCGGTGCAGAGGTACAGTGAATCCAGCAACTGGTGGGAGGACGGGGCGATGACCTCGCGCTGCAGGGCGGTTTGCATGTCCTGGGTGTAGTTGCCTATTCCATCCGAAGAGGGGAAGAAAAACGTGGTTAGCCTGCACATACTTGAGAATCGGGAGATGAGGGCTTGGGGAGGGTTGGTGGTTTAATCTGTAGATGGCTTGGGTTCTGGGTTTGTGTGTGTTTGTGTGTGTATGTGTTGATGCTTATGCTGTCCTCGAGTTTGAACAGGGGAGGAGAGGTGCTACCCTTCTTGACCAGGGAGGTACCGCAGTAGGTCATGCCCTGGGTGCAGCGGATGGCGACGGCGCAGGAGGCGGCGCCCAGGATAGCGAGGATGGTGGAGGTCTTCATTTTGATTCTATGGAATGGGGTCTTGGTTTGGTTTGATGAGACGGGATGAGATGATTGTATTCGAAGATGTTGTTGGATGATGAAGGTGCGATTTGGGAGGATTTTTCGTGATATTTATGTCTGCTCTGCATCTATGAAGACGGTGTAGGATGGTCTAGATTGTGGTTATGGGGACGGAAGCTATTGTTAGCCATTTCTTGCCTCATTTGTGGGAAGGTGACTATCGCTGCAGCGCACGCAGTATTGTTGGTGTGCAACTTGAATAACCATACTCCCTTTGAAAAGGCAATAGATAGAAAGTTATAGCGGTGCATGCAAGCAATATTTGTCAAGAGGGTAATACCGCTCCGCAGCCGATTTTCGGGATCATACCACGCTTTGATTGTGTAAAGTTCAAATAGGTTTGAATCCTACGGTATGGTTTCGCAACTGACAGATTATACCTTACTCTGTGCCAGGAACGTCTATTTAGTATCACTAGATGCGCCGCATCATGCAAATCATACCTAGTCTGTATGTAACCGGGGCCCGGAGGCAGGATTGCCAAATCCGGTAATTCATGTTCCACCAGAAGCTCGGTATTGGAGTTACCACAGAATTGTAGTACAATGGACTCAGACTTATGGCATGCATGTCGCATCCCCACTCACTCCCTCAAACCTAGAACTACTCCGCAGCCTGCACCACCTGGGCCCATTCCCCAAACCCATACGCCCCCGGAACAGCTGCCCCATCAAACAAGCTCGCCATGACCACGCGATCCGACTGCTCCCCCTGCCACGGCTCCCGACCGTGCTGCGCCACAATATTATCAAACACCAGCACATCGCCCTTCTCCCAACGATGCAGTACCCGGATCTCGTCCGTGATCTTCGCCAAGTGCGCCAGATACTTGTCTGGAATTGGCATGCCGTCCCCGAAGAGCTGCTGCGTGTCATTTCTCCGTGCAGCCGAGTTGACCTGCCATCTCTTCCAATATGCCGCCAGACCCGTGAAGAGCGTGGGAAGGTTAGTCCCCGGCTGTGTTCGAATGGCAGGGAGGCGGTGCGTGAGAACCAGCTGCGTCTGGCCGTCGTCGTCTTTTGACCATTCCCAGGTGGTGTATTCTCCTCGTCCGTAGCGCGCAATCTGCGCCTCTACCTTGCGACGCTTGGTTTCCTCGTCATCACCTGGCTGAAACTCCTTTCCGAATGCCTGACGCAGTGTCGAGCCGCCTGCGAACTGCTGTTCGACTTTATACGTCACGCGACTGAGGATGCCTTTCTCAGCCAATTCGTCGATGAACTCCGGGATCTCACGTTGAGCGCGGTTGAAGAGCTCGAGGGAGGAGGAGATTGGCGATTCACCGCCCTGCGTTGGTGCACGGTGGCCATAGAAGAAGACGTATTCGGGTGCGTGAGGGACTTGTGGAGACTCGTTGTGGTTGTAGATGAGAACTTCCTTGGGTGCCTCATTGGCCGGTGCCACGTTAGGCGCAAGAAGGGGTCTATCAACCACAATCCCGATAATTTCATGTGGTTTATAGCCGAAAGCGTGGGCAAATCTACTGAAGTCCTCTGCATTGCGGATAGGCAAGTCACGGAAGAGGATGGTTCCGTGGCGTGCGAGTTGCGTCGTAAGACTGTTCTCTTGTCTCTGAAGAGATTCGATGGTGGCGATAATACTGTCAAGGGTAATCTCAGAAGTGCTGTGCAGGGTAGGACGCAGGGCAAGCGGAATCACGGTTCCTTTTGGGTGGGGAGGCCCAAGTGAACGCTGATTAGATGCAGAGAGCTCGAAAGACTCGAAACTGAGTAAATCTCGTGGCGGTTGCCCGTCGAGTGAGAGCGCGCCGATTTGAATTTCTTCCGTGACTGTGGCCATTTTCGCTGAATTCGCAGCCTTTCAAGACAATTTGGTTGATGGAAACGTAGGCAAGAGTTGAGTTGCAATCTCTAGCTCATCCAGCAACAAGCGGGGTAAATTCGCTCTCTTATCTCACAGGGTCACAGAGAAACGAAGAGCTGCAATGATTGGTATTGATGTGCTCCTGACCGGGATCATTCGCTGCCAAGATGTGCTGAGGGGTATATTTGCTTGTGCCATGCATGGCCACGGTTACGTGACCAAGCACCCGATAGAAACGATCGTCGTGTTGGCAGACATAAGTCAAGCCCCTTGCATCTGCTGGAGCAGACAAAAGAGACAGCGACCTAGAATTTTCTCGCACTTGTTAATCATGGCGACAATTCCAAAAGTGGATCAGGAAGCAATCATGGCCAACATAGCAAGTATGTCCGACTCGCAACAAGAGCGTCAACAAACCCATCTCCGATTCTTCCGGAGCACGCTCTTCCAAATCCTCGTCGTCGGACTTTGCGCATTTTGTGCCCCTGGCATCTGGAGCGCCATGAATGGCCTCGGGGTGGGCGGCTCCCAGAGTCCCAATCTTGTCAATGCTGCAAACGCTCTCCTCTATGCTTTCATGACAGTTACCTGCTTTGCAGGTCCATGGATGACCAACCTCATCGGGTTTCGCTGGACCCTCACGCTTGGGTCCATTGGTTACCCGCTGTATGCAGCAGGGCTATACCTGAACAACCGCACGGGTGCCGCTTGGCTCGTGTACTTCGGCTCGGTGGCCTGTGGCATCAGTGCTGGTTTCTTTTGGAGCGTCGAAGGGGCCATCGCAACCGGCTACCCTGAGCAGCACAAACGCGGCCGCTACCTAGCAACGTGGTTTACCTTCCGGAATTTTGGGAACATCATTGGCGGAGCAATTTCACTTGCTCTTAACCACGACGTCAACCATAAAGGCCAAGTCGGATACCAGACGTATCTTGGATTCATCGCCATTCAGTGCCTCGGTTTGGTCTTCGGTCCCCTGCTATCGAATCCAGAGATGGTACAACGTGACGACGCAACACGCATCGAAGCCCCTCGCGGGATTGAGTGGCGCGAGGAAGGTCGAATCATGTGGCGACTAATACGTAGCCGGTCTATCTTGCTGCTTGTGCCACTCTTCTGGTACTTTGGCTGGATTCAGGCGTATCCGGGCACGTATCTCGCAACGTATTTCACCGTCCGGTCGCGAGCTCTGGGAAGCTTTCTGTCCGCTATCGTAGGCACACTGGCTACTTGGTTTGGGGGGTCACTGGTTGATCTACCATGGCTGGAAAGCCGCAAGAAGCGGGCTATCTTCACATATATTATGATCGCTGCATTGAACAGCACTACCTGGATATGGGCTGTGGTGATTCAAAACGAGTATCGCCATACCCAGCCGGTCCTGGATTGGGGCAATCAGCGCTCATTCGGACGAGGGTTCGGCTTGTACCTCTTTGAACGCGTCAGCCTTGGCTTTGTTGAGAATTATATCTATTGGTGTATCGGCAATCTGTCCGATTCCCCAGGCGATCAAATCCGCTACAGCTCGTTGCTGAGGGGCATTGAGACAGCTGGTGTGGCTGTGGGATTTGGCGTCCAGGCTGTTCCAACCGCGCTGATTGCGACAGCGAGTATCAACTGTGGCTTGTGGTTCTTCGCACTGCCTTTCAGTTACTATGCCACTCTGCAGGTTTTGCGGAAATTTGAAGGCCAGGGGAAGAGTACCGACAGACAGGACTGAGAGAGAGGGAACTAAAATCGAAGCTTCTGGTGAATACAATGCTGATTATTCCCAGGCGACACCTCAGGTTCACTGCATCATCATTCATCGACTGCATGATATGCCGATGACTTTCTTCATTCTTGTCATTGGCAGGAGTCAAGCGGAAAACCCATATCGGTTGAAAACCAAAGGCAGCTTGGGGCAGTGTCCTGGGGTGGTATCGATATACCAACAGTCTCTTGAGTAGAAGTATGCAGTAAGGTGATTGAATGAGGCGGGTGAAAAGGACCGTAGAAGAGAAAGTGAAATGGTAGGAAAGGTCATGTGCCTGGGAGTTTGTGGTATTTGTCTGGTTGGCGTCATTTGTCTTGTTTCGTCTGTTTGGCAAGACCATCACTCATCACTCATCACCGTTTCGTCCCGATTCAATGCGAGATGTCAACTACAACCGTGCCGATGGGTGGAGAGCCTCAATTCGTGTCTATGAGAATGAGTACAGCACTTCATATTTGTGGAAAGACCATGCTAACAACCGATGAAATAGGAATCAATCCTTGGATGAGCTGCTTCTTCCTACCGGTGTAGAACTGTCACTCGATGTCAACGAGCGCACGGGCATTGTCCTGCCCTCTTGGCAAGATATATATCACAACCGGACATTCGTGATAAACAACTACAAGTAGCACTCGAGAGCGTCCGGCAACCCTGAGTGAACTGAACTGATTCAGAGCAGACAACACCATCCGAACATACCGAAGCTACACGCATCGCCAGTCGTCTGTTTCTTCGATGATGGCGCTCCAAAAACAAAAATCAAAGGCAAAGCACACCAGGGGATATGCGGGGATGCAAAAAGATGGTCCCAGAGGGGCTCGAACCCTCGACTTTAACGTTATTAGCGTTACGCTCTAACCAACTGAGCTATGGGACCCAGTTGATATGAGAGGTTGAGTCCTGTGCTTACTCAAGCACACCCAAATGAATAGAGGCACGAAAAATGGAAACCTCGCCTCCTCATGCACGCTTGCTGCCTAGAAACCGGGCACCTCGTGTCTCCCCGAATTACAACTCATGTGGCTGGCCGAGGGAATGCGACCCACTGCCCTGGAACTGGCGGCGCCGATAACTGGAGTAGAAGGAATTGCGCCGATCGCAACCACGCCATAGTCAAGAAAGGTTAAGCATTCGGCGCCGTGCTTGTTCGCCTTGGCTAGTTCATGCGAGTTTGCCGACAATTCCTTCTCGCCAATGACCCTGTTTTGCTGGCCATTGCACCATCCATCGTCAAGAAAGCAACGCTGCTCACAGCCTACAACAACACCCAATAGTGCATCCTTGACCGACCTCGTCGCCCAATCTCGCAAGTAAGACATTTGCAAAGGGCAGGCAACAGCAAGAAATGGCGCGGTTGAGGAGGAACATCCCTTATCATCCAGCGGGGCAGATTTACCCCGACGGACTCCGAGTGAGGGTCGAGGGGAAACAACCCCATTCTTATCACGACATCGCTTACGGAGCCGAGCCCATATTGTCTGGGGTGCCCTGAGTAATTGCACGACAAATAGCAGTAATCTGCAGGTCCCGTCCACCTGCATTAGCTTAACGAATTACGAAATGCGTTGAAGGAACCCCGTCGGTGTGCCTGCAGGCAGCTTCGATCCGACCAAACGATGCAGACAACAAGAAAAAAAAAAAAAAAAAAAAAAAAAAACACGTCGATGCGCGATATGACCTCACCGACCCGCTCGTGCACTTATAACGGCGGTGTTCCCCCGACATTTCTCCAACCCAGTTGTGCACCTCGTGGGATACGCTCTGTCTTGTCAAGATGCATACCAACGGCCTGTACACGGCACTTCTGTGCTCCCTGGCGGCTTCGGCTCAAGCCGTCGTCCATGAGAAGCTGGCGACCGTCCCTGCCAGCTGGACTTATCTCGAGGATGCTGCTCAGAGCAACACCATCAGTTTGTCGATTGCTCTGAATCGTCAGAACCTGGACAAGCTTCAAGCCAAGCTCACCGCCCTTGCCACCCCTGGTGAAGCCCAGTACGGCCAATGGCTGGACTTGGAGGACATCAACAAGGAGTTCCCTGTGGCCAGCGCCGACGCCGTCATCAGCTGGCTGCGCAGCGCCAACATCACCCAGATCTCGCAGGATGGCAGCATGGTGAACTTCGCTGCGCCCGTCGGCACGGTGAACAAGCTCCTCAACACCACATTTGCCTACTACCAAAGCGGCTCTTCCACCAAGCTGCGCACCACCCAGTACTCCATTCCGGAGAGCTTGGTCGACACGATTGACCTGATCTCGCCGACCACCTACTTCGGCAAGGACAACGCCCAGGCGGAGCTGTCGAAGCTGACGGTGCAGCTCCCGTCGCAGCACACCAAGAGAAGCTCCAACTCTTCCTGTGCCGAGCGCATCACCCTGTCCTGCCTGAAGGAGATGTACAACTTCGGTAGCTACACTCCCAGCGCCTCGTCGGGAAGCAAGATCGGGTTCGGCAACTTCTTGAACGAGTCGGCCTCATACTCCGACCTTGCCGGCTTCGAGAAATACTACCACCTCCCCTCCCAGGAGTTTGACGTCGAGCTCATCAACGGCGGCGTCAACGACCAAGACCCCGCGACCGAAAGTGACGGCGAGGCCGATTTGGATGTCGAGCTGATTGTCGGTGTTGCGCACCCTCTTCCGGTGACTGCCTTCATCACAGGCGGTCTTGCGTGAGTCCTGCACTATTTTGCGGATGCCGATAGCAAAGCATGCTAATATGCGCAGTCCTTTCATCCCCGACCCCGATGAGCCCACGACCGCGGACGACTCGAACGAGCCCTACCTCCCGTACTACGAATACCTCCTGTCGAAGCCCAACTCGGCTCTGCCCCAGGTCATCTCCAACTCCTACGGTGATGACGAGCAGGTATGCCACTACCTCAGCCACACGAACCGTGTTTCTCACTAACCGCACCAGACTGTTCCCGAGTACTACGCCAAGCGCGTCTGCAACCTGATCGGCCTGATGGGTCTCCGCGGTATCTCCATCATCGAATCCTCTGGCGACGAAGGTAAGCCAGCCATCCCAGCCAGTCCAGCCCAGCCCAGCCCAGCCCAGCCCACAAACCTCCCCCCCACACACATATCTCCTTCTGTAAACCGTTCTAACGCCAGAAAAACAGGAATCGGCTCCGCCTGCCGCGCCGGAGACGGCAGCAATCGCCCGCAATTCCAGCCGACCTTCCCGGCGACCTGCCCCTACGTGACCGCCGTCGGCGGCACGCAGTCCTACGGGCCCGAGATCGCCTGGACGGGCAGCTCCGGCGGCTTCAGCAACTACTTCCCGCAGGCGTGGTACCAGCACGACGCGGTGGAGAAGTACCTGTCGCACCACATCGCCAAGGACACCAAGAAGTACTACTCGCAGTACGCCAACTTCAGCGGCCGCGCGTTCCCCGACGTCTCCACTCACAGCTATGATCCTCCGTATGTTCTGCACCCATATCCCATACCCCATACCCCGTAACCTCCCCACTCGATGATCTAGACCAGAAACCCACCCCTTGCTAACCCAACCCAGCTACGTGGTCATCGAAGGCAACACCACCGTCGGCACGGGCGGCACCTCGGCCGCGGCCCCCGTCTTCGCTGCGCTGGTCAGTCTCCTCAACGACGCCCGCCTGCGCGCCGGCAAGCCCGCCCTCGGGTACCTGAACCCGCTGCTGTACAGCAAGGATATCCGCAAGCGGTTCACCGATGTCACCCTGGGCCAGTCGGTCGGCTGCGACGGCACGGACCCGCAGACCGGCGAGACCGTCCCGGGCGCCGGGATCATCCCCTGGGCGTTCTGGAATGCGACCGTCGGCTGGGACCCGGTTACTGGACTGGGGTTGCCGGATTTCGAGAAGCTGAAAGAGGTGGTGTTGAAGTATTAGGTTGGATTTTATGTAGAGGTAGATGCCGTGCATGGTGTTTGTGCGTGTGGTCTGACTGTAAAGAGATTAATGATGTAGTGTGCTGTGTATATGTGAATAACATTTCCGTTTCCGTTTTTCTCCTTTTTCTTCCTTGCTGTACTATTCCTGTGCCATCAGAGTGTCAACTTCGTGAGTGGCTTGGCAGTCGGACGAGCGAAGAATCCGTAGAGAATGCTGCTGCTTTATAGGCGTGCTCCGCACGTCCCCTGTTGTAGTCGCATTTCAGTTTCATATCACAGGCTGTCAGACAGACAAGAGAATTCTTCCCAGCATCCTGCCCGCTTCCCCTCCCCCCCCCGACGTTTCCAGCTACGCTGCCGGAAAGAAAAGTAATCTAGTGGAGCAGGCACACTGAGACACTGCTTACAGGCCTCGCTCCTACACAATCAATCCCACGAGACCCATCGCGTGAGTGGCTGGGAAGAGCCGGGGTTGATCGTGGGCTTGTGTTGGATGTGGATGCCGCTAGGATGGCGGCCACGGCCACTTGTTGCGGTTTTCGCTGTTATGCACTTTCTCTGTATAGCCGGGGTCCGACGACCCGACCCCGCTGTCAAGTGACGACTCAGAGCATCTGACTTGCTCAGTGCTGATGCAGGCGCATGATTCCGATTTTCGATTGGCCTTCGTTTGTGCTGTACTGGACAGCATCATCCATGCAGAAGAAGCCATTTTCCGTTCTGATAATACTTACGCGGTGTGTTTGGTTGTATAACTCACTTTGCTGATTTCCAGGTCACTCTTTTGTCAAGCAAGCAAGCAAGCAAGCCAGCCAGCCAGCCAGCCAGCCAGCCAGCCAGCTCTGACAGATGGCCCTGCTTACTTGGTACTTTTGGCTGGCCGACCTACCTCGGTGCCGCAGCCACCACGCAAGTCAGCTCACTCCGCGCTTTTCATCACATGGACGAAGCGGGGTCGAGAATATAATAAGAATGACAACAAGGGACGAAGGCAGAGCAGAAGAAACGATTGCTGCCTGGCCGACATATGCTGATATGGCCTCAACTCGGGTCTTTATCTGATGTCAACTGCTCTGGTATCCGTATCTTCAATCCCCGAGTGTGATTGGACCAGCGGGAATGATGATTTAGTGGTTGACTTGGGTGTCATAAGGTATGTAACTCTTGCTGATCGCCAAACCGCTTCGTTCTATACTCGATGGAGGAAAGATCAAGACTCTAGCTAATGTTATCATAATGGTGTATTGAACAGTCTTAAAATACTATACAGACTTTGTCAATAAACAATACATGCGCTCAACTACACTCTAGTATCTTCTTAAGCACTTTGGGTAGGAGCAGCACCCATGGACCCAGAAGGCGCACCGCTCATAGAGCCAGAGGGCATGGCATCACCGGAGCCCGAGCCACCACCACCACCACCGAAAGCAGAGCTGTCAGTGTTCTGGTGGCCACCAGTCTCATCGTAGTACGCAGCAATGCTGTAGTAGGAGTTATCGGTGTAATCAGCCGTGGTGTTGATACCGATTTGGATCCACGCAAACAAGCCATCCTCGAGGCTGTCACCGAGGTAGATGTACTCGGGGAAGGGGTCGTAGGCGGAAGACGCCTGGAGAACGCTCCACATATCATCAGCATTGGTGGTGACAGCCTGGGTGTTGGTGGTGTAAGGGTAAGTGTCCTCGACGGCGGAGCGGAGGACCTCGTTCCAGAACAGCTGGCCGATGTGGGCGACACTACCGGTGCCGACCTGCAGGGTACCGTTGTTGCGATTGATGGTGGAGTTCAGGTGGGTGAGGAGGTGGGTGTGGGTGGCGCGGCCGTCGTAGTGGCCAGGGAAGATGGTGCTGAAGGTCACAACTCCGTCCTCGTTGGTCTCCTGGATACCGCGAAGGTAGGTCGAGTCCCAACCGTCGGCAGCGTAGTTGCCGCTGGTGGAGATACCACTGCCGATGTGTTAGTGAATTAGAACATGCATGAAATTAATGTGACATACCTGTAGACACCGGTAGCATTGGCGTTCCAAATATCAACCAGAGCTCCCTGAACAGGAAGACAGGTGTTCACGTCAATGTACTGCACTTCGAGGTAGACATCGACACCGTCGCAGTACTGCTCCTCCTTGACATTCTGGCGGATAACCTCGCCCCAGACATAGTAAGGGCCATCAGTGATGGTAGGAGTCAAGATGGAGCTGGTGTTGGCGCCAAAGATCTCGGCGTCGGCGTTGAGACCGTGGTGCACAAGGCCGGTCTTGTTGTGGTTGATGGCTTCCCACTTCTCGAGGGCCGCGAGGTCACGACGCCACTTTTGGGGAGCTAACCAAGGGTTAGAGTCGGCGGGTCCCATCGACGCACAGATGCTTCACTCACCGGAGGTAATTCCGCGCTTAGAGCGCAGCTCATTCGCAGTCTGCGCACGACGAGCAACGCTACGCTGCTGAACCTGCTGAGCAGCCTGAGACGAGGAGCAAGCGTTCACACCCTGTTGGCCTCTGGCGGCCAAAGCATCGCGAAGGTGGATTTCGCGCTTGACGGCCTTCATGTCATGCTTCTCACCCGGGTGAGCAAAGGCCAAAGTGGCCGCACTGAGTGCAAAGAGCTTGGAGAAGTGCATGGTGGTGATGGTAGCAGGAGAGAAAGGGAAGCTGGTTGTCGATCCTCTTTCTTCTGCCTCACGTAGACAGCAGTGGTCTTTATATCTTCTCCATTGTCGGTGTCAACGATGGTATAGATACGCTCCTTATAGCCGCGTCATCTGGACCAGGGTGAGCCGTGTTGCTCTATCGACCTTGTCAAATTGTTGTCGAATTGATTGGGAGACGTAAGCTCAGGATCTCGGCGGCACCCGCAGCCCTAGAACGAGGGCCGAATTCTTGGCCGGTCAACGTCAGGGTCTTGGCGCCGCGTACCTGGGATCCGCAGCATCTCAGGGAAGCGAACCCTATTGAGAGGGTGATCGACGACCACCACGAATCAGCGTGCGCCTATTACTGTCACTGCTTCTGAAGACCCTATTAACTCAGGGATCGGGCAGACTCCGTTGGTCTGGGGTATTTTTAAAGCTTGGCTGGTGCTGTTGATGTGTCGGGTTGCGAGCCAAACAGCATTGGCCGTTTCATTCTCGGTACTAAGTTAAGTATGCGTAGTAAGCGGAACTTGTTCGTGACCCGCTTCCAACTCGACCCCCGTCACTTTGCCTGCGCAAATGGCTTTTTTTGAGTACCTTTGTGCTGGTATGCAGTATCCGCAGCATCTCATATGCTCAAATGTTTGCCGTTTCAAGATACCTCGGCAGGAAAGAAATCCGAAGTTGTGTGGTTGCACCTTGGTAGAACTCAAGCGTGGTGATGCATGTTGCCGATGCAGAGGTCCTGGGTGGAAATGTGCACCCAGTAGTTCTTCAGATGCCTGCTTATTCTTCTCAAAAGGGTACTGATCGCTCTTTTCTTGGCTTGGCCACAGCTTATTCAGTTAGTCATTTCTTGTCCTTCCTACTGCATTACGCACGAGTCACGCGTCATCACCAATGACCTGCAGATTAGCATCACTCTGCAGATACATGCCATGTATCTTCATGCTCCAGACTGAACAACGAGCTTGAGGCACGATTCAACCATGCAGACACATCTTCTCTCTTCCGTGGTGAAGAAGGCATCAAGCTAGGCATCGAGGCGGCTTTCAGCAGATGAACAAGGTAATTATCTATCAGTCGCAATCGAACAGGTACTTTTTCGGCGTGTGAGGGGAAGGATTGTGCCCGGTCGCGGGATCTCAAGTGGAAGTTTCTGGAAGGACATGCAGTCTCCACGCCTGCTGAGCCAAGCAACATCCGGTTCTCGCTTGATGATCACAAACAATATTAGCTCTACTCAGAGCCCATGCTATTTGGCACCACAGGAATTCTCCGTGATGAAAACAGCGTACATCCCATCAGGGAGCTAAGGTTTTCTGCCTCGCGGGGGCCACTTCTAATCCCTCTACTGCCGCCCCGATAATCCACAGAGATAACACTTCGTTTAAGCGCCATCTTGATTTTACTCTAGGCATAGTTCGTATGTAGCCGTAATTTGTCGAGGCGGAGTGCGTCGGCCGATTACATTTTGCCGCAGGGAAACTTCGAGACTGAAGCGTCTTCGTGGCGGACAATCACGCAGCTTCAAGAAATTTGCTGGGACCAGACGATAGTTGCCCGTCGCGCACCAAGTCACCGGTTGAAATGGGGCAAAGAGACAACTGACCTACAGGAAGACGGAGAAATGGAAATGTCTTCTTGCGAATATGCACACTCTCCTCGCTGAATTTGAAGGGCCATGGACGCCGCGGGCGGTAGGTCGCTCCTTTGAATTTGTACGTGAAGCCACAGTGGCGCTGATGAGCAACATGCTCAATGAACCGACGGCGAGATTTGATGACCTTGGCACAGGTCCAGCATTTGTATATCAGATAATCAGCAGCCTCGTAGCTTATTTGACGAGGCTGACGCAAGATCTGGGTGATCTCCGAGAAGTCATGGATGCCGTCGGCCGGAAGACGCCACTCGCCAACGTATTTCTGCAAGTGTTCGCGAAGCAGTCTGTCACTCCAATAAATCTCTTGGCAGTATTGACATCTCCTCTTACGCCAGGGCATGATTGATCTCTCGGATGGGTCCTGGGCTGGAGACTTTGCCTCAAATTCGGGGAAGCATTCAAGTCTTGGACAGAAGTTGTTTATTTACAAGTCCACGGCGTGTTGCCCGCCCCACCACCCCGGATGTCGTACTGTGCCACTTCAGGCACGTGATTGGCCCCGTGTATTTGATCTCCTTTCTACGGTTCTTACTTCTCTTCCGAACTCCTCACAAACCGCCCACATAAAAAGCACCCTACCAGTCCTTGACCTCCAGCACCCATGCTTCGTACCTTGTACTATGTCCCGGATAATATCAATCGATATTATTGAGAATCCATCGATGTTCAATGCCCGATTCGTGATAGTCGTTAGAATGGCTGGCTGAGGAACCCCCGCAACGCTGGCTGGGATATTCGAGGCAGCCGTGACTCGCGCAGCCAACCCCTCGTTTACGTGCTGATGGAGAGAATGCCGGCGTCAGTTCAGCCAAGACAATTGGACATGCTGACAGCGTGGATCACCTGCAGCTCCAGATTCACAAGCGGGGGAGTCCGCCCGCAAATGATCGGCAGGGCCTGAGCCCGGAACTTGCATAATAGGATCTTGAAACCACAGGTATGTGGCTTGCTGAGCCCATTCCTACACTCACAGCTGAGATCTCAGCGAGGATACTGCAAGGATGATTTCTTCAGCTGCACCCAACGTCATCTTCAGGGGAATTATAACCGACCAGCTTGCCACCCCCTCCTCCTCATTATCCGACGCATGGCGATATAAAACTCGATCAGCCCCGACCACCGAAGAACAAGAGCTGACTCGACACTCGTCTCCTCCTTTGCCTCTCATCTTCCCAGCAAGATGGCTTCCACAACCTCCATGGACTTCCACCTCGCCGACGGCCGAGCCTACTCCCTCGGCCGCAGCAACGCAGCCGCCTCTCGTCTGAACTACCAATTCTACCTGTGGAAAGAATCCTTTGGCTTCAATCTCCACCCCACCATCGCTGCGTCGCTTCCCACCCCCAACCCATGCATCGCGGACATAGCCTCCGGAACAGCCATCTGGCTCCTCGATCTCGCGCCGGAGCTCCCCAACGCCACCTTCGAAGGCCTCGACATGAGCATGGCAGTGGCCCCGCCGCCCGAATGGCTCCCTAAAAACATCACCCTCCGTCAATGGAACCTGAACGATGATGTCCCCGCCGACCTCGTCGAGAAGTTCGACGTGATCCACCTCCGCTTGCTGGTTCTGGTGGTCGAAAACAGCGATCCAACCCCAATCATCCGCAAGGTATCCCGCATGCTCAAGCCGGGCGGCTGGATCCAGTGGGACGACTACAACTATCAAGGTACACATGTGGTCAAGGTCAACCCAGCCCACAAGACACCGGCTCTGGAGCAGCTCTGCGCATTTTTATTCTCAGGCGGCCGGCAGGACTGGGTGGTGGAGCTTCCCCGCATCTTTGAGAAGGAAGGGTTTGAGAAGGCCCAGATCTTTCACTATCGGCCACGACGAGAGATGGCGAGGGCCAATGGGGAGTTGCATCTCTCCACGATCGAGGAGTTTGCGGCAAGGTTGCTGGAGGATGAGAAAGTGGAGGCGGGGAATGAGCTGATGGGGCTGGTGCGGCAAGGGCTCGTGGAGGCCGGTGCCGGGGCGGCCATGTCGACGCCCAGAGCTGTTAGCATTGGACGGAAGAAGGGTCCGAACGGGGTGAAGTTGTAGACTTATGTTGCAGCGGTTGAGGAATGTAGTGGCGTGCAGTGTTTGGGCATAGTGGGCAGAAGACACTTTCAATCGAATCGTAGTTCCAATCAATAAATCAATCCATGGTGATAACCTCAACTCAACACGCAGTATTTTCGTAGTAAGGATTCGAAGAAGTCTGCAAAGAGCTGTCCAGATAGCGGAGATGGATTTCATCTTGATACGTAACCAGTAGTGCGGGAGATCGATCACACACTGATCTGTCCCCGCGGGCGGGCGCGGGCGTTGCCGAGGTCCTACCGATTTAGGCTTAGTGGGGCCGGTCCCTCCCTTTCCATTGCAACGTTCCAGACCCGATCCATCATCTCCCTTGCTTCCCTCATCTCCAAAGATCCAGCTACTCACAAAGACACAACGGATTGCAACTCTTGACTAGGACAATGTCCCTAAACAACTGCATGCCCATCGATTTGATAAGAAACCCTTGTGGAGAGGCTGGATGGCTCCCACAAATCCGCCTGGGGAGGCTGGAGTTGTCTCCCGGTGACCCTCACTCATGCTAGTTATGCTTTATTGATTACCTACAAAACGGCCTTGAGTCAAAGACTATCAGGCTTAACCGGCCGAAGGTACGATCGAACTCTTTTCTGCCCTCGTTGAACACGTTCAAGCCTCACTCATCAACACTTCGTCATTCCAGACACGGAGTCTAGAGCGTTCCCTCCAGTCGGGATGTCAACGCCGTCCCCATACACACCGTATCCGGCGACCGATGGAGGCATGCCGGGATTCACTTTTGGTACGGGACGCCACGTTGGACTGACCTGCCGCCACCTACGGCGATATCGATTGTCGGATGCAACTTCAGCTACCAATAATACAGCTCCTTGCTGTGCGACCGTCGGCGATGCTTTTTTCGCGATTTTCCAATGTGGACAAAGCATTTTAACAGGATACAAGATTGAGAGGTCCAGCGAGCCTAAATCTCTGCAGCTGAGATCGAAGCAGACTCCCACCTCAGGCTAGGTTCATCGCAGACAGCAATTCCAGCCTTGATCGACAAGCTACAAGCGACGGGCCTAAATCGATCTCTCTTTCTCCCATCCACCGCATCTTATCCAATCCCCGTGGGGATTCCAGCCCGGGATCCGATAAACTTGTGATCTTCGAGGTTACATTCGCATGCTCCATGATTTGATGTTAACCATGGTCGCTTCATCACTTCCCCGCATCTGCTGTGATCGGCAGGACTGGCTACCAACCAGCACCCGAAACTCGCAGTCGCCAGCCGTGGTTATACAGCATAACAAGCTTTCTTATCTTCATCCATGTGGATTCCGTCATATCTGTCGCTGGTCATCTGCTAATGACGGAATGGAACGATTACCCATCGTAGCCAGTCTGCATATGGACGGCTGGGCTCTGTTGAACAGTGGAGTGGTATATACCGCATCATGCAAATACACTCCGGAAATTCGATAAAAGGCTGGCCAACCCCCGCATCTCAGATCTCTTGATTATCCTTACACTGAAAACATACTCTTGTTTGCCGAAAAGTCACACAAAGATTATGTTTGGCTAGACTTAGAGCTACACAGCTGTTGCTCGCCAAGTCTCTTCTCATTCGGTCGCCTTGTTACGGAATTGGCCATTATCAATAAAATAGTGACAGAATATCTACCACAATGACCCCGGAAGAGATTACAGAGAAGAAGACCATGAAGGAAGGTAGTCCAACTGCTCGGGTGGAGCACACCGAGAAAGCCAGCGGCGCACATGCGATCTACGACCTGGAGGGGCGCACCACCGGCCCGAGTCATCTTAGCGCGATCCTCGAGAACCCTCTCGCAGGGATCCCACGCGAGAAGTTGTTGGACGATGTTGAAATCTTCTGTCGTGAATATGGTCTAGATGAACATCTGGAGGACTTCCGGAAGGGAGCGCTCATCTCGCAGAACCCAGCAGGAGCGCTCGATCTGCCCGAGCTGAGTGAGGAAGACAAGAACACACTCAGGCGCGAGCAGACTCACAAATGGTCGCAGCCATGGCAGCTTTACTTTTTGGCTGGTGAGACATGTTTTTATGTTTCTATATTGCCGTTCTTGTCTTTTGACTAATCTTGTTAACAAGCTATGTGCTCCCTTGCTGCCGCTGTCCAGGGTATGGATGAGACCGTCAACAACGGCGCGCAGGCAATATACTTGAAGGTAAGGCATACCGGCTAGTACGGAGAAGAGAGCACTGACAGCTCTACAGCAACTCGGGATCAAGTCCTCTCGTTTTTCTCCGAAGATGCAAGACTACCTGACAGGTCTTGTCGTTGGCGCACCCTACCTCGCCTGCGCGACGGTCGGATGCTGGCTGACGGAGCCGATGAATCGATACCTCGCCCGTCGAGGGACGATCTTCTGGTCCTGCTTCATCGCCGCCGTTGCGTCTATCTGGGAAGGCGTGGCCAATTCCTGGGTCAACCTGTTCCTCGCCCGGTTCGTCCTAGGCTTGGGTATCGGGTCCAAATCCTCGACGGTGCCCGTCTACGCGGCCGAATGCTCGCCCGCGCCTATTCGCGGCGCCCTAGTCATGATGTGGCAGATGTGGACGGCGTTCGGGATCATGCTGGGTAACATCATGGGGGTGGCATTCATGGGCCTCTCGGACGACCTCTCGTGGCGTCTCATCCTGGGCTCCACCGTCGTCCTACCCATCATCGTCTGCGCCCAGGTCTACTTCTGCCCCGAGTCCCCGCGCTGGCTCCTCCAGCATGATCGCATCGACCAGGCCTTCCGCGCCTTCCGCACCCTCCGGCCCACCTCCCTCCAAGCCGCGCGCGACCTCTACTACGCCTACGTGCAGGTCCAGCTCGAGCGGCAGGTCAACACGGGCCGCAACTTCTTCAGCATGTTCCTCGAGCTCTTCACCGTTCCGCGCAACCGCCGCGCCACGCTGGCCAGCTGGATCGTGATGTTCATGCAGCAATTCTGCGGCGTCAACGTGATCGCCTACTTCAGCTCGACCATTTTCTTGGATGCGGGGTACTCGATCCAACAGGCCCTGCTCGCCTCGATGGGCACCGGCATCCTGAACTGGGTGTTCGCGCTCCCGGCCTTCTTCACCATCGACACCTGGGGCCGTCGCAATCTGCTGTTGTTCACCTTCCCCTTCCTCGCCCTGTGCCTCCTCTGGTGCGGCTTCTCCTTCTGGATCGAGCCCGACAACCCCAGCAGCCGCGCCCGCGTCGCCATGGTCACGACGGGGATGTACCTGTTCGAGGTCTTCTACTCCCCCGGTGAAGGCCCTGTGCCCTTTACGTACTCGGCTGAAGCATTTCCCCTGCAAGTCCGCGAGGTGGGCATGTCCTTCGCGACGGCGACGACCTGGTGCTTCAACTTCATTCTGTCGTTCACGTGGCCGCTGCTGCTGAGTTCGTTCAAACCCCAGGGCGCTTTTGGGTGGTACGCCGCCTGGTGCGTGGTCGGGTGGGTGCTCGTGCTGCTGTTCGTGCCGGAGACGAAGGGTGAGTCTACCTGCCTTTCCCTCGGATTCGCTTCTGGCAGGGAGTCCATCCCTCTATTCTTTAAAACTGTTCTTGGTATGTTGAGAAATGTTCATACTGACTAGATGTAGAACTCACCCTCGAAGAACTCGACCAGGTCTTCTCCGTCTCCACCCGCAAGCACGCCCGCTACCAGCTTGACAACGCCTGGTGGCACTTCCGCGTCTGGATCCTGCGGCGGAAGCTCGAGCCGCTGCCCAGATTCTACGAGGGGGCGGAGCGGTTGGCGGAGGTGGTGCGCTAGCTGAGCTGCAGTATACTGTAATTTACGGGGCCTCGGTTGTGGGAGATGCGGTGAGAGAGGGATGAACGAAGTGCTCTATGTAACTCATGTATGCTGTTCGACTGTAATTGATAACCAGATATACAGAACCATCCGCACTCGCCGTTGTATTGAGAAACATGTAGAGCAAGCCCAATCCCGCGAAAAAAAGAAAGGGAGGGAAGAGAGGAATGATGAGGGGATGATGCCCACCCGAGGAAAAAGCAAAAAGAGAAATCACGTGCTCACACTCGGACTCGAACCGAGGATCTCAGCATTACTAGTGCTGCGCTTTACCATCTAAGCCATGCGAGCGGTTGATGCATTTTTGCTCTTTAGGCGCGTTTATACTCCAGAATCGAAAGTGGGAACTCAATTGGTTTGACATTTATGGTCATCTACGTCTGCCTGGCAATCGAGACGGAGAAGATTTTCGAAAGCGCCTCGACAGCTCGACTAATTTTCAAGTATGACTTCCCGCAGTGAGAACTTGTGTGTTAGTATGGATCATTGTTGTGGGTTGCGATTTTCAGTCCATATTGTGAGAACGTTGGGTTGTGAAATGTGGCAAGGAGGAAACTACTTATATATTTACAAGGACCGACCCGCAGCCCAACCCCAAGCCCACAGGTATAGCCACGTCTTCACAGATAGAATAGCACGTGGCGCCTAGCAGAAAAGAGAGAGTAAAACAAGCTGACTGAAAGAAAAGGGGGGTCTGTGGGTTCTCCCCCAGGACGCTGTTGTTCCTGGAGGCTTGGACGGGGTGAGCGTCCTGGGGGAGAACCCCCAGACCCCCCTTTCTTACAATTTACAAACAACAGCGCCCCGGATAACGGACCCAAACCATATCCCTAAACACCCCCCTTATCACCCACCGGACACGGCACCTCCACGTGCAGTCCCCCCAGATGCGCCAGCGTATACCCCAGCACCGGCGGCGCGCCCTCCCTCTGCACGACCGAGACGTCCGCCACCAGCGCCTCCGCGGGAATAAGCCCCGTGCGGGGATCGCGCCGGGCCTCCTCCAGCTCCACGGCGCCCTCGACGAGGGCGACAAACGTGCTGGTGTGGTGGGGGCCCTCGAAATGCGGCCAGCGGCGGAGGAGCTGCACGGCGCGGCGGCGGGTGGGCAGGTCGCGGCATTTCAGGGCGATCCAGGTGAGCGGGAGGATGATGACCATGTCCATGACGAGGGTGGGGAGGTTGCGTGGGCCGAACTCGGCCTCGAGGCTGGCGACCGTGGCCTCGCCGAATGCGAGGCCCTCGATCAGGTCCGGGGCGAAGTCGTCCCACACGTCCTCGGACAGTCGGAGGGCGCGGTAGGTGTGGGCCTTGAGGATGCGGTGCTGCATCTGGATCAGGTTCATGCAGCGGGCTTGCTTGGGGGTCGGGTGGCGGAGCTGGGTGGTCGCTAGCTCGGTGAAGGCGGCGATGTGCTCTTCGAGCTGGGTGGCGAGTTTGCGCTGCGCGATGAGGATGGGGAAGACATCGGTGATTCCTGGGTCTTGGAGGGCGTGCTGCACGAGGGTCAGGTAGCCCAGGGCGTCGTCGGAGATGGGGTCGAGCTCGCGCCAGGCCTCGTCGAGGGTGCGGAAGCGCTGGGGTTGGTGGTTGGCGCCCCGTACCCCGTTGGTGTCTCTCTGCCGCGAGACGTATCGGTGGACTTGGATTTGGATGTCGAGGTGCGCGATGGCGGTCAAGAGGGCCATTTGCGGCGCCATGGCCGGCGACCCGTCGGCGTGGTGGTAGTCCTGCAGTTTATCGTGGACGATCGCGCGGGCTGCGTCGCCCTTCTCGCCGGACAGGATCTGGAGTCCGTTGGTGAGATGGGCGCAGGCGTTCTCGTTGTTGCCCTGCAGGACTTCGAGGTAGGTGAATACCACGCAGCAGACGAGCGCAATCACGGCAACGTGCGGGTCTTGTGAGGTCAGACGGCGGCGAAGGGTGGATAAGGCGCGACCGTATTGCTCGATGGCGAAACGACGGTGTTGAGTCCGATGCTTGATGGCCTTACTCCGAGACATACCGTTCGTCTCGGAGCTTGCATGCATGGCACTCAAGGAGACCAGGGCATGTCCGACCGCAGGCTCGGCCTGACTTAGCTGCAGTGCGAGACGTCGCCAGACTTCCCATTCGAAAAAACTGACCAGCATGGGCATGGTGCGAGTTTGGAAGAAGCTAATGCATCTCCGCTCATCCGAGCTCATGCTGGGAAAGCTGACATCGACGATGTGAATGGACGGGGTATAGCATTTGCCCTTCTTGGTGACGATCGGGAGGCGGGCCGTTTCGTACCCATCGCATGTCCGGCCCGTCGAGCTGCAGTTCTTGCACGATCCTGGGGTCTCGTCGCACTTGATCCTTCTGGTTTTGCAGGTCTGACATCCTGTGCGGGAGCGACGAGTATACGCCCTCTGTCGGGCTGGCCGGTTCATGATTCTTGCTGCCTGTAAGCTTGCGGGATTGGAAAAAGGCTGGCTGTGCTTCCGACCGAAAGTCGCAGCCTCAAACGCTCTTCAACCGGCGCGCTTTTAGTGCATCAGTCCGTCGCTGTTAGACCACCACATTCAGCGTCATTGGCTCAGAGCCGCAGATACTGCGAACTTGGCGTAAGATTATGGGCAAATCCTCGCCAGCTTCAACGGACCGATCAATCATAAGCTGATGACTATCTAACGTTAGTGAAGTTACCCGTAACTCAATTAGCACTAATTGCAGAGGAGGGTTGTTAATTTTCATTATGGTCTGGGCCGGGCTAGGCATGCTTAGCGTGACTTGTTGGAACTCCAAACCAGCTTGGCCAGTATACTGGCTCAGCGATACAATTCATTTGGAATCAATTGATCTCCAATTCATGACTGAGGTGACTGGTAACTCCCATAGCTATTCTACAACCAAAATATGGGTAAATTCTGCGCAAGTACCACTCCTAAAATACCGTTCAATGTCTAAAGCGGGAAAGCCTTAGCCATTAGTTACATCTGTCCAGGTGTTCCATGGCAAGCTGGTAGATCATCGATGGGTTTTGCTCAACCTGAACCTTTCGTTCCGCGAGTGAAATGCTCAGCTCTTTGAGGGATGTGCCGAATTCAGATGCTTCCGTATCCTGCTCTGACGTTACTAAATTTGCACTAGGACACGTAGTATGGACGCAACATACCGAGATGAAAGAAGCCAGATATTGCAAGTCTTTCGACGCTTCGTCAATCGACTCCATCTGTACCAATGCTTTGAGCCAGCAGTGAACATGATTCTCGATGAAGAGAGAGACGGAGTCGCCGGGGTGAACTTCTGCTCCACTTCCCTCAAGATGCTTCACCCAGTATCGGCAGGCGTAGCGCGCTGCGGGTGACCATTCCCACACAGTGCAAGCGTCACCTGTGTCGACCATGAGGTCGCTTTGGTCTGAGGTTGAGCCTGCTGTCTCTTGTTGGACTCGCTCAAGGATGCCTGGAAGCAAACGTAAGCAACCTTCCATAGCATCGTAGTGAGCCTGTTTCGAGTCTATGAGGAACCTCTCGTCGGTACATCTCGTGGGGCTCGTCAAAAATGATCCCACGGATGGATGAAGGAGACGGAACAATGAACTCTGATCGTGCTTGTCGTCCGGAACATCCATGATCGGCTGTAAATTCTTCAAAACCTCATGGATATCGATGCCATACGCCCCGCGCCCATCCCCTTCCAGGTCAATTAGTTGATAGAATGAAGCGGGAGAAACCTCCACAAACAGCACAGCTATGACGCCCAGGTAGCGTCGCAACAAGCCGTAGTATATGCTGCTCTCCTTGTTGCTCAGGTTTGATGGCATTGCATCTCTCAAAATGTCCAGGTTCACGCCGTCAAATTGAGCGTCGATGGGTGACATTGTGGCTCCAGGCTGGAGCAGCATCGATAATCTTCGGCTAGATAGCTCGGGCACTTCTCGAATATACCTGGCCGTCATTGAAGCCCAGAGGAAGTTACCTCCGGTTTTCTCAACCAGCTTTCGAAGGTTATCCCCCACTTCCCAGTTTGTGTTCAGCTGTTGTAGCTCTCGCTGGAAAAAGAGCGAAATATCCTGATTAATAATTTCTTGGGGGATGTTTTGCAGCTCCAAAGCACGGAACCGACCTTCGTGCTCGCATCTTCTGTGGAAATTTATGGTGGGTGTCATCCTACTACTTATGAAAACTCGTACACCAGCCGAACTGATATCCCCCAGCAAGCGAATGACGATACCAACCTCAGAGGTTTCGCAATTGTCAAGAGCATCAACAATGAGCACAATCGGCAGTCCATTGCAAGGAAATCGAGCTCTCGATATGGGTCTCAAGATCAACTTTTGGCACTGATCCCCAAGGGACTTGAAGCAAAGATAAGGGTCCTTAGCCATTGCTTCGGAGATAAAAGACATGAGGACTGGGAAATCAGTGGCAAGTTGGTAAGCAATAGTTGTGATGAATTCGCGTGCTCTGCGTTTGCCACTGCCCGAGGCCTTATCGAAGAAGAAGGTTGCTCCAAGGCGACCTTGAGCATCCCAACTATGACCAACCGTTCGAGCTATTGTCGACTTGCCTATCCCTGCCCATCCAGTTAGCCAGTACATCGTCTTGCCACTATGACTATCTGCCCATGCGTGAATATCTTCCAGAACGGCTGTCCGAGTCCCTTCGAGACATAAGAGGTCATGCTGTCTATCATAGTGGTTGTAAAACGCCTCTGACGTACAGGGAAGCTTGTCGAAAAGAGTTGGCCCGCTTCTATTTTGTGTCAGTGAACTCTTGTATCTAGGGTGCCGAAACGTACCGCATAGACTTTATGGTGGCCTTTTCCTCAGTTGACTCGATTTGCATATATGCTTGTTCGTTGAGCACCGCCAGGTCGTCACGGCATAAGCCGCCCTTTGGTAATGTTAATAATTGCCTGACTGGTGTCGTTTGTTCATCTTCATCTTTAGGACTCTCGTATACATCTAGTACAGCTCGTGCAGAGGCAGCAGCAGCGGCTGCGGCATGTCTTTGCCACTTCTTGTTCTTGTGACTGTCTGCGTAGTCACACACACCCTTGATAATGAGACATGGCAGATAATTCCAAGCCCCTGCTCCTTCCATTTCGAACGCAATAACATTCTTTGTCTGTGCAACTCTGTCACGATGCTGGCCGGATTTTATCACTTGGTCTCCAGATGCAATAGAGCCAAAATGAAGAAGCAGTGTTGTAGTGTTTTCATCCCGGGCCCGAGGGACCAGATACTCAGGCTCGCAGCCGAGCTGATCACACGAGGAGTGCTTTGCAATAGTGCAAGACTTCCCCGGTTGGACGCAGTCGCAGTCGTGCGGGTTGCGGTGCTTGTGCATATAGTCCGGCAGGAAGAGCTGGTCTTCCTTGTCCCCTGGATACCGAGACTGTGCAAAACCTGGCTTCCGGAGCAAACAGTCCAGATGTTTCGATGTTTTTTCCTCGAGGTACGTCTTCTGATTCTCTAGCTTGGCTAACAACGATCGCACTACCCACGTAGGTCTTCCAAATTGTGGGTGCTCGGAGATTTCCGACACTGGGTCATATGGGTGGAAGATCGCATTCTCAGCCGGTACAATGTTCCTACTGATCACAACATCGCCAAGCAGAATTGGATCGTGGGCTTGCGGGACTCCGCCACAGATTCCAACAATCAGAACAAGCTTCAACTCTGTAAAGCTTGCTTGTATACCCGCTGCTGTCGCTGCTGCATTTACCTTGCCCATCCCCGGCATGTGTGCGAGAACAACCCTGTGGTTTGCGATTTTGCCGGTGGTATACGAGTTCATGTCCATTGGAGCCCTGATGAAAGTGTTGGTTGCATCGTTTTCCGGTGCTTCGCCATCAATCTGATCAAATATCCCTCTGATAGCATGGGCTTCGAGGGGCAAGGCAGCAAGGATTCCAATCTTGAATTCTGGGTTTCGAGAACCTGGCGTTGAAAGCATTGTAGCAATCGCGACGGGGGAATATGTGCTTTGCAATACCACGAAAAAGACTAGTCACAATTCTTTTGTCTCTGGGAAGAAGATAGAAGGTTGAGAGATCGACCTCCATGGCAGTAGATGACTTTATAAGAGTACCTAGAAGATAACGCGGTTAGTATGCAAGGCTGGGGTTGCATCCGACTCAGTAGGCGCCTAATCCTCGCTTGTGACAGGAGAGTTGAGTGGAGCATGTCCGAGAGACCATGGCTACTAGTTTGAGGTTTAGCGTAAGTTTACCATCGATCCGATGAAAAATAGATGGAGTAGTACCGTATCGTCATGTACTGTACTTTAGCAAATTTCCGATTCGACCCCTGACGACCCTTGGGGCTCTCCTCGCTCTCCACACCAATGAACAGTTCAATCTCTGATGAGCCACTATAGATACACGCAACACGGCCCCTCATATGTTTTGTTCTCTCTTTGAAGTAATCCCAAAAGACAACGTCCGTTTTAGGTGTTATCCTTTTACCCCCACCCTGTTCTTGGGTGACTTCTTCATCATCTGCCCACAATGGCATCCGATGCCTTTCATGATAATAATTCGGACAATGAGCCCGCTTCCGCAATCATGCATGATACATCCGAGGACGCATTTGAATCCGCATATTGTCCAGATGAGCTACATCTGGTCATCAAGCGCAACGACACGCTCGGTCTGCTCAGATACAACGAACAAGCAAAAGAGCGCGGCGAGGATATTTTCAGCCGGGTAAAAGTAAGCCTTTACGGCTACTACCCGTTGCCGCCATTCTATTCCGCGGCTTATCATGGAAGTCTTGACACTTTACGCGCCCTGATAGACATTTATCAGTCCGATGCCACGCACCGGCAGCGGCTGGAAGAGTATCTGCAGGGACTCGATTTTCGACTGCTCAACCTCGCTTGTGGCAACGCCGATCGGGAAATGACACGGTTCATGCTCGACCATCAGCCACCCCTGGGCGCGTGGCGGGATCGGGACGCCAAGGGGGTGACACCGCTGATCTGTGCCGCACAGGCTTTTCCCGGTGATGTGGAGGCTTTGAAGAGAAAGATGAAGGAGACAAGTCCCGCGATGATCCGGGAGAAGTTGCGAGAGCACCACGCTCGCTATGGCGAGTTTATCGAGTTCTGTTTGGCCAGTGGTGCTTCGGTCCTCGAGGCGGATCAGTACATGTTTCCCTATCAACTCGGATGGCAAGCCCAGCCTGGCGACCAGCAGATACTGGGGGACACTGTGCTGGGCAATGTGGTAACCCACGCCAGCTATGCAATGGTGTCCCACTTGATCGCGGCAGGCGCTGATGCGCATGTCGTGCAGACGTGGTACGATCCCTGTGCCTTTGGCGGTGGCTTTCGGTGCGCCGGGGTCACGCCACTGCATATTGCCAGCAAATACTGGAATCTGGATGCGATGCAAGCGCTACTAGACCACGGGGGTCGGACCGGACTGGCCGAGATGGTTTCGAGAAGGGATGACCATGGACGGCCACCACTCCATTGGGCGTTAATGGGTGATAAAAATGAAATAGCCACCTTGACTCCTTCAGAAGTGACCTCGCGCCTGTTGCGCACTGTGAAGCTGCTTCTTGACATGGGGCCTGCAATGGTCAATGTGAAGGATCAAGCAAACAAGACAGTGCTGCACTATGCGGTCAACAGCCGTGTGGGGGATGCCGACTGTCTCGCAGTAGTGAAATTGCTTCTGGAGTACCGACCCGACCGGGACATCCTGAATGTCCGGGACACCGACGCCGATAGACCGGGCTCAACTGTTTTGCATTACGCTGTATCACATCGCACTGATGACGGCGTCAAGTGTGAAATCTTTCTGCAGCTGCTTGATCTTCTAGTTGTGCATGGGGCAGATCCGAGCATGTGCGATGAGTCTAGTCGAACCATGTTGTACAGATTGGCCATGAGAGACAGCAGTATCAGGCTAATTGATGCTGAGACCTTGGAGAAAATCCTGACACTGGTCAACATCAACAATTCAGATGTGAACGGCGATACCGTACTGCACTATATTTCCAGGAGACTTCCTCAAACCCACGCAATCCGCATACTGCTCAGCCGGGGTGCCAACGTCAACGCAGTCAACAAGATGGGAAATACCCCGCTACATTTAGCTGCTGGCGCGAGTGTCTTTCCGAAGTGGCGACCAATGGATAACAGTGAACATGCAGGAACTCCGCTTGAAGAAGGGTTTAAGGCGCTTGAGAAGATGATCGACATTCTTCAGGGCGCTGGGGCATCCATGGATCAAGCCAACCTTGCAGGAGAAACACCGCGTGAGATATTGAAAGAGACCAGGGAACGATGGGCGCTGAAAGACTTCAGGCCTCGCTGGAGATAGCTATTGCCTCGGACTAAATAGTGAAAAAACCATATTTCTGAAACAACAATCATGATTTCGAAAACCAGAAATAGAAGAGTGAGAGTGGAGAAGAGGAACCGGTCAAGAGAAGAGAATGGTACAAATACTGAGTAGATGGAGAAGGCGGCAATTAATTCATCCCCGGCGGGGCAGAATCCCCCAAATACCCCCACATGCGGGCTTCTAGACCATTACCTCATGCACGCCTACAAGTTTAATTACTGCTGCTGCTGCTGCTGCCTGCCGCCAACTCCCCCGATCTCCCTATTCTGTACAAACTACAACACAACACAACACCACCAAACCACCAATCGCACCCACAATGCCTCCCCCGAAGACCCAACTCCCCGAGGGCGGCAAGACCCTGGTTTACTCCACGGTAGACGGCCACGAGATCAAACTAGACTACTACCTGCCGCGCAACACCACGAGCGGCCACCTGCCGGCGATAATCTACTACCACGGGGGCGGCATGACCGCCGGCTCGCGGCGCGGCGGCCACTTTCCCACCTGGCTCTACGGTGCGAGATCCCCAAATCCCCAAATCCCCAATCCCCAATCCCCAGCCCCGGAATCACCCAACTGATTTTGAATCCCACAGACCACTGCCAAAAATCCACCTACATCTTCATCTCCGCCGATTACCGGCTGTGCCACCCGAGCACGGCCCTGGACCAAATCGCCGACGCCCAGGCCCTGTTCCGCTTCCTGGCCAGCCCCGCCTTCCAATCCTCCCTCGGGTCCCCCGACCTGTCCCTGGACACCTCCCGCATAGCAGTCACCGGCTTCTCGGCGGGCGCCTACTCCGCCCGCGCCGCGTGCGTCCACGCCACCCCCAAGCCCTGTGTGCTGATGACGGCCTACGGCACCGGCGGGAACCTGCTGCTGGACCACTGGACGCAGCCGCGGCCGCCGACCTCCATCGCCAAGATGGTCGACCTGGCCGACGTCCCGCGACTGCTGGCGGATCGGACGGTGGTCAGCGACGATGCAGACCGAAACTCGAATCGGTTTGCGCTGACGGTGCGGTGGGAGATCGACGGGACGTTTTTGGACGGGGTGTTTGGACGGCCCGGGTTGGGGGCAACACTCAATAAGGTGGAGTATGCGGGGAGGGCGGAGGCGGTGCCGGAGGAGTTGAAGCCCGGGTTCCTGCAGAACTTTGTGGGGGAGGGGTATCCCCCTGCCGTGTTTGTGCATGGGACGGCGGATGAGGTTGTGCCTGATCAGGAAAGTAAGTTTCAGCATGAGCAGTTGGGGCGGCTGGGGATTAGGACGGAGTTGTTGCTGGTGCAGGATGCCGGGCATGGGTTGGTGGATTTAAAGTCGGGGTTTCCGCCGAAGTTGGCCGAGGGGGCGATGGAGGCGTATGCTGAGGCGTTGAAGTTTGTGGATGCTGCGTTGCTGGGGAAGTTGTGAGGTGGATCTGAATTGTGGATAGATTGGGACTCAAATAGACGTAGAGATGAAGTAACTTAGTGACAATTGGTTCTTGGATAGGCATCGTTCTATCGTATCATTACACCATTATATACATCACCCGGTCCGCACGTCTATACACGATTATTTCTATCTTGGTGATCGGTCCTCGTGGGTATGATCCTCTTCTCTTCCTCGCTATTCGCAACCCCCCCGGACGGCGCAGTGGCATATTCCAGCACTGTCAGCACCGTCAACGTCAAACTCGGTTGGCCTACGGGCGAGCTCCGCCAACCACGTTGTAGCGAATCTGGGCCAACAGCGAAGTAACTCCATCCTTTCCGAGCTTGTAATAGATGAGTCCACCCAGAGCAATCGCATAGCCGAAGAACTGAAGGGGCGTGACGGGATCGCGGAAAATAACCATCGAGGCCACCACGAGCAGGATATCCTTGAGGACGCCGGACAGGGTGAGGACGAGAGCAGAAGTTTTGCCGATCTAGAGGACCACATTAGCATATGTTCTCCACCCTACGTTCATGTCGACATACCAGGAAGACGACAGCAACATTGAGTCCGAAAGCAACAGCAGCGTTCAAGAAAAGAGTGCCAACTCCAAGGCTATAGATGTCGGACATGTGCATGGTCGGCAGTTCCACGACCGCAGTAATAACACCGTTCATGATCGCGCAAGCGGGCGCGAAATAGTAGAGCGAAACCAAGGGGTCCATCTTGAATTCGGCGGAGCTGAGAAGGCGCTGGACCATGACTAGACGAACGGATTCGAAGATGGTGGCGAAGAACTGGCCTGGAAAAATATGAGCACGCAATTCATGTCATGAGGGCATGAGAGCACATACAGATGAAGCCAATCATGGTGAACTTGATCTCGCCGATCGAGGCGATGATGACACCGATGACGATGAAGGAGATGTTTCCGAGCAAGCTCAGACGCACTGGCGCAATGCCCATAGCCCATGTCGCGAGGAGAGTCGCAACGGAGTTAGTGGCCTGGTACAATTAGCATCCCTGCTCAGGCGAGTGGGTTCAATGCAATTACCTTGAGCATCTGGATGAAAGAAACACTGAGGTACAGGTAGGCCAGGTTGCCGCAGATAAGACTCAGCGAGAAGAAAGCGCCGATGGGCACGATAGCGCGCCTGAAGACATTCCCAATTAGCAACTGTGTATAAATCAGGGCAAGAGAGACGAACATGTAAACGCGCGAGGTCATGGGCACGTTGTGGCGGGAGTCGAGCAGGGTCGTGAACCGCGCCATCAGGCGGGTCATAATAGTAGCGAAGACCAAGTGCCATGTAGTCAGAAACAAGGCTATAGCAACATATTGTCAGTTCTGGAGGCATTCGGCAACGATGTCTAGACACGGGTCGACGTACGGAAACCTGGTGAAAAAGATCGCGATTAGCATGATCCCCACAAATCAAAGCACACGTCGCAATACTCACTGAAACCAGCAGTGTGCAAAATCCACTTGTTGAAGATAATGACCCCCGAGCTGAGCGCAATCCACGTTCTAGCGGTGTATTAGTCTGAGTTCGAGTCGTAGAAAGCAAGTCAACCGTACGCGATGTAGAAGGCCGGATGCAAAGCCGCTTTCGCGGGCTCCGCGGGGGTGTTGACCGTGGGCAATGGCGATTTCGACGACATGACGGGAGACGGTGGGAGGACAGTCGAGGAACCGAGAACCGGAGGCGCGGAAGAGGAAGAGGAGAATCGAAGGCCGATTCAGCAGAAGAACGTGCTGCTGGATAAGGAGAAAAGAAAGAGACGAAGAACAGAGAAGGGGGGGGGTGTAGAAAGATAAAAACAAAAAAGTGACGAAGGGGAAAGAGTGTGAAAAGTGGAGCCGCCGACCGATCGGCCAGCCGGTCGGTCCCTGGCAGGCTGTGGCAGGCTGTGTGGCAGGCTGGCAGCTCAAAACGACACGCGGCCCTGCGGTTCCAGCCGCGCCCCTCCACGTAATCGCCTCCATCGCATCAGAAACCTGACCGATGGCGTTGAGCCTTTCTCCGGTTGGCTCGTGCAATGGTACTGCATATCCAATGAATTGCTCAAGATGAGGAGGGTCCACGACTCCAGCCATTCCACCCTCTGTGCGTTTCATCCTCCAACCCCTCCAGGGTCTGCGCTAACCTCCGCGAAAATGAGGCTTATCGATAGACAGCGTAGAAGCAAGGTCTGGCCTTGCGTCATTTCTCAGAAAGACCCTTCTACTTCTACCTGTTACACCGCGTTGAAACTCCCGTTTCTCTGAAACAAATGTCGAGCTGAACCACCGCGCCGGGTGGAACAGTTGTCCAACCGGCAGCTATGAAAAGACTGCTTGTTACGGCTCTGCCGAGATTCATCAGAAACCCCACATACCACCCTTCATCCATCCGCGAAGTCAGAGACAGTCAAGCTTTACTTTTATTTACGAGTCATCCTTGGCAGGAAGTCTGTAGCTTGGCATCTTTGCAGCACTCGAAAGAAATGGTGGGATACTCCGCCCACCGTTCCTTTGACAACAACCCACGCAGCCTACCAAGCAGCGACGGTCTGGCCAAGCAACTGCGCATGGAATGTGATAGTAGGAAAGAGGTATTATAGTTTGAGTGACACAAAACGTCTAACAAGCTCTCTCCCCTTGCGACGGCCCGACAACCGGGTCGCAACACGTTCGAGAACCGGAGGTAGTCGTCATGGGCAGCCGACTTGGAAATCTCTAGGCGCCCACGTTTCACCAACGCCAACCAAAGATTTTGGAAACAGAATGTTCCTGAGGATGATAGTCTATTCTTAATCGAAGACTAGACCAGAAGTACCATACCCAGAGCACTTGAAAGAATGCTGTCGCCCGTTTGAGTTCCTCAAACACTTACGTATGTTGTTTCGAGCTGCCAGAGAAATAACCCTTGCTATTATCTATTCTGTGCGTTCTGCCGCCGATTTGGTGGCATACTATGCATTCTGATAGTTTCCCAAACAAAAGACTCCAACCCACTGCCCTCTTCTGTCCCCAGACAACAAAACCAAAAGTCCTCTCTATTTCCCAGCCATTACCATACATTTTGATCGGTCATCTCTCGTGAAAAGCGCTATAACGTGCAGACAAAGGTGCGCATCGGGAAACACGCGGTATCAATGACGGGTCGCCATTCCTCGCATCACTGTCTTGAGATTAGCATGTTGACAGACTGCGAGGTCTTCGTACAGAGATGATCATCCGATCGTCCAGTGGTACTTACTGTATCGCACGGAATCGAAATCAATCTCTTCCTGATCTCGACTGCCGCCTTTCTTCGGAGGCTGTTCGTCTTTTCGAGGAGCTAGGGTAGTGGCATCGCTGAGCACCGAAGCAGAATCGTCTTGCGCATGTTCTTTCGAAGACGTGCTGTCTTTGGATTGTTTCGAGTCCGCATTATTCTTGATATATTTGGAGTCTTCGGAGCCATTGCAATTCTTGGGAGACTTCGACCGGATAGCCCGGTACATGCTGTTGAATGGGTTGGAAGGCATTGCTGCAAGGAGGGTTGATGCGGTGGATGGAATCACTTTGAAGATTGAGATGTAGTTGGAAGAATTGGCTTGTCTGTAGCTGCTGATTTCTTTCCACATTGCTGATTCCTGACACTTATATAACTTTCCTAATCGTGAGGGAATTGTATAGTCCACTCCGTATAGTTTGTTACTGCCTGGCCGGTGTCGGCCCTCGGAGTAAACGCACGGGCCCTCGGAGCAGCCCTGAGCGTTCCTGTCTTTTCTCTCCGCGAGCTTATCTTCCCTTCCAGACCCTCTCCCTCTCCCTCTCTCCACCCACTGTCGCACCCACTGTCGGACCTCGACTCCAGGTTTGACTCATCTCGACTCACGCGGAGTCACACTTTTGTTGAACGTTTAATTAAACCATGTCTGCGCCTCGTCGCAACGGTCAATTGTCGTCATGCGAGCCTTGCCGGAAATCCAAGCTCCGATGCGATCATTCGACTCCGACCTGCAAACGCTGCGAGCGCCGTGGTAAATCGGATTTGTGTGTTTACCATCCCGCCCCACTGACCAAGCCGCGCCAGTCTGGCCAGATTCTCAAGGCAACACAGAAAAGCACCAATCCCCAGCCGCTCCTGTGTGCGAAGACAATTTCCGTCACCAATCTCGGGAGCTCCGCGTCCGTCAGCCTGCTGGGAGCCGCACAGTTTCCCAATGTTTCGAAACGTCATCTGTCAGGCAGCGGTTTTCTGGGGCCGACCAGTTACTCGGGGAGCGTGTTCAGCAATGAGGTTGAGCTGGAGCTGGGGATTCGTGCTTCGCTCTCCAAGGCAGACACACCACTTGACCCCCAGCGGGTGAACCAAGGAGCCCAAGTACTCTCGTTGCTCGAGCATCTCGACTTGTACGAGAAACTGATAGAGAATCGCAACAAGATCATACCAGGATGGTTTTTTGGCCCCCCATTATTAAGGCCACTAATTGCACGACTGAGGGCATCCTACCGCAACGCGACCGCAGGTTCAGACAATAAGTACGCACGGTTGATGGATCTGTCCCGAGTCCTGTTCAAGAACTCGGCTGCTCCAATTGAGACCAAATCCTCGATGTCCTTGAGTGACTACCTCTCTCAGTCCACGCTCCGGTGGGATATGATCGGTCTTGTCTTTGCACAGGCAGGCTCGGCGACTTTCCAAGTTCTCCAACAGGAACTCGATAACATATTCAAAGAATACCCCGGAACAACGAAAGAAGGATTATGCCAGATGACTGACCAAGCAACCGAGGCTTGCCTGCAATTTTGTAATTATCTAGGTATCATTAGCGACCCACTGTCCTGGACCATGATCCAACACATGATCTTCCTCTCTTCTTTGCATGGAAGTTGCGGTAAGCCACGAATGACCTAAGTGTCTGCCAGATCACGAGTATTGATGTCATTTCAGATCACCGGACATGGCAGATGCTTGGAGATCTCACCACCACAGTTTTTGCACTAGGCATTCACCAGTCTGCTGAAGACAGTGAGACCCCGTTCTTTCTGGGAGAGATCCGAAAGAGGGCTATGGTCGCGGCTTATGCACTGGACAAGGACCTTGCGACTTGCCTAGGCCGACCGCCTCGAATATGCTGGCGCTATTGCAATATCCAGTTCCCCCTGGATATCGATTATGATGAACTCGTAGCAGAGCCGGCGGTTAGAGAGGCGGCGCTTCAGCACCTCGATGCAGCAGGCTGGAACAAGGACGGACGACTGGACAAAGGGGCACGAGCTAGAGGCGTTCTGATTGCCAGCCTCTTGCGCGAGAGTGTTTTAGAGGTATCTTTGAGCCACGAGCTTGACGGCCTAGAGGAGAGGGTCTTGTACGTTTCTTCCTGAGCTCTGCCAGACTACCCACTAATCTGGTGCAAACAGAGAGGTCTGCCGTAGGTCGGACGAGTACCGCTTAGGTATGCCGGAGCATCTGCAATGGACAGACAACAAGGAAGATCTGTCACTTGCATCCCTGCATCTAGAGTTCTTGTATCAGCAATTTCTACTTTTCCAAACATTGTTCAAGCGTATAGGCAAGGGACTTGACCTGCTCATCCGCACATCGTCGGAGATTATCACACTCCTGCTCAAGATGATATCCATAAAATCACGGCAAGGGCTCGTTCCTGCGTACGTGAAATGGGATGTAAGGTGTTACTCTAGGCAAATCTCTCTTCATGGCTAACGTACTTTACTCGAAGTTGTGTTATATCGGCCTGCCCGCGGCCGGTGTCTTGTCGATCGAATTACTCCGACGCTCTCAGACTCAGCCGCTCACTTTGCTGGCACCGCCTTTACCACCGTTTCCCCGGTCGGAGATTATTCAGAAGCTGTCAGTGTTCATCGCACAATTCAACACCTTTGTCCCTCAAAATGAAGGCGACTATGAAATCAGTAATCGGGGCCAGAAGGTCATCTCGCAGGCGCTGGACCGCGTGCTGTCGGGTGTACCGTCCAGCATCTCTCCTTCGGAAGCAGTAGTCTCGGATGGAGCCACCATAGGCGATGACATGGAGTTCATGGCCTTTTTAGAGAATTTCGACTGGGAACAGGAGGTTCGGCTGGCTTTGGGGTAGAAGATGCGGCACCCTCGCAGGAGAAGGGTTGGAGGGAGAGCACCAGTAAGGGGATTTACGGATTGAGTATATGGCGTGGGTTTCTAACGGTAATGGCCAAATCTGCATATGACAGTTAGCGAATGAACATGTCCACCAATCAATTTTCGGTCGTTATAGATCTCGACCTCGGATCGCAAACAAAGATCCTAATCGGGGCGGGCGGTAGGCGGTTCAGCCTAAATAGGAACATTCCGACACCGATCGGCTAAGCTCCAACAGGAAAGCTGCCGCCGACCCCACGATGACCGAATCCGATCTACACGGGGTACGTCATGGAAGAATTTCTCGGAATAGTGACAATGCCCTTGTCCGGATGGCATTGCGCGTAGTCAACATACCCCATTGCGGGAAATTCGAAGTACAATTCATTGTCGCTCTAGTGAACCAAACCAGTATCAGAACCAAGCCCTCAAATCTATACCATCTATACAACCCAGCAACACAAACCACCATATCAATCATACATAAAGAGCTAATTCATCAAACTCCCCCCAAACCAACTCAACCCAGCCCTCTACAAACCAATCAAGCCCCAATAGGCTGCTCCTCCCCGCGCGGGGCATTATTGATCAAACTCATAAAACAATTCCATCCTACCACCAAAAGTCAGCAAAGTCCTTTACCGCCTTGCCCCATCCCCAAGCCTCAACCATGCGCCCCCAAGATACAAACCAAAGGTAGGAAGAATAACATACCAACATTAACCACATTGACCACCAACACCCGAAACGGCAGGGGCACCAGGAACAGATTCACCGCCTGCACAGCGGGCCACACGGTCCAGTTCGCGCAAAGCGCGTCCCAGTAGCTTCGCTGCAGCTTCTCGGCCGGGCTTTTCCCCTCGAGGAGCGACATGCTGCTCAGGAACACGCCGATCATCGTCGGCGCGAAGAGGAGCTGGTCCGCGCCGACGCGGGCGACCAGCGTCGGGCCTGCCGAGCGGAAGGCTACGCGGGCTTGCAGGAGTTGGTACCATTTTGTGGCCACGGGGCCGAAGACGGCTGCGCTTGTTAGTACCTTCGTGGTAGAGGGGAGAAAGGGGTAGGGGTAGGGGTGGCGCATGCTCACCGCCGCCGTATAGCGCCATCCGGCTGCTGCGCATTACATCATACTCGGCGAGGGGACGTTTCTCGATGACGGTTTGCGCGAGGCCGTCGCCTAGGGCGAAGAGGGCCTGCGGTTGGTTTAGCTTTGAGGATTGCTGGGTCCAGAGACACGGGTAGAGGGGTAGTGGAATTAGGGACAGGTTGCGTACAGCTGTAGTCAGACCCTGCGTTAGGTAGGGTCGTTGGATGAGACTTCTTTGGTACCTGGATTACGTCTTAGTTTCGGTGTTGGTGGTTGGGGTATAGTGGCGGGCTTACCAGGCGAACATTGTAGCTTTTGTGGCAACGGATATTAATTAGATAGAGGTAAGGTCACTTAACGGAGGAGATATGATGGAGTGAGTTACAATTGAGGAGGTTGTTTTTCTTAAGAATGTGGAATGTTGGTCGGTAGTCAGGTTGTGGCGGATAGCCCAAACAGGAAATCGGCCCGCTGTGACGCAATGGGATGAGTTCATCTTCCCCGCCGGGAATGCGATCGTCGCGTGTGGCTGGATCTTGGTTCGAGAGATAACCTTATCTCCATCTGAGTGGGCAGGGGGACGATGAAGTCTTGTCTATATTTCATGTGTTAATGCGCACTGCCCTTCTCCCGATGGGATAGTTGATGCAGTCTTGGAATTTCACTCGTGTATCTTTCATCGAGTATCTTTCGTTGTTGAAGAATAGTATGTCTATGACGTCTTTTGATGATTGACGATTATGCTATTTTATGCTTCAAAGATGATAGGTGCATATGCCCGCTAGCTGGGTCACAAACCGAGAGGCATAGAGCAGGAGATAGAGGTCCAAGCGAGATACTTGATCCGAGTTTTTGGGCGAAGTAGTTTCCTCGTCCTGACTAAGCCTCAGTAACATCTGCCGTCAGATCAAGCTCCTGACCATAAGCTGCGGGCTTCGTTTAACAGAAGACGCCATCATGGTCGCCAGACCTGACGAAACTGGAAAGAAGGGCGATGGATATAAGACATGCATCCTAGACCATCTTGGCAATTGGTTAGCCAGACAAAACCAAGGTCCGAAATGGTAAGCATGAACGAGATGCCCAATCCACTGCTTACTACCCGGAACATTGGGGCCGAGATAATCGACATGCCCCCAGTGAGGCAGAAAAGACTCAAACAACCACAAATCACAAGGTCTATAGTATACCCCAGCATTCGGCAGTCGGCACCTCCGGGCCCAAGCCTCCGAAGCTCACCCCCTGACGGCCCGCAGCGGGGGTCAATAGTTCGGAACCCTAAAAGGGGTCCCGATTTTGGCGCCAACACAACAACCGAAATTAGACCTTTCCCAGCAATCCAATCGCAGCGTCAATTTCGCCTTTAGCCCCAGATGCAGGGCCCTAGCCTTTTCCTCTTCTGGTCGGTTCCTGACTTGTTCATCTCCACCTGTACGAACTGTTGTGCACCCGTTTAGGGAATTAGGCAGTCAAGACGAGATTTCCGCCTATGGCTCAGTCAAAATTGGCACGGGCTAAGGCGGGTGTCTTCCGACGCTTGGCTCGTGGATTATAACTTAAGATCTCTGGTTCACCCCGGATGATTCGGTTCCTGTCAGCCTTCCGTCACAACGCATATTCTCTCATGGTGACTGTGAACATGGCGAGAACTACCTTCCAGAACCTCCTGAAAGTGGCTTATGCCGCTGCCCTTGTGGCGGGCACCGTGTCTGCCATCGATTTGGACATCAACAATGAATGTATGATTTCGACGAACTCTACTTCTCTTGTCTCCTGCTGATATAATCCCATCTGCAGAGTCCATCAAAGATGCAGCCGCCACCGCCGCGTTCAACACCATGCAGCACTACAACGGTAACAAGACCGGAGAGATTCCAGGTGTCATCCCCAGCCTCTGGGGTGAGGGCGGCGTTCTCTTCAATCTCATGATCCAATACTGGTACTTCACCGGCGACGCCTCCAACAACCCCGCCGTCAGCCAGGGCATGTACTGGCAGATCGGCGACAACGATTACATGCCGTCGAACTGGAGCTCGCAGATAGGCAATGACGACCAGATGGCCTGGGGCCTTGCCGCGATGACAGCCGCAGAGCTGGACTACCCTCAGGACGTCAATCAGACGTCGTGGTTGACTCTGGCTGAAGGCGTCTTCAACACCCAGGTTGCACGGTGGGACACGAGCAACTGCGGGGGCGGACTGCGCTGGCAGATCTGGCCCTTCGAGTCCGGATACACCCAGAAGAATGCCATCAGCAACGGCGGTCTCTTCCAGCTCTCTGCGCGGCTGGCTCGGTACACCCACAACCAGACGTACGCAGACTGGGCGGAGAAGATCTGGGACTGGAGTGCCAGCGTGCCGCTCCTGAAAAACGACACCTGGAGTATCGCCGACAGCACGGATGTGGATAATGGTTGCACAACCCAGGGAAACACCCAGTGGACGGCCAATTACGGGCCGTACATCAGCGGTGCGGCCTATATGTACAACTACGTAAGTCAATTGCAAGCCAGCTTAGAGCAACAACGACTAACGAGAACGAAGACCAACGGTCAAAACAGCAAATGGAAGTCCGGCCTCGACAGCTTGCTCAACGTCTCGTTCGAAACCTTCTTCCCCGAGAAGTACGGCGGTCTGATCCTGTCGGAGATCCTTTGTGAGCCCACAGAGAATTGCAACTCGCTCGAAGACACGTACAAGGGGACTTATGTCTCGGATTTGACGCTGGCAAGTCTCGTCGCTCCGTACATCTCGTCCGAGGTGTCTTCGCGTCTGCAGGCGTCGGCTGTCGGAGCGGCGAAGCAATGCACGGGTGGCAACAACCAGACACTCTGCGGTCGTCGCTGGTATTCGGACGAATGGGACGGGACTGATGGGAGAGAGGAACAGCTCAGTGCAACCAGCATCTTTTTCGCGAATATGGCTGGCTTCACTGGGAAGGGCGTTGCCACTGCTGCCGCGGCTGCTAATCAGACGACCGGGTCTGCCGGCACGAATGGGACTTCCACAAACGGCACTGGTGTTCCTCATGCCGTGAACGGTGCTGGCAGATCGTCTCAGGGACAATTTGGTGTTGCTACTGTTGGCGTCCTAGCAGGTCTTGTATCGCTTCTTGTGCTTTGACTTTGTCAATGAGCTTGTCCGGCAGTTTTGGTCTGAACAGGTAGCTATGCGCAGGTAGTGGACGTGTGTGATGCAATAGCTGTTTGTAGTGCGGACGACTAACGTGACACCGGGAACTTCTTCCCAGTGTATGTGACACTATCAGTCCAATCCCGACAATGACCGCACCGGTAACTCATTCTTGACTCACAAGAGCTTTACGCTTCCGAGATAGCGCGACGCAAGCGAGACTGAGGATGGCAAATCCCGGATTGTCATCTCGAGCGTAAACAAGAGGTTATGGCGAGATTTGTGAATTGCACCGATTGACAGCATGCGCAGTCTGCTGAAAGACTATGGTTATGTATCCAAGCGCCTGCGGTGTAGTCTTCAATCGAGTCATGCAGCCGTCTAAAATTAAAAACTAAGTCAACATCACCACCTAGGTCGCTAAGAGTCTACTCGCGCACCAAACCAGAGCCACCCAGTACCCGCGCTCGAGCAGCCTTCGCTGCGTTTCTGACAGTTTCCCGCTGTAGAGGGGTTGACAAGTGGACGCTTAAAGCACGCCCCGGAGTGGTAAGCCGAAGTTCCTCTTCCTGAAGAACACAAGAAAAGTCGGAGTTCAGGCTTTTCTTCATCCAGATCTCGAACAAGATCTCCCAACGCTCGCCATCGAGGTTCGGCAGCACCGTGCTAAATTCATCACGCTCGCGAATGATACTTTCAACCTCTGATGCCGTGGACCATGTGAGAACTGAAATCGTGGCTTGCACGAGCCCTGGACTGAGATGCTTTTGCGCACGAAGGCAGTTGACGGCATAATACTTACCTGTATCGTCTTGCACCGTCGCTAGGGTCTGGACCACGGACTCTAGAATACCTTCCGGTAGTTCTGGGTCCTTAGATAAGGCCTTTAGTGCCAAGTGCTTTGTCGAATTATTCGCGTGGTCTAAATCTGAGTCAATCAACAGAGCTGAGACGGGTCCCATGGCATACTCTGGCAATCGGCACTGTTCAGCAAATATCGCACACGCTTGGCGTTGCAGTTGCGTGTCTGGATGACCAAGAAAGGGAATCAAAGATTTGAGAACGTTGTCACTCAAGTCATGATAGTTTAGAAGAATATCTTGCGCGGGAAATCTCTCGCTCTCGCCCTCGAAATCTTCAACGTGACTCCAGATTTTGAGCAATGCTTCAAAAGCATCGTCTGGGAGCTGGGAGTGCGCGGAAAATTTCAAGAGAATTCGAAGCACAATTTGTCGTTTTTCCGAGTCTGTATTATTGAGCATAGACACGAAATATCGCATGCGCGAATCAGGAATCTTTTGACGGCCTATTACTTCAGCTGCAGCAAGCCTAAAAGTCCAAGAGTTCCCATCATCCAGGAATGGAACGACAGTTTCCACGATGTCCGCTGGGCTGACACAATGTTTGCTCCATACTTCCATTGCCCTGATCTTTACTATAGCGTCCTTATCATTTCTCATTCGAAACGCCAAAGTGTCCAAAATATCGATGGGCAAAGATTCTTCTGACCCCAAGGCATCTGCAGAAAGCTTTCGAACTTGTGCATTGTCGTCATTCAGGGCACCGTGTAATGTTTCAAGAACAGATTGCCTGCCAGAGAGCGCGGAGCAAGCTCGGATGACCGCAAGCTTCACCTGTAGATCACTATCATGCCGGAGAGCCAGAACACGCGGGAGGATATCGATGTTTGTAGATAGTTTGAACTGGAGTGTTGACACAGCAAATTCCCTCAACGGTGGTTCTCGCGCCTCCAGCAGTGATACAAGCTTTGTTATATTCGTTTCAGCTAGCCTGACGTGCCATTGTATGAAACTAACCCACTCTGGCACTAGAGACTGTTTTGCCTCGATCCTGGCTAACAATGTGTTGATAAATTCTTCCCGTGCGCTCGTAATTCTCCCCGTGAAAATTAGATCAGGAAATGCCAATTTCCACAGCTTTGGAGTCTCGAGCATCTTTTGGAGGAGCTCTTGCTGAAATCTCTCATGCTTAAGGAGAGCACGGAATGTAATCTGCTTCAAGCCTTTGGACTCACTAGTGTGCAAAATATCGTCCATCTTCTGTAGGAGTGCTGGTGATACCCAGGCGCGGCGTGATATGTCGCGAAGAGTCCTCATGCTGAGTTTATCACCTGAATTGTCCAGAATGCGCCCTAGTAAGTGCTCTGGGAACTCCATTTCGATACTCAAACGGAATGAGTCATGGAGATTATATCCCACTAAAGCAGCCAGTAGCTCCCCATCGATGCTGTGTTGCAATTGCTGCAGGGCACTATACCCAGGACGAAGCAGAATCTCATTGAAACAATACATCAAGATACGAGGGTGTGCAAGTACAAGTAGGTCTCTTGGCTCGCTATTCAGTACTTGCATAAATCGAGTCAGTTTTTCTTGATTCTTGCTTTCAAAGAGAAGTCCCGCTACAAATCGCCACAACACATTGTAGCGACCGTTATACTTCTCGCGGTGTATAAATTGTTTTGCATCCAGATGATGACACTCGGTCGAGTCCAGTTCAAGACATATAAGCGGTGTATCAGTCATCCAGCAGTGCACGAAGTAATGAGCAGCAAAGAACTCCTGGAAGGTCAAGTGAAGGAAGTAATAAGTATGGCGTTGGTGATTCTCCGCGGGATGAGAGCTCCGAAGAAACGATACTTCATTGAGTAAGTTGTCTGATTTACCTTCCAAGCCAGGCAATGTTGCATATGTTGTTATTCGATGTCGATGTGTGAATTCAAAAATGTTGTTGTATAAGCCAGTAAAAGCAAGCTTCTGAATTAGCTCGATATGGTCATGCATAGCTTGTTCGACTTGAGACCGTACGTAGATATTATCAGCTTCACTCTCGCTCAGCTTTCCCATGAGAACCATGTCTTTTTTCCATAGTCTGACTTCGATTGCCTGATACAAGGAAGTCATGGTTCTGATGTTTTGCGAGAGAAGCCTCTCGTTCCAAGCAAAACATAACGCATCCAGTTGAATAGGAATCTGAAGAAGACTTTTCATCAACCAGTGGCTGTTGATGAAATGCTTGATCTCCTTTGCAGATCTTTCATCCTTGCCAATGCAGCCCACAATCTGGTCGACGTATGCTTCTACCTGCTCGGAGCGAAAACCTGTCGTCTCAAGCTCGAGATCAAAGTCCTGAATCGATTTATCGAATGCTGCATGCGGCCTGGACGTAATGATGACATTCGGGTAGTTGAGAAGATCCAACATCGGTTGAGACTTGACAAGGTCTCCACTGGGGGTCTTCGCGCCAACTATCTCATCGAAGCCGTCCAGCAACAGAAGAGTCTGGTTGTCTGTTTGATCATATATCGTCCCCAGAAGAGCAGAGATGAAATGGTTTTTCTCGCGGTGATTTGACCAAATTTCATGGCAAAGGAACTGATCTAGAGTAGGCTTGTCTTTCAGCTTCCGCAAGGGTATCCAAAGCACCCGTTCAAACTTCCACCGGGGAAAGTTGGCATTGATGAAGTCGTGAACGATCTTCTTGCATAACGTTGTCTTTCCGACTCCAGCACGACCTCTAATCAGAATACGTCTTGGAGCTCTTGACTGGACATCGGGAGAACCAACGTGGCTTCTTAGCTTACGGGCATCAAAAAGTTCTTGTAATTCAAGTGCTTCCCCCTCGCCCGGTGCTTCAACCTTTAGACGCCTCTGGAGGGGTAGTTCGAAGGCTTCCTGGTTTTGTCGGTCAAGGGAATGTTTGACAATTCCAAGATTAATGTAGCAACTTTCGATGTCCAGAGTGTCGTTTGAGAGACGTAGTATCTTAAGCCGGTTCTGTTGCAAATAATACTCCGTCAACGCGGCATCTGCATAGAACCTTTGCGCCTCCTTGCACTCGTGCCACGCATCTTCCAACAAGCTGCCACCGATAGCTGCTGCCGTATTCGGGTCAAAAGGCTTCCTCACTTGCGGTTCGCACTCTAGTTTTTTCAAAAAGCGGAACGGAAAGGATCTTCGGGCTCTTGGTAAGGACTGTTTCCATCCTTTCTGATCAAACGTCTCTGAAATCAGGTTGATCCACTGCTGAACACGCAAACTCTTTGCCTTTATTTCCTGCAAAGATTTCATGTCGAATGTTACGTTGACGACTCGGATGATCCGATTTTTTTCCCGTTGACCTCCCAACAAGAAGCCTTGTTCGAGTTGGGCATACAATCCGCACCAGAACTGCCAGCTATCCCCACAGGGGACCTTCGGTAATATGTGTTCAAGGGTGTCAAATGAGTTGCCGCCAGTCATAATAAGCATACTAGTGTACCGAAGTATGCCATACCAGAGCCTTTGATTTGGAAGTCTTCGGATGTTCTCAACAAACACTTCATCCATCTCTTTGATGGCTTCAACTAGGTCTTTGCCCGCATCATAGATTTTCTTCAAGAATTCCAAAAGTTCCATCAAGTCTGGCCCCGCCTCCAGTAGCCTTTCTGGGTTCATAGTTGAGACAGCCCCGGCAGTTCTTGCAGCCACTGCAATGACCCTCCAACTGTTGCTCCAGAAGATATCCCAGGGACCTTGATTGTCTGAAATCCCTCTGAGCGCTTCGTACGCGTAGGCTGCCGCTTGAGCCAAGCGTGGCTCATCATGATCCTTCAAATCCGCAAGTAGTTTGAGAAGTGGGTCCCGTAGTGAATCTTTGTCAATTTCGGATGCTTTGATATCTACCGCGACGTCGAGCAAGACACCGAGCGTATAGCACAGAAGGTATTGAGCTTCCAATGCATTCTCGCGGATTTTGTAGTCCAGCCTCTCACGCAATGCATTGACTGCCGCATAAAGTCCATCGCGCGAGTAACCTTCCGGCTTATTCCAAAGGAGAAAGACGAAGCTAGGGAGAAGATCCCCGTCAAGTGCGTTACCCTTCTCGGCGTTGTCCACGATCGCCCGCGAGAAAACTTGTGCCAAGTAGTGGTATTGTCTCTGAGTTGTGGCTCGTGACAGACGTGACGCTTCAACATAGTAACTTGGACGGCTCTTGTCACGAAATCGGCCGACCATTTGCGAGATCAAAGCACGCAGCGCCGACTTCTCTTTCTCGTCGCATGCGGAATTGCCTAGCCGAGATGTGATCTCTGCCACCGTTTTGGGTCTCGAAGGACAGTGCAACGCAGCCGCCATGATTAATGTAACCTTCAAGGACTTTGCTTTGTTCACGAGAGATGATGTTCACAAGAGATTAGGAGGCATGGAAGAGGGGCTTTCGGAAAAAATTGGTAGGCTGCTTAGCGGCTAGAGCGAGGCTGTGCGCTGAGGCCTAGCAACGTGCAGAGACCCCTGCTAGTTGGCTGAAACGCCCACGAATCAGCATGGTCGATTGATTGGCTTGTTCTGATGCGCGCGTAACTTATATTGTCTTTAGTCTTGGTATCTATGCAATTCCAGGTGTTTATGCCGGTACAGCCGAGCCTGTCTAGTCACAATGCCGCTATTTGTTCCATGGTAATCTCTAGGGTTTTGAGGGCTAGATATCTATCAAGCTCCATAGCACAAGATTGCGAATGGGCAAGCCCCTCCCCGCCGCTGATTGATCTCATCAAGCAATTCTAGCGTGTTTCGCAGTTGGTCAGAGGGTGTAAACTCCCCACCAGCCATGCAAACGCTTCGCAGCGCACCTCCGGGGCTTGGGGCTTTCTGCACCCGCTGTTTGGAGAACGAGAGCACAGTCCGCGTGGCCTTCCCGTTCGGCATAGTGGAGGGCCGTCCATCCTTGAAATCCGGGTTTGTTGACATTTGCGCCGTGAGAGATGAGGAACTGGGTTATGTCTGCATGACCGTAGCGGCAGGCGAGATGGAGTGGTGTCCAGTCGTGGAAGGTTGCTGCGTCGATCTCGGCACCGGAGTGTAGTAGAAGAGATACGGCTTGCAGGTTTCCATAGCGAGCTGCGACATGAAGGGCGATTTCGCCAGTGTCGTTGCGGTGGTTGACTAGGGCACCACAACGGAGGAGTCTTTGGAGAAGAGCTGTGTGGAGGGGTGTGGTTGCCGCTTGATGGAGATGATAGTGTATGCCTTCGTGGATCTCGCGGATGAGGTGTTCATCGATATAGGGCGCTGTGATGATGGAGAGCTGGCAACAGACGAGACGGAGGGATAGGAGATCTGCTTTTCTGAGCACCTAATGCGATTCAGTAAATGCCTATGAAGGATCACCGTTCCAAGCAAACCGGGAGAAGAGCAAACCGGGAGAAGAAGGTAGATTATCTCGAGTGGTAGATCACTAAGGTAGGCCATGGTAAGGACTAGGTAGTGTCTGTTTTGCAACTTCGTCGAATACTCACATGGCAAGCTGGGACGCTTTATTTGCTCGGCCTGGGCTGTATTGTCGTCGGTAAAGCTTGCCCGTTCGGTTGATCCAACCATGCGCCAGCTATCAGACCGCAATGACTCCTATTATGAGTGATGGATGACTCGCGTATATCCCTCGAAAGATGATTGTTTGTGGAGCTGAGTTGGTGGAACCGGGCTGGCTGAAGCCGAGTATACTTCGGTCTTCCGCTCGGGCCTGCATGCGCCCGGTCGGCCCATGTCACCAAGAAGGGGAACGGAACGAGCATAATCATATATCTCCTGCGAGTGCACCGACACGACTCGACTCAGATCTGAAATCTGAAAGCTCTAATCATTAAGTACAGACGAAGAATGTATAGCAGGATGAAGACTATACCAACCAAGGTGGATGGATACTTGCAAGAAACCAAGTTACTAACATAAAGCAACACTAGCGTCAAGGCAACACCCAGCTAGCCTTAGGCAACCACCAACGAATGCACACTGCACTGCCCTCCAACAAAAGACATTCTAGTCCATCCTGACTTCAAAGCTAAGAGAAGGCTACATAGTAACCACTTCAACCCGCCGCTAAGATCTCTTCGCTCGTTCCATCTCCCAAGCGAACAGAGACTATGCGATCCGTCGATCCTTCTCGACATCTGCGGACTTTAGGCGCCCGACTATAAGACGCCCAACAACCCAGCAACAAAGACGACTAAAAGCTTACTTCTTCCACCTCCCCGCAACACAACCCACACATCACGATGGCATCCAACCAAGCCCCCGAAATCACGCTCTACCGTGGCTTCCCCTGGCCCGGGAAATACACCTGGTCCCCCTTCGTCACGAAGCTCGAAGCTCGTCTGCGCTTTGCGGGGATCTCGTATCGCACGGACGCCGGGTCCCCGCTCGGCAGCCCGCGGGGTAAGATTCCATACGTCGATATCACGGACCGGACGACGGGCGCAAAGACTACCATCTCGGACTCAGCTCTGATCACTCGGGGGTTTATTGAGGATGGTGTAATCACTGACCTTAATCGCGATCTCGATGCGGAGAAGAAGGTGTTGGATGCTGGAGTGAGGGCTCTGTTGGAGGACCGGTTGTATTTCTATCTGGTACACTTCCCCTTTCCTTCCCTCACGGATTGCCTACACGGTCCGAGAAGCTGATTCGGGCGACAGAACCACGAGAAGTGGATCGAGAACTACTACGAGATGCGAAAACACGCCCTGAGCGCGCTGCCGTACCCGGTCAAGGTCGCGGTGGGATACTACATCTACCGGAGACAGAGGGAGATGCTGTACAACCAGGGCACCCTGCGGTTCTCGTTGGAGGAGCTGAAAGGATTCAAGGAGGAGGTTTGGACGAGTATAAGCGAGCTGCTGCTGTCCCGCAAGGCCCAGAAGCAGGGTGATGGGCCGTTCTGGGTGCTGGGCGGCGAGGAGCCGACTGAGGCCGACGCGGTCTTGTTTGGGTTTCTGGCTGGGTCTTTGGTTTGCTCTGCGTAAGTCTTCTTGAACTTTGGCATTGATCAATTCTAACCTATCGTGTCCAGCTGTCCGGAGACTCAGGCGATCTTGAAAAGCTTGCCTGTGGTGGTTGAGTATGCACGGCGCATTCATGACCGCTACTTCCCGGATTACGCTTGCTGGGAGTGAATACCTATTTGACGATGTTTATGGCCCATGCTATTTTTCTTTATAGTTCATTGATTTAGTTTGTTCTAATAATTACCACATCGTCTTGCATATTCGTTCTTGGCATGAAAGTGCCTTGACTCAATGCGAGGGATTATATGCATGTGGGTGCAGTGGCCCGGGGAGTGTTGGTGGCTGAGGCGTTGCTCAATACATCTTCCCCACGCCCGATGCTCGCCAAGAGTCTACAGTAGGTTAGTCTCGGATATGAGATGAAGGTCTGTGTCTTCCCTGCATCGGGCACAATACAGTTGAATCGAGTCCCGAGCGTACTAGAGCGCCAGGCGTAGGATCGCATCTCATAGCCAAGCTAGGTTCACATAAGCTACATTAGCATACCTAGCTACGCCAACGAACTGCCCAGATATAACTGACAAGTCTGATTCCTTACGCGGTTACCTAAAGACACTCCAAGCGGTGCAGGTCATCACAACAAGGCATCGGGAGAGACCAGATCGACCCATCCCAGGTTCGGCTCGGATTGCTTCCAACCCAACCGCTGTTGCACCAACTTTGAGTATGTCCGCACATCCTCAATCGGATACGAAAGGTACGATATTTCCTGTTGGACCCAGGATCAGTCACTCATTCGTAGAGCGAAATACGTTTCGACCTACCTCCTGACGATAAATTCCGCTGCACATAAATATAATGTGCATCATTCGTCCTCCTGAAGACTCGAAGAACTCCCCGCCTCCATGGTAGAGACTGCCCAACATGATCATAGCTTCGCCGGCCTGTAGCTCAGCGTCGACAAGACCCGTGTCGCCATTAGGGCCAAACTCCGGCATCTCATCGCCCCAAAGGTGGCTACCCGGGACCACACGCGTGGCTCCATTCGCACGACGAGTATCGCACCCGGGAACAAACAAGCCGAAAAGCATATCGCGGTTCGCGTGGTACGCATCAACACGAGCATGTCTGGCATGATGGTTCTTGTCGTCGCGATGAAGCTTCTGCGCTTTCGCCCCTGGTCGGATTTCCATTGTGATGGCGATTGAAAGAAGCGGGTGAGTGGTGTTAGTAGACGGCTCGTCGCCGTACCAGTTGGTTGTCGTGATCGCGAGGAACTCTTCGGCTAGGTCCTGCCCATATCTTAGGACAAGTTCCTTTCTTCTGGGCGTGGCAGGATCTGTCTTACCTGGTACAACGGATCGGAGAAGAATTTCTCGCGCACGGTCTTGCTGCGCCCGATAAGACGTGTACAAGTGCGAGTTCCGCCATTGAGGGCTGTTGTTTGTCAGGCTATCTAGCTGATGGCAACCTCTGGTGCGATCGGCTCACCACCCAGCTTGCTCCGTTGTTGTTCTTTCTCCAGCCATGGTTGAACTTCCTGTCTTGCTTCCTCTAACGTTTCCAATGTGGTGAAGCCCTGGACTATCACACACCCATCTCGTTTTAGGGCATCGATGAAGTCTTCCCTAGGTGCAGAGTAAGGTAGTCGTTGGATGATAGGCCTGGTCATTCTCGCATTGAATGTGGTTCGGAATCGGTCACGCGGAGAACAACACGAACAGAGTAGAAGTTTCCAGAAGAAAGCTGCGTGTTGCGAAACATCTCAAAGTCGATTTGAGAGGACCTTGAAGTCAAAATAATTGAGATACAAGTTTCCTTACCGCGTTTGAAGGCGGGGAGATGCTTATCTCGAACCAATTGTTGTTTTAGTTGTGATAACCAAAGTGGGAGGAGATGGAAGGCTCAAGGCTGGAGAAGTGGGGGTCGATCACTGGATGACTGACCGACGACCACCCCACGTTTCTTTCCATTTCCATTTCCACACTTGCAACTTTCCCACTCACCTTCTACTCAATCTACTCTCAATCTACCCCAATCTACCCCAACCTAATTTTAATCATAGAACAGCCGCTTCAACAAACCTTCTCCTCTTCTATGCTTCTTAGCTGTGCCCGTGTCCGTGTCGGGGTTCAAGTGTGTGTTGCCTGTGTCCACGAAAGCTAAGCTCCAGACAAGCAAGCGCTTGAATTACGGTGCTTCTTCGCCCTCGCTTCAACTATTTTAGTACACACTGCATATCTGCTAACATTTCCAGCGTTTCAATGTAGCGCCTCTAAAGCTAAGCCCGCATGAAAGCTCGTGTCAAAGCTCGCGAACCCTCATCTAAGGGCGACTTGCAGCTAGCGTCTCGAAAGTCAATGGCCTGATGGCGAATCATCCCAGGAAGGTTCAGGATCCGTGCCTGCTTGTGAACCATCTAGAACGTCTGCCCGGCCGCGCGGCTGCAGCGCTACGCTATCTGCCAAATGCTGCACTCTATGTCGTTGATAGCCACCACCAAGCCTCGGCAACCCCGGGAATTATTCTGATTCCATAGCTTTCCACATGCAGTCACAAGATCATTCCCAATCAGGAATGCAGAATGGCATCGGACCCCTTCCATTAGTGCCAGAGGTAAGATAATCGTCATGCGGCCGGAGCCGACTGCACCCAACGGCGACAGTCCATCCCGAGTTCCGTATGAGTCCCGTATGAGTCCCGTATCCACATCGGGCCGACGTCACACTTGGATCAAAAGCGAGATTTCGCCGGGCCAGCCCTGACTCGGCGCCCCACCCAAATACTGATCGCCAACTTTTAAGTTGGTCTGCACACCTTTGGTTGGCTGGGAGGTGGCCCGGCGCATGGTCTTTATCCGGACTTCTCTCCTCCGTTCTCTACAAGTACACAACCCCCGGCGGGAAGGAGGGAGATGTCATGATGGGGTCAAATCCTTCTTCGGTCTGCTTGCGTGGGATGGGTGCGCAAGGGCCTCTGCCCCTCACCCTCCTCTTTGGAGAGAGTTATATAACACTGCGGAGGTTTCTATGTCCGTCCATGTTGACAGAAGCCATTCTTGCATGATATCTGACCCCCTAAGTCAACCCCGCGCACTAAATCACAATGAAGGAGGCCCAGGGAGCTTGTGCCCCAACTGCACCTGTCTTGAAGGGTAAGCGCCTTTGTCAGCGGTAATTGGTCATAGGTCCTGGTACTCACGCACAGCAGATACCCCGGATAAGGTATCGCAAGAGGTTGAGCGCATTGCGCAGATGTTCACCATCGATGGAGACTCTCTCCGGCGCATTACTGATCACTTTGTTCAGGAGCTTGAGAAAGGTCTGTGGTTGCTTTGACTGTATCGCGTGTCTACTTACTGACCCAGGGCAGGCCTCAGCAATGAAGACAGCGATATTGTATGAGATCGTTTCTCCTCACCATGCATCCTGCCACTAACGGTATCTAGCCTATGAACGTGACGTGGGTGATGAACCAGCCGACCGGGTACGAGACAGGCTCATATCTCACTGTGGATATGGGCGGTACGAACCTTCGCGTCTGCAACGTGACCTTGACCGAGGAAAAAGGGGGATGCGAATTGACACAGCATAAATTCAAACTCCCCAAGCACATGAGACACTGCACCGCAGACGAGCTCTGGACCTTCATCGCCGACCGCATCGAAGACTTCATTCAAGAGCAACATCTTACACCACCCGGGTCAGAGAAATTGCCCCTAGCCTTCACGTTCTCTTACCCCGTCACGCAAGACAATATCCGACACGGCGTCCTCCAACGCTGGACAAAGGGGTGGGATATCTCAGGTGTTGAGGGACACGACGTGGTAGCACAGTTGGAGCAGGCTCTAGAGCGAAGGGTATGCGGGTCCCAATCATTGTTGTACACGCCGAAGCAACCTCTCTTGCTGACAGCTGAACAGAACATCCCCGTACGGGTGGTAGCGCTAGTCAACGACACGACCGGAGCACTAATTGCATCCGCCTACAAGGACCCCGGCGTAAAGATTGGCAGCATTTTGGGGACTGGTTGCAACGCCGCGTACATGGAGAAAAGCGGCAACATCCCGAAGATCGCCTCCCATAAACTTCCCCCCGATCAGCTCGTCGGCATCAACACCGAATACGGCGCCTTTGACAACAGCCACAAAGTCCTCCCGCGATGCATGTTCGACCTCGAGATCGACCGCGCCTCCCCGCGACCAGGACAGCAGACGTACGAAAAGATGGTCGCAGGCTTGTACACCGGAGAACTTTTCCGACTGATTCTCGTACACCTACACGAGACAGTGGGCTTTTTGAGTGGTTGTGATCTCCATAACCTCCGTGACATCCACGCGATGGAGTCTTCGTGTCTGTCGCGCATGGAGGAGGAGAATGCCGTTGCGGAAAGTGAAATGGCCGAGACCCGCGCCATGCTCAAGCAGGAGTTCGGAATCGAGCCCACGCTTCAGGAGCTGAAGACCTGCTGTATGCTGGCGGAGATCGTGTGCACGCGGGCGGCCCGGCTCTACGCCTGTGGCATCGCCGCCATCTGCAAGAAGGAGGGAGTCACGCGGGGGCGTGTTGGCGTGGACGGCTCGGCGTTCAGCAAGAACTACCAGTTCAAGGAGCGGGCTGCTGCGGCTTTGCGGGAGATCCTGGAGTGGCCGGCGGAGGAGGAGGACTTGATCACCTTTGTTCCGGCGGAGGATGGCTCGGGCATTGGGGCTGCATTGATCGCCGCGCTGACAGTGGGAAGCAACTAGGTTTTACGATGGATGACTGTAAACGATGTCATTTTATTTTATTTTCAGCAGTATACGTGAGCGTTATTAGCATAGCATGCAGATTTGTCTAATCAGAAGAATTATTTTACGTGTTTACACTTAGGTCTTTTTTTTACTTCGATGCACTAAACACTCTTACCCACCGCTCTGCAACACTCAATATGCCCCGAACTCGGGCCACGTTCGTTCTGTACTCTCCCCCAGTCAACCCAAAGTATAAGCTAGTCTTCCCTAGTAACAGCCACCTCCCTGTTTCTGATGGAAAACCCCCCAGCGTCATCTCCGTCCCTGCTGCGCTTCTTTTGACGATATAAGCCAAAACCTAAAGCTCGTCCCAGTGAGGTATTCTTTATATTGCGGACTTCGCTATATCGAGCATATGATTTATACTAAAGGTAGACAGACACCCATCCCAACGAGGAATGATTCCATTCTACTAAGCCGCGGTGTCCAACCTCAACTCCGCCCTGGAACTAGCCAAACCGAACCTCCAATGTCCCCACCAGTTACTTAGCACTGCTTTGCGAGTCTAGCCCCCCGCCCACACAAGGTACTCTGAAGCCAGTTCAATCGCTTCATGCCGGAGTCTGGTGTCTGTGGCCTACGGTCTCCAGTTCTCCGAGAATCGGCTGTCCAGCGGTAGGTACCGCCCTGCCCTGCCCGCTTTCACATCCATACCGAGTTTGGTTCATACACCCCCGAGGCATCCAAGCTGCTCGCTCCACCCCACATGAATGATAATTACTGATTCCGGGGATAACACCTTCCCAATAGAACTGGATTCACGATAACAGGGCTATCCATTACTCCGGTCTTGGTCTCAGTAAACTCAGCGAGCGAAGATAGTGCAGAGTTGCGACCACAACCGAGGGAGTGGATATAGCAGTGAGACAGCACGACTGATTATTCAGAGATTGTCTAGACTGTGATTGGGGGTATAGGTAGAAGCAAAAGCGCGTGGGCACGCGATGCGGGGAGCGGGAGCTCCAACGTGATCGAGATGAGTGGTGGGAGGTGCGCCAGGCGAAAGACCTGGGAGAAACTTATCTGTATTGGATGTATTCAATGCACGGCTTGGCCTACCTTTGCCCTACCTTTGCCATAAATAGTACGCAGTGGTGGAAGGCGATTTGAGTACACCATCGAATCATGGATGAGATCGGACTTAGCCTGTTAAGACCGACAGCATACTAAACTTGGAACCTTGAAAGGCACGGTTTTTTCTCCGCATGGCGGTTACACCCGCCGCCGCCCACGGGGGAACATGGAACCTACGAGCAAGCCGCTGACGAGCATTGGCCTCAGTTTTCAAGGTTAGGTCCACGGTTCAAGCCTCGGCTACCTCTCTAAGGATGACTCTATGACTGAATCCTTGGCTGAAGATAAACCCTCGGGTTTGCATTAATTTATGACTAAGATATGTACTGTGACCCCGGCCCTCAATTCCGGCTAAATACATCCCTCGATTTAGCCTCCAGAGAGACCCTGCACGACCAAGTCAGCCTTGACCGCTCGTCTTCCGCCCCAATGCAGCCGTCGCACGGGATCAGCAAGCCCTCTCCGGCAAAAGGAAGGATAATAGATTTCATGGCTGGGGCTACCGACGCCATCCCGTGCACCGGACTGCACCGGCACCATGCAACTGCCGGCTTACGCTTCGGTAGTGTGTGGTGGCACGGGAGCGTCATCCAGATGCACCGCCTTGGTCGTCATCTTCTCCGCGGATGCGTCCATTTCACCATGCAGCAAAGCCGTCAGACCGATGTCGCGGTCGATCTGCTGGCGGAGAGCCTCGTCTTCGGCCGCCATGCCCTCCGATCCAAACACTTCGTCCATCTCCTCGAGGGTGCGGCCTTTGGTCTCGGGGACGAAGAACAAGACGTAGAGAAATCCGATCACCGTCAGGCAGCCGAAGAAGATAAAGGTGCCATAGGCGGATCGTGCAATAAAAGGGGAGGTTGCCAAGCCGACACCGAAGTTGTTGAGCTATCAGGAATTAGCCGAGCTCTTGAAGACACAGGTAAGGATACATACCCAGTTGCTGCTACCGCCGAGACTGACTCCCTTGGCACGCATGCTGAGCGGGAAGACCTCCGATACCACAATCCAAGCACAGGGACCTAGTTGGCTGTTAGTATTGCGCTCATTGTATCGGAGATTCAAACATACCCCATGAATAGGCAAAATTGATGATGAAAATCCACACAAATGCTACGGTCGCCCAGCCCGCACTCCGGTGGCTTCCAAACTCGCCTTGGTACGTAGCGATAAGTCCGGCACAGATGAAGTGGCAGATCGCCATGCCTGCAGCACCAGCCAACAGAATCTTCTTGCGACCTATGTTGTCCACCCAAAGCACTGCAGGAATGGTGAAGACAAACTCGAAAATACCAGCAACGCCAGTTGCGAGGAGGTTGGTAGTGTTACCGCCGAGTTCGAGTTCTTTGAAGATCTGAGCCACACGGTTAGTTATATCATTTCCCATCCTGAGCGGAAAATACTTGCCTGGGGCGCGAAGTAGTTAATCGCGTTGATGCCGTTCCATTGTTGGAATGTCATCACAAGACACTAGATAACAATCAGCTGCGCTCCTGGTATGCAAGGGGTCAACCGTACTGCAACAGTGGTCCGCTTAAAGAGTGACTTGTCCGTGACCAACGAAGCATAATCCTTCACACCAATCATAAAGCGACTCTTGAACGAATCATCCTGGTACTGAGGATACTTTCTCCTCGAAGTCTCTTGCTCGAACATCTTCAGGGACTTGATTTCGAGGTACTCAATGCGGACGAGAATGTCATCGGTTGAGGCATCGCGCAAGCGGGCCAAGGTGCTGAGACACTCTTCCTCGCGGCCAGTGTTCATAAGGTGTCGTGGTGACTGAGGCATGAAGAAGACCATGCCGAACGCTAAGATAATGGCTGGCAAGACTTGGATGCAGACCGGCACCTCCCAGGCCGCTTTAGACTGGCCATCACCGGTACCACCAATGTAATTGGTACCATAGCAGATCTGCTCTTGTCATTAGCACTGAAGATGATCCATGAAATAGTATGGCTTGCACCTACCCAAAAGCTGACCATGATACCGAAGGTGATCGACAGTTGCTGCACAGCGACAAGAGAGCCGCGAATTTCGGGGGGTGCCTACACCAGTCAGTCCTCAGTAGCAAGCAAATCTTGACCTAGTTATCATGATCGGGGTAAATTTACCAGTTCAGCATTGTACAGTGGCACAATCATACTCAGACTACCCACACCCAGACCGGTCACAAAACGACCACCGAACACGTAGCTTGGGTCTTTGGTGCATGCCTGCACAATGACACCGGCACAGAACACAATCACAGCCACAACCACCGTAAGCCGACGGCCCAGCGAGTCCGCGAGATATCCGTTAGCCAGAGTACCGACCCAGGCACCCAGTTCCAAAATCGACGTAAGCATGCCTTGAGCAGTACCGGTCTGTTCTGCATAGTGTTGGGTCTGTATCCGTCAGAACGTGTCACGCCATGGGTATCATAGTTGGTGCGTACCGCGAGAATGAACGAGTTCATCGTAAGAATGCCCGAGAACATGCCCTGGTTATCTGAGAAAAACGTAAGCATCTCCACAACCGACTCTAGTCGAAGCACCTACAGCCATAGACGAAACCACCAAGCGACGCAAATAATGCAATCGAAAAGGTCTTCTTGCTGCTGAGCAGGCCGCGCCATCCGACGCGGTTGCCCGCGAGCTCGGCGCGCTTGCCTGAGATAGCCTCAGCGCCCACACCAACAGCCATCGCGTCTTGCTATATGTCGTGAAGTGAGGGCTGTCTATTAGGATTAGAAAGAAAGTCAAGACAGACAGCACCAAGACGCCAAATACCCCCGGATATGGTATGAGGAGAAGCTGGGTGATCGGCAAGCGGGGAAGAGAGGGGGCGTGGGCTTTATAAATTGATCTGCGAGCCCGTACACTACATGGGGAGTCACGTCTTTCATAATCATGTCTGTTTCGCTGTCTGCATGTTCCCTGCTACTACGTTGCCGGTAAGCATATGCTTCTGGATAGATGCAGCGTCACCGCATGTCATGCGATTCCCTCGTGGCCGGGTATATCGAGGCTTGATTGGGCCCAGCATTTAGCCTGACTTTCGGTTGGGTCTCGACGGTTGTCTCCGAGTGCCACTCGAAACAAGGCATCTGCAGTTCATTTCCTAATCCGTAGGCGTTGGCAAACCCCATGGGGGTGTTTGTGTCTGGTTCTCAGCCTAACCCCGGACAGCCGGGATAGCCGGGAGCGACTTCATCCGCCTGCGTCTGGGGTCAAGCTTTTCGTATAGGACAGGGTTTCAACAAGCTCAAGCCTTCAGGCTTATTCGGCGGCGTGGCAGTTGCAATTAGGCCTCAGAGGAATTTTGGCGGCTAATGGAGGCAGGAAAGGAGAGATAACATGCCTAGGCGGGGAATCTCGCTGGCTAGGTCGGGGAGAGCAAGGGAGGGGAAATGCGGAGCAGCTAAACTCGGACGTCAATCGCATTTAGCCGAAAATGCCCAGTTGGACAGTCATCAGCCCACATGTTTCGGTCCCAGTTTCTGAGCTATAGTGATTAGTGAAGGGTCTCCATCAAATCTCATTGCATTCATGATCGGCTTCTGGTTCTCCGCATTATGATCTGGTAGAACGGAGGCGACAGCACGTGGTGTATCTGGCACATGGTGCCGGTCTGCCACAAGCGCATAGTCTCACGTCTCGAATCGTTCGCAACCGGTCCATTGACTCGTGACCAGAGAATTTCCGCAGCTTCCGGGCTTACGAGTGAAGGCCAAGACCTGTTCGGGACGAGGATTAGGCTGTGTGCGTGCCGTGCCTGTGAAGCGCGTCCATTGCGCATGCCGAGTCTTGCGCCGCGGTGTTGGGGCCGCCATATCCGATCGGCTCTATCGCAGACTCATCCAGAACGTTCTCTCGGTCGGATTGCTCGATGACACCATTGGTTTGTGTCTGATGGCTCGGGGATGGCAAGCCCGGTCGATGGTGTGGCTGTGTCTGTCGTAGGTTGCGTATGTACTTGTAGATGGAAAAGAGCGAGCGGAAAGCCTAGCGCTGGCTGAAAGGGAGGCCTTCCCCGTGGGGCTCCACAGCCACTTCCGATTGAAACTACCTATGCACTGCATGATCTGCTGATCAGTCGTGCTGGCAATGAAAATGCTCCGGAAAGGAAGTATTCATTGAATTGCAAGGTAGATCAAGTCATGATCCCTCAGATTGATGTTGCTCATGTTCTGTCGCGTGTCTCACTGAAACCACCATCGGAGTGTCCTGCCGGATGTCAAAATATATCTTGATCAAGCGGACAAGAAATAAAATTCCACAAACGTGCAGAAATTGGCATTCATGCAAGGTATAGTAGTGCACTCACTAAAAGAAGACAATGTATAAAGTCTTTCAGATATCCATATAGCATTTTAAAATATGAAACGCCAGGAGATGACAGAAGTTGAGGAAGAAGACAGCAAAAAAAGGGGAAGGCGAAAAAAAAAGAAACGACACCTGTGAGATTCGAACTCACGCGGGCGAACCCACTGGCTTAGCAGGCCAGCACCTTAACCACTCGGTCAAAGTGTCTAATTGTTGAAAGGGTTGAACCAACTTATTACTATATAGTAACACAACTAAGCTACCGTCTCTCGAGAATCTCCTTGACATGCCTCGGCAGGTAGTAATTTCTACTCAGCCCGGCCCACAGCGCTGCCTCCAGCCTAACAAGCCCGAGACCAACCACTGAGGAACTTTTACTCTGATTTCGCAGTGCGACCCGCCAGAGGTCTACAAGACGCTTGGCGCGAAGACCGTGGTCTTTTGTCGGTGCCTGCACTAGAAGAAGGATCAGGAAATTCGAGACGGTCGCAAAGCCGATACGGGACCCTTCGCTGTCAGCTCTATCGCTGTTCTTGGAGTTGACTAACAAGGACATAACAATAGGGTATAACATACATGAGTACCAAAAACCTGACATATCCCCATAGCCTAGTCGCATAACCGTACGGAGCACCTTTGCTGCACAACTTTCGGCTGCTTGGAGCACCGCACTGCCACTTCCATTCTCATCTGACAAATCAATCGCCAACGATGGCTCAAATTCGTCCATTTCAAATAGTTGATTAATGAGGTCGTCGAACTGACCAGCGAAACCAGGTATCTCGTGGGTTTCCTCATACAAGGGCGGCGGAGCGGCAGAGCGAACCATCGGTCGCAGTAAGGCGCGAAAAACGAAAACTTCTAAGAGGATGCAGGCAAAACGAAGGCAGCTGGATTGTGAGGCGATACTCTCCATTGTGATTGTAAGACGACTGTGCTGGCGTAGAGATATGGGTAAGTGCTCAGACCATTCTTTCAACTTCTTGAGAAGAGGACGGGCGATTTCGAGCGTTGCGTGAAAATCAGAGCATAAACGCTGTGCTGACCTGAGCGCGCTACAGAGAGATAACGATCAGCATCCAAGTCGTCCACAGTTTGGAATGACCTACTATAAAGACTGTTGCAGTTCATCCGCAATGCGAGACAGGCGAATGAAATGCTGGAACGGCTGAGCATACCAAACCTCATGCGAAGAGTTGCCGTCGTTTGACGCGGACTGTAAGGCATCACGAAGACTATCCGAAACTGAGAAATCCTCATCCTCCAAGTCCGTTACGTCCCACTCATCGTTTCTGATGTAAGGAGGGCGCCCCATAAGTAAGCTGCGCCATTTGTCTTCAGCGTATATAGCCCACCATAACCGACGACGTGTTCTCCGCTCCCACGCGGGCAGACCCATCGGTCGGCATTCCAACTGAAGTCCAAGCGATGTTGCAATACCCACGAGCATACCGACAAAAGACCAAACCGACACACTGTCAGCCACCGCGCTCTCCGTTGTACTGACTGGTCGGTGAAGATAGAGAATCCCTGCTTGTAATGTAGCTAAGCGAGGATTGTGACCCTCCCGCAAGACAAGTGCTCGGACCATGTGCCATAGTCGCTCAGTTGAAGGTAGAGAGTATGCATAGATGAGGCAGAGATAGTCGTCGAACTTGGCGAATGGCAATGCTGATGCGTAGACTGCAGCAAGAAGACATACGGGTGTTCTCTGAAGCGTACTTTGATCCGGCACAGTACCAGCTGCTGCGAGATCGAATTGCGAGCGGGACAGAACTGGTAGTGTTGGGAACACGAACTTAAAGAAACTGTAGTCTCATCAACAATTGCTAAATGAACCCAGGGATAGCCCAACTTACAGAATCACTAGCTTCTGTCCACACTCTTCTGAAACAACGCTATTGAGCTCCTCCCGCGTAAGGCTCGAGCTAGGACATTCTGGGCTCTGTCCTGAGGACTCATAGAGCTGATCGGCGGTTACAAGGAAATGCACTGGAATCTTCTCATCCAGCGGAACACCACCTGCGTTTCGAAAGTGCACTTGGTGGGACAGAAGGAACCCTTTGTCATTGAACTTGCAGTGCCTCAGCAGCCACGGATCTGACTCTCCCGAAGCGCCAATAACTTGGTATGAGAATCCATCCAAGCCATCGAGGGTCTGAATGGTTTGGTGTGTGTGCCTTTCGACGGAAGGATACGGCGTCTGGGCGCGAGTATCGACAGAAGCCGAAGGAATACCCGTAGGGTCAGGGGTAAACAGGTCCAATGGCGGTGAGTTAGTTGACAGATGTGCTGATTGTGATTGCTGAGCCGTTGAGACCTGCTCAGGTTGAGTAAAATTGATGGTCGCCACTTGTTGTGTTGATGATACGCTCGACCTTGGCAGCGCTGCACCAGGGTGTCGGTGGAGAGGGTAGGCAAAAGAACAAGGATAACCAGCAGTCAGACACCGCTGGCAGCTGCTGTGACTGTCTGCCTGACATCTTAATTTCTTCCGACGGCATTCGTCGCACGGCGGATGTCGCTTTGACCGGTATGGGCGGGAGTTGTTCGGTCTACGGCGAACGGCATTGGTCGACTGCGGAGATTCTGGCTCCATGTCACCTAGTTCGAGTGCAGCTGAAGGGGAAAGAAACAGAAATCGAAATGGAGAGCAACGTAAGTATATGTCGAGTTTAAGAAGAGGATAAGCGACGTTGGCCGAGAGTTCGGCGAACTTGTCGTCTGATTCGGTTGCCGCTGGAACAGACCGCCGAATTCTTGGTTCATGTTGTCGGAAGGCGCGGACCTCCCAGTCATTCAGCAATGGCCCCACTCAAGACATAGAAAGAAACTTGACAATTCTCAGAAGAAGAGCATGGTTGACTGTTCAGGATGTGGTTAACATGTACAAGTGAAGGCTGGTAAAAATCAATGCCTGTGGACACGCCATTGTGACCACTTTCGCCACCCAATTGATATCTGATATTGATTCTAATTGATCAAAGTAGTTGCTAACTATAATGGAATAGACTGGAGCAAAGGAGATTCCTGAACTACTGCAGACAGTTTGATGATGAATTCGAGCCAGTACTACCACTATCACAGGTCGACAGTAACCAAGAACCAAAGAATTATAGTTCGGTTTTGCCAGTTCGTGGATTGTACTGAAAAGACAAAAGATATCTCAAGCTCTGAAATTCGCTGTCTACCAACGGTACCCATTTCCCCGACAGCAGGAACCAAAGCATTGATCGCCTTTCTGTCGCATTAGCCCAACAGTCTCTCTTTGAGTACGGGGGATCGAATCATACTTACCATTGTACAGGGCAGGAGTAGACGGCTTGCGTCCTGGGGTCTGTCGTATGTAGGTCTTATCCATGTCTCTCTCATTCCTGGCCATGTAAGTTAAGATGTAAGTTGAGGAAGTGTAAGAGATAGAAAACAGGGACCTACTCATTATTCAATGTCGCTGTGGAAGAAAAGTCATGATATGTGGGTCTAGTGCTTGTAGCGTTGTTTGAGTGACGAAAGAGGAGATGAAATCGGGCTTTGATGTTGATTGCTTTGTCTTTGAGAATCATGATGCGAAGACAACGATAGAAAGGGTGTGATAAGCAAACTTGAGCACTGAAAGAGGGCGAGCCCAGTTTATATGTCTGAAATGACGCTGTTTAGATGCGAAGATTTATCAGATTACGCAGTAGCTCGCCGATAATTTCCAGCAGGGGACGCTACAAGGGAATTAGGGACATTGTCGGCGGACGTGTCGACCAGAACATGGTTTCCAGATGCAGCACAGTGCTGTCAGCCGAGAAGCACTGATGCTAGAGCTTGCTGACATGAATCCTTGCTCCGCCGAAAGCTTTGCCTATGCACCAATTCGCCGAATATTTCCCCTGTCGGGTTCGCGTAAGGCGGCCAGATCTCTATTTTGTCTTGAGACATGAGAAAATGAGTATGATTACAAGGATGCTTTGTCAGAGACTAATCGATAATGACTTGGCAAACTTGAATCCACAGAGCCATCTATACAATCGTAACGGTTTTTCTTGATTCTATAACGGCATCTATCTATATCATCGACAACCATCTCCTATCTTCCCCCATATATTGGGCAGCTTCACAAGGGTTGACTTCGACAACAATTTTTAAGCATGTCCACGCATCAAAGTGGAGCTTAAGTGTAAATGCCTTCAGAACCTTGTCCTCAAAGCCCACCCCGCACAAACACCCCGAGCAATAGCGAACGCCACGGCAGCAGCAGCATACAGCACACCTCCAAACACAATAAGGCCCCAGTAATCACCATGATCTTGCTGCTGAATCGCCCCTGCAATTGGAATGCCAGTCAGTGTTCCTACACTGGCGATTGTGAACGTCGTTCCGGTCCTCTTGCCCAAGTCCCGCGTCTCACAGATCTGCGATATACAAACAGGTGTGAGGCTAATTGCAGCGCCGCTCCAGAAACCAAAGAAAACTGCGTAACAGACAATAGCAGCAATATTGTCGCCAGAAGCAAGCCATAGAGCTAGAGTGAGCGCCGCACACACAATGGAAGTCAAAACCATCACATTGAACCTTCCGATCCGATCGGCTATGAGGCCGGGGAGGAAGCGTCCCGGGATGGCGCCTAAATTGAGAAAGACAATCAGAGCATAGGAAAGCGTGTCACTCAGTCCAACGTGAATTGCATACGAGGCAATATAGGTTATCGGAATGAAAACAGCAAACTCCACCAGGAATACTGCTATTGTGGTGGCGGCGTATTTTCCATCCCGAAGAGCACGTAGATCAACAGAGGCGCTGGCTCCTTTGATGCGAGGGAGGCGTGTCTTCATTGTAACACAAGCAATGAGACAAAGTATAGCAGAAAGAAGCGCGATGATGCGAATTGCCCAGGCGAAGCCGATTCTGGGCGCAGCGAAGAGAATGATCAGGGGGAAGATGACTCCTCCTAGACCACCAGCGGTGCAAGCTATCCCGGTCGCATAGCCTCTTCGTTTGTCGAACCAGTGTCCCACGCAAGAGACTGCCGGAGTAAAGAGAGTGCACGCGGAAAGTCCGCCTAGGACACTGAAGGAGAGGAATATTTGGTAGTACTCTTGATTCTGTTAGCTGGCTGTGTTTCCTTGTCAAGGGGAGGCAAACAAGGTTACCTTGACTGAAACTCAAGCAGACCAAAGCGACAACAATCTCAATCGAGCCTGGGATAATGACATACTTGGGTCCATAGGCGTCGAATATTGGTCCTAGTTGCTACTCAATACCAGCTTGTCAGAACGACTAGACTGACCTACCAGCTTGCGCTCCAGCAGCATACAAGAAGAACCCATATGCCCCATAGATCCAGCCAATGCTCGACTCAGAGTAGTCCGCAAGTTGATGCTTACTCGTCCATGCATGCAAGATACCCAGACTATTGAGCAGACCCATCGATGGGATCATGGCGCACCATGCTCCAAGCACAACAGACCAGGCCTCAATCCCTCCCTCAGGGTATGTGGTGCCTGGCATTTCCGCACCCTCAGATGCTCTCCGGAGAGAATTTTTGCGTGATTTTTCTAGCATGGGAAATCGGTGATATTGGGGCAGGGTCGGGTGCAAGGTCTGAGAGCGTGAAAGATCACGGACAGGACAGGAAGCATTGGCCTTCCATGGAGGATACTTGGCGCTTAATAAAAGGTCTGGTGGGTCACAATCTGTCCCATAACGACATGATTCTATAGTTTCATAATAATCACCATTGAGAATTGTAGTGCTATCCCGATTGATTGTCTTGTTGATTGGAAATCAATGCTATGGTTTCGGCGAACATCGGCGAAATCGAGCGATGATTGGCTGTGGCCGAGTGAGGCGATCTGTGGTTCGCTGGAAGAAGCTTCTGACTGGACATATTGAATGAACAGTTAGGCAGTGCTTCAGGTTGATATCAGGAGGGAGGTCTCTAGACTGACGACTAAGCAGATAGGTGACACGAGATATCCAGTTTCGGAGGGATGGGCCTTGAAGGAGGCTCTTGCTTTGCAAAAGATTGTGGGACCTGTCTTAATTTGAAGAACATCAAGAAGAAAGAAGCTCGATACCGCGTAGTGTGTGAAGCCATCTTATGACAATGGTCACAGCTCCAGAATACGTGAAACATGAGGCTAGAAGGGATGTTGTTGATCGCAGGGTTTGTGGATGCAAAGACAGTCGGCTTCCCGCCCTCCCGGACGGCAGGTAGGCCTTAGCCATTACTTCTGCACAGTCGTTCGGCACTTCTCTCTACCTCACCACTCGACCCTTTCTTTCTTCTGTAAGCTGACTTGAACTGACTTCAAGACAAGAGCCTGTGAAATTGGATGGTAGTCAGTCTTCCAATGCTGGCTTCGGCCATCCGATTTTCAAAGTGAAGCCGGTGTGACCTGAGTGACTGCAGCTTCTCCTGATTCAAAGGACTCAACCTCCCTTGTATCATCGTCAAGACTTGAAGACTACCTTTTGCTACTGATCTTGCTTCTCATTCACTTCACCCGTCTCTAACTACATATCTCATGTCCACCACGTTCTTCCCCAACAATCTGCATTTATCTTCAACCATCTACAACCTTCTCAACCCTCTCCTACCTTACGCGGAACCACCATTTCTTCGGCCTACACCAGAGATCTAGAACAAACGCCTATATCCTCAAGACGACTTGTACACTTGCAAAACTCCAGAAGCATCCGACAACGCCATCCACGATTTAGCACCTACAGAGATGTTCGAAGAGGAAGCCCCAGGCTATACCAGCCTGGCCGACCCCGCTTTACTGGACAAGATAGACAGTCTATTTGCATGCAACATTGGAGAATACATCAATCTTTCCCAGCTGGTTGTCGTGGGGGACCAGTCAAGCGGCAAAAGCTCTGTCCTCGAGGGTCTCACTCGGCTACCATTCCCCCGCGACAGTGGGCTATGCACCCGTTTCGCAACTCAGCTCATCTTCCGCCGTAACAAAAACCTTACGACCAGAAGGATCTCTTCGTCGATTATTCCCGCGTCGGATTCACATCCAACAAGGGCAGGAGAGCTACAGGCTTGGGGTCCAAGCTTCGAGGGCAGCCTGAGTCCAGACGCCTTTGCTGCGATACTGGAGGAGGTAAGCACCGCTTTCAGTCTCTACAATGTATCCTCTCAGAAGGGTGCGGGTAAGCTGGTTATGCAGAAAAGGGTGGCGGTCGTTGGCGCAATCGACTCGGGACAATACCTGCCACGTGTGAAATGCTGATGGAACTTTAGGCGCACAGACTGATGGGCATCTCCACCCCTGACAAACCTACCAAGTTGACATTTTCCAAAGACATATTGCGGTTGGAAATCTGCGGACCCGACGAGGACCATCTCAGCGTCATTGACGTCCCTGGTATCTTCAAGTTGACTACACCGGGGCGCACAACCAAAGCTGACATCCAGCTCGTGAGGGAAATGGTCCTGGGATACATGAGAAACCCGCGGTCCATCCTGTTGACAGTCGTTGCGGCTAATGTGGATGTGGCAAATCAGGAGATCATCGAGATGGCACGGGAGGTAGATCCCGACGGGGAGCGGACCTTGGGTGTCTTGACTAAACCCGATCTCGTTGACAAAGGAGCCGAGCAGAAGATCCTGGACATCATCGCCGGGCGTGAGCTTCCCTTGAAATATGGCTGGATTCTGGTTCGAAACCTGGGGCAAAGAGAGATGGAGAAAGGACTTGTTGACAGAGACACCGCAGAAGCCGAGTTTGGTAAGACTGAGTTGTGGAGCACAGTGGCGGTGGACAGATACGGCATCAGCTCCTTGAAAACGCGCTTGCAGGATACGGTCACTGAGAATGCCAGAAGGACATTTCCTATGGTTAGTAGCATAGTTGACAAACATAAGTGAGCTGCGCTAACAATATCACAGGTCCGAGCTGAAATCAACAAGAAGCTCAAGGAAGCCAAAACAGGTCTGGTTGCGCTGGGTAGTGAGAGGGATAGTACCAGCCAGCAACTAAGATACCTCCTTGATGCGGTGACCAGGTTCAATATTATGACAACCCAAGCTCTAGGCACACACTATGGTGCGGATGAGAACTTCACCAAGTACAAGGAGCTTCGCCTTGCAACTTTGGTGGTCAACCGGGAAGTACTTTTCGCCCGATACTTCGAAAAATGGGGCCACAAATACGAATTCGAGGTAAACAGCATCCGCGACGACGTTGAAATCGTGTCCCCTGAGAGCGGTGGAGACGAACCTGCGCAGTTCTCTGCTAGCACACGACCAGGAGCTTTAAACTTCCATTCTACCGGAGAAGGGGAGCTTGATCACCACGGCTCACGCCCTACCAGATTTAAGACCCGGATGACTGAGCCCGTCATGGAGCTCGAGGATGTTCTCACCAACCAGGAAATAATAGAGAAGCCCCTGAGGCAGGGCATTCATGAATGGCTGCGAGATGAATATCACAACTCACGAGGGTTTGAATTGAATAGTTTCAGCATTCCCATGTTGACCAATGTCTTCAACCAGCAGACCATGAAGTGGCAAAGCATCGCGCTAGGCTATCTCAGTGACATCATTGTCGTTGTCCACAAATTCATCATGCGCAATCTAGAAATCTCGCTTGCGGATCGACGGGTCTTTCGAAATCTCTTACCTTATATAATGGGCAGCTTGCTCGAGGTGTATAAGGAAGCAATGGAGCATGTGCGGCTTCTCCTTTGCATAGAGAGGGAGGGCACCCTGAAGACCTTGGACCGTTATTTCAACGACCACCTGCAGAACATGTGAGTCTTTTCTTCGACTAGGGAGACCGTCTAATTTTAGTCTTTCAACAAATAGCATGCTAACCCCGAGATAGACGTCATTCGCGATGGAAAACCTACGTTGGGGGAAAAGAGGTCAACGGAATTCTCCATGTCGGCGACCTCGATTACCAACAGGACATGAGCAACGAGAGCCACACGGTGCAGGAGCTACATGACATCTTAGAATCCTACTACAAGGTCGCATTGAGTCGGTTTGTGGACAATGTCAGCATGCAAGCGGCCGATCACCATCTGGTGAACGGGCCCAATGCACCGATGAAGCTGATTTCGCCCGCCTTTGTGCACGGCTTCTCTGCGGAGACCCTGCAGGAGATAGCAGGGGAGGATCCGGCGGTGCGCCGAAGATGCACTCAACTAAAGAAGCAGATCGCGGAGTTGGAGAAGGGCAAGCGCCTTTTGATCTAGGTGGTAGCAGGTACGAGATGAGATTTTGGGTGATAGTGATCTTGGAAGAAATGGTTCCTTGCTTGGCGGTGAGCTATACACAGACACACCGCTTATATTTGGATGGGCTTTGGCGATTTATTTATCTTGGCACAACCTAAATCACCTTCTAGTATACCAAATGGAAGCAATATCACACCACATTTTGCCTAGAGTAACGCCCACCCGAGGACCCCTGGGTTGGCAGCGTATAATGACGATGGAAGATAGCGCAAGCGAAGCCGCCAATGCGCGCCAGCAAGTGGGGAAATCTCCGCTGTGACCTGTCAGCCCAGCAACGGCCCGCCTTGCGCCCCATTACCCATTCCTCGGCGATAAAGGATTAAAGAACCACTAACCCGCTTGAACCTAGACCAACAACCGCGGTAGCTCGTGCTTTCTCCATCATAAAAGCCAAGCTCCCCTCATTTTCCCACGACATCCCCAACTGAACCGTCCTACCACCACCACAAGAGGAGTCACCTCGCAAACCACCAACAAAATGACCTACACAACGCAAGCCGAATTCGACGAGGTCAGTCCCTCCCCTCCCTTCCCTTCCCTTCCCCCCTTACCCCCTCCCGCACCACCCCTTCCCTAACAAAGAAAAAAAAAAGGCCCTGCACACGGTCCGCGCAACCTTCGCCACGGGCCACACCAAACCCCTCCCCTGGCGGCGCCAGCAACTCCGACGCCTATGGTGGATGCTCGAAGACCACCGCGCGACCATTGTGGAGGCACTACAAACCGACCTCCACAAAAGCGAAGTGGAAACCACCATCGTCGAGATCGGCATGCTGCAAGCCGACATCCTGCACACCCTGGATAACCTGAGCGCGTGGACGGCCGACGAGAAGCCCACGCGCCTCGACCCCGTCAATCTACTTGGGGGCACCGTCGTGCGCACCGAGCCGCTCGGCGTGACGCTGATCATCGGCGCGTGGAACTGTCCCTTCCAGCTGGCGCTGCAGCCGCTCGTGGCGGCCATCGCGGCGGGGTGTGCGGCGATCGTCAAGCCGTCGGATGTGAGTGCCGCGTCCGAGGAGGTCTTGGCGCGGATCATGCCCGAGTATCTGGATACGAAGGCGATCCGGTGTGTGACTGCGGGCCCCGGCGAGATGGAGTACATCCTGGCGCAGCGGTGGGATCACATCTTCTACACGGGGTCGGCGAAGGTGGCCAAGATCGTGCATGCTGCTGCGGCGAGACATCTTACGCCGGTGACGTTGGAGTTGGGGGGCCAGGGGCCGGCGATCGTGACGGAGTCGGCGGATGTGGAGATGGCGGGGAAGAGGATTGCGGGGGCCAAGTTCCTGTTGGCGGGGCAGGTTCGTTCCTTTTTTGGGGTTCTGAGTTCTGGAATATGGAAGTTCTAAGCGCATGCGGCAGGTCTGCATCAACGTCAACCACATCCTCGCCCACCCGTCCGTCCGCGACGCCCTCGTCGCCTCCCTCGCTCGCTGGTTTGACACCTTCAACGGCGGCGCCGACACCGTGCCCCCCTACAGCTGCCACATCGTCAACGACCGCAACTTCGACCGCCTCGAGTCCCTGCTCAGCCGCACGGCCGGCCGCGTCGTCTACGGCGGCGTCCGCGACCGCAGCACCCGCTACTTCGGCCCCACGATCGTCGTCGACGTCCGGCCGGACGACGTCCTCTTGACCGAGGAGCTCTTCGGCCCGATCCTCCCCATCGTCGACGCCGACCTCGACGCCGCGCTCGCCTTCACCACCTCCCTCGAGCATCCCCTGGCGCTGTACGCGTTCACGAACGTCGAGGCCGAGAAGGACCGGATCCTGCGGGAGACGGCCTCCGGCGGCGTCACGTTCAATGACTGTCTCCTGCACGCCTTGGCGAAAGATGCCCCCTTCGGGGGTGTGGGCCATGCCGGTATGGGCGCGTACCATGGGAAGTATGGGATCCAGGCGTTCTCGTATCGGCGGACGGTCACGAATGCACTACCGACTGTGCTGGAGGGGTTCATGGATGCCAGGTATCCGCCGTATACTGTGGAGAAGATGCACAAGATGATGCCGAAGGTGACGCCGTCGTTCGACCGCGAGGGGAATGAGAGGAGCTCAGTGGGCAAGGTGGCTGGCGCGGTGGGCGCGGTGGCTGCTCTGGGCGCTTCGGTCTGGTTTCTGGGCGGTGCGAGGGAGAGGATTCCGGCCTATGTGAAGGGGTGGTTGCGGTAGGAACTTCCTCTGCGTTGTACTCATCGGTAGTTAGCTCTGGATTGTAATTGGTCTGTACAGTATTTGGGTTGACTTCATGCTTGGCCGCGTGTAGTTCGCTGCGGAAGGAATTTGATACAATCAGCCGACTTGATCACCTCGACCGATCATGAGCTCGTCTTAGCTTCACCGTTGCTTGCAAAGGCTACTAGACTCCAACACCGCGGTGAGGTGCGAGCTCTCGTTGGAGGCCTGTCTCCCATCCAGGCAACATCCCAAAGGATGTGTTTTCGTCTATTGCTGCAGCCGCCATCTGTCGGCCGGAATGGAGCCCGATGACCCAGCACCAAAGACCACATACACCTTCTCATCCTCAACGAGCTCAGCGGCTCATCCTAGGAGAGGCGGGTGTAGCGAGGAGAAGGCAACAAAGGAAATCTCATCCACACACCAGTCGCACATGCATCGAGACAAGCACCAGCACAAGCACACAGCTCAAGCACCACGGCACGAAGTACCAGTACAAGCTTCTAATGCAGGCACCGGCGCCAGCTCAAACACACAGGTCGTGGTGATGGCCTGAGCTAAAAGAAGGCGAACCGTTAGACGAGGCATCATGGGCAACTCATTCCCTTCCGCTCCCACCGGACGGCGACAGCTTCCAGCAAATGAACCCACCAACTCTCGTCTGGTGCAACTGCGCAGTCTCCACATCACAGCGGCAATGGAGCTGGCCGGGGTCCCTCAACCAACCGACGAGCGAGTTGGCTGAAGACCTGATTCCAGCACGAACGCAGGCCGGTTCGTAGTCCGTCCCCGCACGTCAGCTGCTCCCAGGACCACTAGGTACCTGGTGGTCAGACCTCGACAAGGTCTGTGGTCTGCCTTGATCAGCCCTCGGATAGGACTCCCGAACATGGAATATCCTGCCCGTACTCATGGTAGGGGCAGGCCATGTTCTACCCTCGGGAAGCATTGTTCTTCGTCAGGGAAAGGCCACGCCCTCAGTCTGTTGACGATGTTTCGGGATCACCCGTTTGTTTGTAAGACAAAGCTGAGGCTGAGTCCGCACGCGTGTTCGCCCACATCTTGTCAGACGTTCGGGACCATGTGCTCTTCGCAAGCCCCTCGCAGAGCTCAAACAGGACCCTGGAGAAGAGGACATAGCACTCTGCCAAATATCTCAAAATGAGCATCCTCGGCAGCATGCCTGGTTCTGTGGTCATCCCCCACGACTCCGAAATCGGTCGTCGCTGTTTGGGGATGCACAGAACCCCCCAGTTGGATTTTGGGAAACGGGCAAGGAGAACTGGGGCCTGACATGGACTATAGCACGGCGACTGGCACAGGTATGGGATGTCAGGGACCCTCGACTTCTGTCGAAGGGTCGTGCGGAGGTGAGAAGGAAGGGGGGGGAGGGAAGAGGATGGAGGAGGGGCGGGAGTGAGAGTACACGGTGGGTTACATGCTGGGATACACACTGAGAACAAGAATTGGGAATGCGAAAAAGGACAATATACATCGAGGGGTTTGAATGAGAACACGACAAAGGATGAGAACACGACAAAGGATGAGAACACGACAAAGGATGAGAACACGACAAATGATGAGAAGGATAAAGGTGGGATACAGAACGCAGGTGTGTTAGAGGACGCAAATGGATGCAGGATGTAGATGGATACAGGATGAAGATGGATACATGATAGAGGTAGAAACAGGATAGAGATAGAATCAGGATGGAGATGGGACACAAATGATGATGAAGGATAAGGCAAGGGATGTGTTACATGATGGGGAACAGGATGATGGAGGTGATGGAAGAGAAGAGGATGGAGAGGTGGAGGAAGGATAGAAGAGAGGAAGGAGAATAAAACAAGAAGAGAGAGAAGAGGGAGGCTTATATAGACGAAGAAACCGATGGTCAGATGACCTGGATGGACCCATTCACTGTGTCGCTACAATTACTCCTTGGTAAGTGAATGTAGCTAGCTGTGGAAATTTTTACAGACACCTAAATAGGCTGCAGCCTGCAATTCGGTGGACTCTACGGGAGCTGGAGGACTGGATCTACACATCACGTGGGCTACTATTGAGCTCGTCTTAGCTTCGCCAATCGATGGCTACTAGACTCCAACACCACGATGAGGTGCGAGCTCCGCGTTGGAGGGATGCGCAGAGGACGGTGCGCAAAGAAGTAAGGAAGAAGCTTGGGATGCGAAAGAGTGTAGAAGAAGAGAGAGCAGGAGCAGGTAAGAATAGGAGTATCTAGAATCTATAGAGATAAGAATAGAGAGGAGGAGGAGGAGAGGAGGAGGAGAGGAGAAGGAGGAGGAGGAGAGCAGTAGGAGGAGGAGGAGAGCAGGAGGAGGAGAAGGAGGAGGAGGAGAAGGAGAGCAGGAGGAGGAGAAGGAGGAGGAGGAGAAGGAGAGCAGGAGGAGGAGGAGAGCAGTAGGAGGAGGAGGAGAGCAGGAGGAGGAGAGGAGGAGAAGAGCAGGAGGAGAGGGAGTAGGAGGAGAGAGAGTAAGAAGAGAGAGTAGGAAGAGAGATTAGAGAGAGGAGAGATAGTAGGGAGAAGGAGAGTTGTAAAGAAGAAGAAACGAACAGGGAGGCAGACAGAAAAGAGGACTGGTTTTGTTCAGCAGTGACAACTCATCCTCAGCAAAGTTTGCAGGAGAATCTACAGCTCTGGCACTTTCTATTGCTTCATTATTGCGGAATCATGAAAATTCTCTGGTCAGCTGGCAGAAAATATCTGCTGGATGACCTGCTCTGACGCGATACTGATTGAACCGTTGCGTGTCTCTGTTCCATCAGATTCTTCGATGACCACAACCACTGTCATGTCTATTAATGGGATGAAGAATCGGAATAAAGTCTATACGATGACAGCTTGACACATATCGGACAAATTTAATGAATGACACTACCGAGACAACCACTCATCGATCCTCCTTGACAGCCGCACACACCTGGCATCGACCACCCTCGTCCACCAACTCGACAGCCAAACCACCAACACTCCCATCACCACAGCCGTGACACCCCAACTGACCACAAACACCCCCATCCCCCCAGCAAGTGCCTCCTCATCCGTCGCCGGATACTCTCGCCCAGTCAGAATCCACCACAGTCCATTCCGCACGGGATCCCGGGCAACATGATACACGGACTGATGCACCAGATACAGCGAGAACGAGATGCGTCCTAGAAACTGCGGTGTCGGCCTCTCCAACGCCCTCTGCAGCACCTCCACGCGATCGATGGCATACACCACCAACACGGACCCCACCGTCTTCCAGCATTTACTCACAATCGCCCAGTCGTCATCCCACCGGGGCGACTGCAGCGACCCAAGCCATCGATACCCAGGCGTAAGTACCCCGTCATCCCCAAGACAGAGCAGATGCAGCCCCATGAGAAAACAGAATCCTGTCACCAGCGTCTTTGCTTTTGCTTTGAGACCACCAGCTGACGCGCTTGACAGCCCAGCCTCGCCATCCTTCCTCCCAACCCACCACCCATCACCCAACACCGCATCCTCACTACTCGGGTGCAGTCCCTGAGCAAGCTCCGCAACCAACAAACCTCCCAGAAAACCCACCCCATCCCAGATCCCATACCACAGAAAATACACCGCCAGCACGAACACTCCGCCAACGCGCATCTCCTTCCTCCAGAACGCCATCCCCAGAATGACAAGGTACACCATCAGACTCCCGCGAAACTCAATCGGCATCGTCCACAGCTGCCCATTCAGCCCGGGGTTATGGTGGAACTGGATGATATTCACAATGTCCAACAAATACCGCAAGAGATAGGTGCAATGGAACAGCGGCGCGGTCCACGGCCGACGGCCCCAGACGACATCGTCGCCGAACGACCAGTGATACAAGCCGCCGAAGAACAGCAGCTGCGAGAGAATTGCGACAAGGAAGACGGGCAGATAGATGCGGAAGATCCGGCGCGTCGTCGCGGAGGAGAGTCCGCGCAGTAGTGTCTGGTTCGTCGCGGACGACGACGCGGTCAGCGAGGAAGATGGCGGCGCATCGCGCAGACGAAGCAGGTTGATGCTCAGAGCGTAGCCCGAGATCACGAAGAAGAGCGCCACCATCGCGTGGGCGGAGAAGAGCAGGCGGATTGGGGGCAGCTGGATGAAACGCCGGTTGGCCGACGCGGGGTCCGCCCAGTAGGAGTGGAAGGCGAAGTCGAAGATTCCGCCCATGAAGAAATGGTTGAAGGCGACGATGGCGGCGGCAAGGCCGCGGAGGCCGTCCAGCCACGCCGTGCGAGGTCTGTCCATCGTATGCTGCATGGTATGCTGTGATGATGAAGTGGTAAACTGCAGCATTGCAGTGGATGAAAGCGGGAGAGGCGGAGGGGATGGATAAGACGGAGGGAGAAAAAGGGATCCATGGATGGAGACTGGCCTCGGATCCACACGCTAAATTAGTATTTTTAGCGTGCGACCATGACTGGTCCCTGTTTCTGATTCTTCAGGCGGCGGATTGTAACGGTTCACAGGATTTATTTTCTGCTGGGGGTATATACAACATTTCCCGATCGGGTAATCTCATGCAGGCATCTACCGCACTACCGGCGTTGCTGCCTACTCACTACAGGTCACTACCACTACAGGCCGAGTCCCAATGCTCGACTCTCCTCGTCAGCCACCCACTGGTCCAGGGTAGCGAGCTCTGACGCCTGGAGTCGCCCTCGGGGATCCCGCTTCCCAGCCGGATCATACTATCGAGCATACACCGATCCTCGTAGAAGCTCCACTGCACGCACTCGCCCCAGGCTACGCAGGCTGCCTCGCAGTGATCCACCGACATCCAGGCCTCCGTCCAGGCCTGCAGCCTGGTGACGATTTCCGGCACCGTCACGGCCTTGACATTACTGGAGCGGATATCGTACTTGGCCGCGCCGTTCTCCCACCACTCCACCCGCTCGCGCAAGTACGGCCGCACCATCGCCTCATACACGTCCCTGTACCGGATGGGGCCCCGGGCCTGCACGTCGCCCCACCGCATCTCCAGCTCGTACAACCGGGCCACATCCCGGTTGTGCGTGTGGTGCCAGCTGAACACGGGCTTGCACCAATTCTCCTGCTCGTACCAGCTCGTCCAATGCGCCTCGGGATTGAACCCATAGCTAAAACGACTCTCCTCCGCCTCGGGATGCTCTCCGAACCCGACGCCACTCTCTTTCAGGACATGACCGAGAATGTGATCCCCGCAGCCATGCTGCGCCGTGAACGCAGCATACTTGTCCTCGATGTTGACCTTCTCGTCCCCAAACGCCATCTCCCACGCCTTGCGCGAGATGGCGAACCCAGAGCCGCCGTGGGCGAAATAATCGCCATGGATCCAGGCGACGCTGCCCAGGTACCAGGGCTGCCGGTGGTCGAAGCGCCCCAGGTGCGCGAGGAGGTTGGGCAGGAAGAGGTAGGCGTCGTCCTCCATGAAGATGTACCATTTGGCGTCCGGGCGGGCGCGCCCCGCGTGCTGCACCAGCGGCAGGAACTTGTACTTGTCGAGCTTCCAGCCGCCGGCGGGGCCGGAGTTGTCGCCCGGATAGACGTTGTTGATCTCGGCGTAGTTCTGGCGGAAGTCGTGGTCGGCCTGTTGGCGGTAGGGGAGGGCAATCTCGGGGTCGTTGATGGTCGTGTTGGCGAGGATGTCGATGAAGGTCCACGCGCCGATGGTCTCGGGGCTGTCGGAGTAGAGGAGGACGTTGGCCGGGGGGATGCGGGCGGGGGCGAGGGTGGTGGTGAGGTGGATGGGGACGCGTTTCCAGAGGACGGAGGCGCCGGTTTTGAACATGAGGACGATGTCGTTGACGGTGAGGGGGGAGGAAGAGGTGGTGATGGTGGTGGTGTCGGAGGCAGGGGAGGTGGAGGACGCGGAGGAGGCTACCGCTGAGGGGGCGGGTTTCTGCGGCGTGGAGGTGTTTTCATCTTCGGCGATGAAGGGGGGTGAAGGGTGCACGACGACAGTGGCCTCTCCTGCTTGGTAGGGTGTTTGCGTGGTATACGCTGTCGACGCGACCCATGGGGGGCGATCGAGGGCAAAATGGTAGAGGAAGAGACAGACGGTGACCAGGATGATCCCGAGCGGGACGCGGCGATTGTCTTGGTAAAACCGACGCATGATGAGAGTGTCTTACCTCCGATCATGAGCGGACTCGAGTGGAAGGCATAATGGACGGGTTTTTATATCTTGGGATAGAGATTAGCAGAGACCGATTGTCCAAACCCGGTAAGTGGTGATTTTCTCCATGGTAAATGCCCCTCACAGGATTTTCGAGGGTCCTCCATCCGACCCCTATACAAAGACCCCGAAGATCCCCTCAACCCCACCACAAAAATTAGTTAAATGAATGTCTCAGGCGCAAAGCAGCGTGATTGGCAGGTGCCTGGCGAGACATGGACAGATGCCTGCGCTAAACCCGTTGCAGTAAGCACGGACAAGGCTGTAAGTTCCGATTGACTTGCCCAAAATAGTTTAGAGTGCGGCTATTGCAAGTAACAAAAATAATCTCCGTGTCTGCAGTCAAACCCGTGTCGATACGAGCCACACGAAGGGTCCTGCCAGCCTATGATTAGACACGATCCACCGAATCACCGCACTTGGCCTCTCAATTTCGGGAATTGCATTCGTCAAATCCAACGGTAATACTCCGTACTACTGACCGACTAGCACTGACTCCAGTCTAGTGACTAGTCAACTCAACTAGTGAATCCATCATTGAGATTTTTTCTACCGGTGACTCCATCATGGCTCCATCTGCGGTCCCCAGTTCATCAGGGGATCAAATAAATACACCAATGCATCCGATGCAGCATCCCAAAGAATGTAGTCGTGAGCAGACAGACACACTTCGACCATGGACCACCCACCGATAACCCCCCAACGGGGCCCCCAAGTGCCCCTGCTGCGTCAGATGCTTAACGGGCTGGGCTGTCTGCTGGTGCTGCCCCTGTACTACTACCTCACCGCCGCCACCCGCCATCCCCTCACCCTAGACCTGCTGCTCACCATCCTCGCCGCCGAATACAACCGCTTCACCAACGAGCGGCGCCGGCGCCGCCTCTACCAGCCCACTGCCGCGGCCGCTGACCCCGAGAAGCCGCGGGACGCGCACAGCGGACCGGACTGCATTGCCGCCGTGGTGGGCTACCGCGAGGACCCGGGGCTGTTTGCGCGCGCGCTGAACAGCTACCGCGCGGCGGAGGGGTGTCGCTTCATGCTGGTGGGGATCGACGGCGACGAGGAGGCGGACATGGAGATGGTGCGGGTTTTCCAGAACGTACGGCATTCCTCCTCTCTCCCCTCAACACAATATGGTATACTCACCAACACACCACAGATCCACCCCACCGCCCCAACCATCCACCTCGACACGCCCCTCGGCGACATCGCCACGCGCACCTTCGACAAACTCGCCACCGCCGACCTGCACGGATCCCCGCGGGAGGCCTACCAACTGGCCAGCATCGCGCACTGCTGCGACCTGGCGCGCGAGATCCTGGGAGAGCACGACCTCCTCTCCGGCCGCGGGCCGCAGCAGGTCTGCATCTACCAGCCGCACCACAGCAAGAAGGCGATCATGTTCACGGCCTTCATCTTCAGCCTGGTGCTGGCGGACGCGCGGGGGATCGAGTACCTGTGGTCGTCGGACTCGGACACGCTGGTGTACGCGGACTCGCTGCGGCGGACGGTGGCGACGATCGCGGGCGACCCCGCCGTGGGCGGCGCCAGTTCGGGCCTGCTGGTGCACAACGCGGGCGACTCGGTCGTCGCGCAGCTGGGCCGCATCGTGTACTGGTGCGAGCTGTACCTGACGCGGTCGGTGGCCACGGCGGCCGGCACGAGCGACTGCCAGAGCGGGCCGAGCTCGGCGTTCCGGGTCGCCGCGCTGCCTGGGATCCTGTATCCGTGGTACACGCAGGAGGTTTGGGGGCATCGGATGGTGAGTCCAGCTAGCAGCCAGCCCCAGTACTTAGTGAGCCCCGCTAGGGGCGAACCAAGAACCAACCCCTCTCCTCCGAATCTCTAGCAATGGATACAGCCTCTACAACGGATAGCATGCTAACAAGAGCAACGGTAGATCGTCAACGAAGACCGCCACCTTACCACCAACCTCCTCCTCCGCGGCTGGACCGTCACATATGTGTCCGACACGTTAACAGCAACGGATACGCCCACCAACCTCCGCAAATGGATTCTCCAGCAGGTACGCCCCAATCCCCCACCCTCAAACCCCTCCCCCCAAACCAATGCTAACAACAAAAAGGTCCGCTGGTCCCGCTCCGGCCACATCGAATCCCTCCAATCCCCGCACCTCTACCTCCTTACCTCGCCATTATTCTTCTGGGCGGCCATCAAGCGCGAAGCCGGGCCCCTGCTGGGCCTAGGCTACATCCTCTACTACCTGTGCACGGGCGCGAGCCTGGCGTATTTCTCGTGGACGGATCTGGTTGTTCGGCTCGTGTACACGGTTCTGTACAACATCCTCCGGAACCCCGATCGGGGGGTCCGGAAGGCAGTGCTGGGGGTGGGGTTGCTCCCCGCGCTGCTGTTCTACAATATCCCCCTGCCGATTGTGCATTTCTGGAGCGCGGTGACGGTGCTCGAGGATGGGTGGGGGACCAGTATGCGTTCTAAGGAGGCGGGGGTGGTGCCGGATGTGAATCAGCTGGCGTCTCATGGGGAGGGGGAGAAGGGGGGGGGATCTGGGGGTTGGGGGGGGGGTGGGGGAGTGGGAGGTATGTCTGGTGCTGGGGCTGCTGGGGCTGCTGGGGCTGCCGCGCCTGCTGTGCAGACTGGGATGTGGAAGCGGTGGAAGGAGCTGGGGTTCTTTGTGGTGTACATGGGGATTGTGGCGGGGGTGGCGGCGCGGATCCTGGCGGGACATCTCGGGTATGCGGTTTTGCAGACGGAGCGGGCGGTTTGGGGGGCGGTGGTCGTCGGGTTTGCGGGGGCGTTTTGGGGGTTGGTGGTCTGGGAGTAGATGGATAGCCCCCTACGCCCAGTACTACACTTATATACATGGATCATGAAGAAGAAGGTTAGGGTGTGTCATGACAGACAAAAACAATATTATTCGGCATTAATGAACACGGGACCTTGACACTATACTCAAACTCGAACCCCCAAAGGCAGACTTTTGATTGACCTCCCAATGCGAATCGCATCCTCTATCACAGACTCCCATCAGTACCCCTCCTCATCCACGCTGTACTCCCGATACATAATCATACTGTACCGCGCGAACGCACTCCGCGCCCGCAGCCCCCGTCCGTACCGCGCGAACAGCGGCAGCACCAGACAGAAGACCGTGGCGAGGGCGGCCAGCACCGAAACAGCCCCGTTCGCGCCCAGCCGCTGCAGCATGGGCGCCGAGACGAGCGGCAGCACGGCCGACAGCGTGGCGCGCACCAGGCTCAGCGCCGCCAGGCCGCTGGCCGCGTAGCTCAGATAGCTGTCCGTCAGGTACCCGCCCAACACGTAGTCGATCTCATTCAGACTGAAGCCCGTCAGCACCAGGGCCACGACCGAGACCATCCAGGGCACGTGCGCCATGGCCGGCGGGATCGTCCAGGCGAACACCCACAGCGCGGCCGCCAGCACGGGCGTGCCGATCCAGAACCCCAGCAGCTTGTCCTCGGGCTGCAGCGGGCGGCCCTGGCGGCTGTGCTGCGCGATGATGCGCAGATCGAACCACCGCGTCACGAACCCCAGGAACAGGCCCAGGCCGATGGCGATGAAGGGCAGGCACGCGTGGCGCGGGCTGAACCCGAACGACATGTAGATCGGGGGCAGCGCCTGCGTGAACAGGTACACCAGCGCGATGGCCACGGCGCTCATCACCGCCACGATGAACACGATCAGCTCCGTGCACAGCAGCCGGATCGGCCGGAACAGCGCCAACCGCACAAAGGTGTGCAGGTCCGGCGCCTGGTCTGGGTTCAGCGCCTCCGGCGTGCCGGGGATCTGCGTGACCTGCCGGAAGAGCGCCACCTCCCGCGCCAGCAGCAGCGACGGCCGCGACTCGCGGATGGTCAGCAGCAAGAACGCCAGCACCCCGGTCACCATCGCGGCCACGTAAAATAGCCATCGCCTGTGGTTTCGTTAGTGGCACCTTCCCGAGAGTAACCTCTCTTCTTGATGAAGAGGACAGGGAAGAACACACCAGTTCATATCCGCCACGACAAAAGTACTCAGAATCGGACCGACGACCATCCCCAGATTCGCAGCTTGCACCCAGATGCAGATCATCCACACGCGCTCCCGCGAGTTGAACAGATCCTCAATGCTGCCGCCCACCACCGTCGTGGGAATTGCCGACAGAATCCCGCTCATGAACCGCCCAATGATCACCCCGGCCATCGACGGCACCGAGGCAACCACCACACACGCCAGGCTGTACAGCGCGGAGCTGACGACATACAGCTTCTTCCGACCGAACGCCTCCGAGTACGGCGGGAAGATGATCCCCCCACACGCCTGGCCGATCAGGTACCTACGAAGTCAGCACACCCCAGGCTCCGGGCAAACGGACGGCAGATACTCACACCGACACAAAGAGGAAGATCGACAGCTCCTGCGGGACATCAAACTCGCGCACGGCACTGTTGGCGGCGGTGGACTGGACACGTCAGCTCCCTAAACATCACTCCACGAATTGCAGACTTACCCCCGCCGTGCTCACTGCCGTGCTGAAAGTACAATATACCCTCATGGTCAGCCACAGCAAACAGTACTGCACCACCACCCCACCGATAAGACTCACGTAAAGAACTCCAGGAACAGAATCAGCGCGATATCCCAGATCTTCCTCCGCAGCCTCCAATTCCGTGGATGTCGACCGTTGCCAACCGCCCACCGGATGTGCACGCCGTCTGCAGCCATACGAAGGCCATACTGCGGGAGCAGGGACTGCAGAACATCTTTCTCGGACTCGATCGAGGACGTGGTGATTTGGCTGGTGGGCTTCATGGCATAGGAGGAAACGAGGTTTTACCTAAAAGTTGACCGGACATCATGTCTCGGCAGGCAAAGGGGTCCTCGGTTGTGTGTATTTATTCAAGCTGGCATCGAGCTCTGTGGAACGCAAGCACGGACTTAACCGGACGTAATTCACCACGGAAAGCTCTGGGCCATCCGATCTCATAAGTCCTCAGTCGGGTCTTTCTGTGGCGAGGCTAACGCTAGATGGATTCCACTGCTGCCTCCCCAATTATCCCTCATCTTGACCTGTGCCATCCTCGGGACGATGAGGAGTCTATTCTCCTGAAATGCACGACCCAGTGCCACGAATAGACAGTCAGAAGTCGTCGGCCTATCATCGATCGGCTTTTACCCGACAAATCGCTGCGGGATACGCCTGTACTCCAGTGCGCATCGACGTATACGGCCTTCAGCATGGTACTACTTCGGAAGCGTGACGGGAGAGGCTTTGCATGTGCTTGGTTCTATTCGTTGCATCCGTGGCTCTGGAGGTGTCCCTGCAGTCTCATGTCTCAGGTCATTTATTATCTTAGACTAGCTCCTTATCGCCATCCACACTAGGAATCCATTAGTCTGGGCCATACCTGGCTACATGTTCCCAAGCTCTTTCTCATTCCAAATCTCCGTCGTTATCTCCATCGCCATCCCCATCTCCCTGGTGGTTGTCTGCTCTTCCGTTTCCGTTATATGCCAAGAGGTTCGGGCTTCCAGCGGTATTAGTGACTACGTTCCGTGTGGCCAATGCCTTCAAGCGGGCCGTCACCGCAGCTGGCGTAGACAGGTTCTCAAGCGCCATGAGGTACATCGTCAGACCAGCAACGTGGGGCGTGGCCATTGAGGTCCCCGAGATGCTCCGAGTCGTCGTGTCTGATCCTATCCAAGAGGACAGAATATCCTCGCCGGGAGCAAAAATGTCGACAAAGGCGCCGTAATTAGAGAAATTGGAGCGGGAGTTACGCCGGTTGATGGCGGCGACGGTAACAGCATCCGGCGCAGACGCGGGGCTCGTTCGCGAGGCATCTCTCTATTTTCCTTCAGTGATTACTCCGAACGTGAGGCTGTGAGTGAAATACATTTTCGTTGCCTGCAGCGACAACAGAGAGCACTCCCTCATCGAAAGCATTCTCCACCGCATCGTTGAACGTGCTGGAATAGCTTCCACCTATACCCGTAGTCAGCGATAGAGTCACACAAACAACACACAGAATATACCCAAGCTCATATTGATCACAGATTTGCTCGTGCGATTCTTGCTCACGATATCATTGACAGCCCAGTTGAAGCCATCAAGGATGACCGAGGTAGAGCTGGATTCCCCAACAAAGACCTTCACCGAAACCAGAGTCGCTCTCTTCGCCACGCCGTACGTTCGTCCACCAATGATTCCGGCAACATGGGTCCCGTGTCCAACACCATCGACATGCTGTCCTCCAGCAGCATTGTATGCCAAGAGGACGCGACCACTGAATTCGTCATGAGAGCTCAAAATGCCTGTATCTACGATATAAGCATAGGTGCCAATCCCGGCACTATCGTCATAGACGTAGTCAGTGCTAGTCTGTCCTCGATGCGAGATGCATCCTAGGCCCCACGGCGCATTGTGCTCGGTGACCAGTCCGTCGAGATCCCAGACCTGGTCTTCCTCGACGTTCGCAATCTATGAATAAATTAGATTACCGCCAGTTGCGCTCGGAAGGTCAACAAGAACAAACATCTGCATGTTGGCGAATGGCCGCAATGGTGGCATCGTCGAAGGAACCAGCGTATGCAGCAAACCTGTTGATTTTGTAATATCTCTCAATGCCAGCTGGAAGGTCTCCATCAATAAAACTACGGCCTTCAAGGTGCCGCCTGTGAAGGTTGGTCGCCCAAGCGGTATGCTCGTCGATCTTGGCATCGTCGGTTCCCGGTTTGAAGGTGACAATATACTTCCCCGGAATCGTCTGCAGAGTCTGGCGACTTTCGAGAGTCGGTGCAGCAAGCACGGCAGATAAAAGGGATCCGAAGACCAGCAGGAAACTTCTCAATGAGACCATTGTGGATCATGCAAAGTAGAAGAGAAAATACACCCCTTAGGAAATTCGAGCAATGTACAAACGTGCTAGGGAGCTCGCCTTATATACCTTCAGCATTGCAAGCTTCGTCTAAAATTGTTAGCCTATCACTTACATGGCCGCCTGCCTTGCAAAAGAGCGAGACCAGGGCCCAAGATCTCTGAGCATATTTAAAACTCTGGGGGTAACATTGCATTCTCAGACGACTTAGTTGTGTCCTATTAGGCAAGACGCCATGCATACCATGGGTGATTTTGGGCCGACGCGAAGGACCAGGGATCGCGGTGACAAGCAGCGCAGAGCTTATTTCTCCGACCCCAGAAAGGCCTCGAGTCAAACCAATCTGGACATCGTCCACCGGATTAAACGGCACACACTCATTCATGCAAGCCTTGTGGCTTTGACGGTTCCACTGCTGGCGGGCGATGGCCCTGGCATGTCGTATTCAGAACAGCATCGCTTATTCGTTTCCAGACGAACTCTTAATTCTATAATGAGAGAGGCAAGCAGAAGAAGCTCTCGTTGCCAGGATGTTGCGCAAGGAGCCCTGGAACACGGGGGAATGCTTAACCACTTGTCCGAAAATCGGTGCGACCCACCCTGGGGAGCTGATTTCTCACGAGGTAAAAACCACTGCATGCGCTTATCATCTGTCAAGCAAGTCTGGATACCGATTGGGCGATAGAGCGATTATCAGTAAACAAGAAAGGGTAGAGACCACGTCCTAGGACCATTCCTACACTGCCCTTCTGAGTTCGAGGGTCGTACAGTGAGCTCAGGCGCGTTGATCATCCACAGCAGACTGGGCTTTCCAGACGATCTACCCCTCTTGTAGGGCGAGGAGCCAGCTTGCCGGTCCGACGTGCTTGTGATAACGCGAGGCCCCTCCCACCAAGTCAGTTACGAAAGCTTGGTACGACCAACCTGCCCCTGAGGATACGCATGTGCCTGGGGAAGTCTTCTGATGTGTTGAAACCTAATCATGGCCTTGATGCGAATCTGACTGAAGAAGAGGGCAGCGGGCAAGTGGTTCATTGGTGGTTATTCCTCATCGAGCCGTGGCGATGGGGTTCACGACGGCCAAGACAGCTGACGGTAGTTCAGTTGGCGAGGCATCTGGACGTCTGGTTTAGCACAACTTGACAATTGTACCAGAGTCAGAGTCAAAACCCCATTGATCAAAGGTAGCCATCAGGAACAGGTTCTACCAATTGTAGGCGGCAATACTTGTGGTATGGTTCTGAGATCACTCGCAGTGGACATCGTTACGACTCTGCGGGGTGACAGACTGATGGCCCTCTGTTGTCTGCTTCTCTGCAGGGTCTCGACGCAGCCAAGGCCCTCGCACACGTCTGGTGACGGAGGTTTTCTGAACGGGCTTTGGGCGCACTTCGAATAGGTACGGTTGCATCAAGGCAGCCATCGAGACTGTCGTGACCGGAAAGAAGGCCCCTTGAGCCAGTCGGATAATTTCATCGGGTGCAACAATTGGAGGTGGAAGAGGAGGATTGGTGTAATGGGAGAGTGTGGCAGGCACGGTCTGACCGGAGTTGTGATTGTTGTGTTTGGTTGCACCGAGTCCCGTGATCCCGGCTGGTCAGGTTTATGTCAGGCACAGGGCAACCCATTGGACCGTACAGCATGCTCTTCAGCGCGCGAATACTACGTGAGATCCAGTTGAATCATTTAGTGTAATGGAGAAGTAAACAGGAGATAAGGAGAGAGAGCATGTCAAATTCAACAGCGAACTATCTCCCTCTTTCTCTTGACATGCGCAGGCTTCCCTCATCTGCAGCCATTTGCATGCATGCAACTATCCACCCTATGTCCAATGACCCCGCCTAGAACATTTTGAAAAGAAAATTCCCATTTACAAGGACTTCTTCCCCGCAAACCTCTTGTCGGCCTCCTGGTTGGCGAACGGGAAGCCGCTGCTCCGCTTATCGACGCCAGTCTTGCGGTTGATCTTGCCCCCGCTGCTCGCAAACAGCGCGCACCACACCCCGACGAAGGCAATGGCGGCATATCCGATCATCCCGACCCCGTAGGCAATCTGGCCTGTAGCCACCCACCAGATGTATGCGTATCCCGCTGACGCGCCGTGGAAGACGGTCGTGACCATCATGGTCGGCACGGCATAGGGGGCCTTGGGGTCGGAATCGTCCGTGGTGACGGGTTGCGCAATGGAGGTGGTCAAGGGCACGGACCCGGTGAGCATGACGGTGAGAACGGCGATGAGGAGTAGACTGAATCCCAAGCAGCGGGAGAAGTACGTTTCGAGCGCTGTTGCGGGTTAGCCATTGGCAGCTGGAGAGACAATCTGTCTGGCGGTTACTCACAGGAAGGATCGCGGGTTTCGGTCAATAACATTGTGGTCATCATCTCCGGCACAGCAATCAGAGCCAAGCTCTGGAGTCCAAGCCAGCCGGCTGTGGAGTAGGTGTAGGCGTAGAAAACCTGCAGCGCGCGGAATGGTTAGCTCTGTTGTATGGTTAGAGACCGGGAGAAGGACAGTCGTACATCCATGATGCGGAGGTAGGTGATGTCTTCTGGCGGTGTTCAATTGTGTTTCGGTTTGGGAACGTGTTTAAATTCTCTGGTGATCAAGTTGTTGAAGGTAAATGGAACCAGTATAGGCAGCAATTAGAGGTAGTTATAAGTTGTTGTAAGGCAGGGATCATTCCCCATGAGGTCATCGCTTGTTCAGCCCCGATGATGTCACCGCCGGTTTTTCCGCGGATTCAGCCTGGCTCTTTTTCTCTACGTATTCTTCTGTTGTCAATACAACAAAATTCAGGCGAAGAAATGAGAAAAAGCAAAAGGGGGAAAGAAGACGAGCTTGCAAGTTCCAAGTTCCAAGCTGGCAGTCCATAGGGCAGAGGCGGGTTGCTGCAGGTTGAACTGAGCTGGCACTACTACACCCACTGCCATCGGACCATGAACCCCAAGCATCTCCACCACAGCTATAATTCTGATCTGTTATTGTTCACGGTCAAGCCATGAAGAACGATCCATTCTTCCCAACGTGGACTAGATGGGTCTATGTTTGGAACTGGATCAAGTTGCAATTACCACACCCGAATCATCATTGTCTATGTAAATTGCCATGGCTAGATTCAAATCTCCACCATCAACGCCTTTTCAAACCCCCAGAGAAAGGAAAAACGTGCAAGGTCGACCCATGGTCAGGTATCACTGGTTGATGTTGCTCGCGCGCAGGTATCTGGCAAAGCTTAGATCCTGGTCGGAGGGCGCGGTGCCCTGTTCCGCCAGCGCGTCCTTGTAGCGCTGCGTAAGCCCTTCACTGTCCCCGGCACGAGGGATCCTGTAATCGTCTTCACTGTCCTCATCGTCATCCTGGTCGCCATTCCTGCGTGCCTCCTCTTCCTCTTCAGCCTCGCTAACCGTCTCGGCCTCGTTTTCGACCTTCTGCTTGCCCTTGCTCGAGCCGGAGACGTTCATATCCTTCATGAGCTTGCCCAGCTCGAGCTCGCGTTGCGCCGCCTTCGTCTCCTCACGCTCCTTCCTCTTGCGCTCCAACTCGGGCTTGTAGTCGCGTTCGAACTCCTGGCGCTTTTCTTCCACGGCCTCGAAGAATTCGTCAATACCTTCACCCGTCATGGAACTGACTCCAACCAGGTTCAGGTGTCGGTAGAACTCCTCCAACATTAAGCTCATGCTGTTGAGCAGCGAGCCCATGTAGCCACTTCCTGAACCGAAGCCACCCGCGGCGCCCTCGGTACCAAACGCGCCCGACTCTTCTTCCTCCCGCAGGGCCTTTTGGAAAGCATCGAAATCGGTCATCCACTCCTTGGCGAATTCGGCATCTTGGACATCAGTCTTGTTGAAGACAAGGATCATGGGCAACTTCGTCTTATATAGGATACTGCAGGCGTAGAGCATGTTGCTCATAAAGGTACTCGTGGAGCTGGCGCGGGGGGTGTCAATAACGTAGGCGATCACAGTAGGAAACGACGAGGCCAGAGTCTCGAGGAGGATGCTGCCGGAGGCACTCCACACGAACACCTCGATCTGACCAGGCGTGTCGACCAGGATGTGCTCGATGGGCTTCGCGGTCGGGTTGCTGGGGTTGGGAGCCGTGCGCTTCTCCAGCAACGAGATGATTTGATCGACTTTGGTGGCAAATAGATTGAGAGATGTAAGGATACCGCCGTTGGGTCCGAGGTTATACTGCTTCATAACCTCTCGATAGTTGATGGAGTCACGGATGTCGATGTTGCTCTCGAAAGGAACCGTGTGGACGGCGGGGTCAAGGTTGAGGACATAGGGGATGGTCTTCTTCGAGTGGAGGTAGGAGTTAATTCGCTGCATGAAAGTCGTCTTTCCAGAGCCTGAGTGAAACATACATCGGATTGATTAGATGCATCGTCAGTGAGGGGGATGATCGCCATGACACTTACCTGCCATGCCCACGCAGACAACGGCGACCGGAGACTGTGCCATCGTGACGATGAGGTAAAAGATCACTGAGTAAAGATCAAAAACAGGAAGGGAAATTAGAGCAATCCAGTCAGTGGGTGTCAATAGTTTTGGTTAACAAGGGTAATGATGGGAGGCAGAGTATCCGTTGGGACGGCGAGGCGTAGAAATTCTTTTGTCGCGGGGAATTGCAGGTGGAGTCCGTTTGGCCGGAAGCGTTCCAGACGTCATGGCGTTTCTCCGCCGCCGCCGCCTTTTTCCCTTGCTTCGCTTTCTCCCCTCCCAACAAGACGAGCTCTGCCTCGCTTTCATCCCAACACCATGGCGCTAGAGGATTTCGAAAAATCGCTAGCAGAGGAGCAGGAGAAGAGACGTGAGAGAAGCGATAAAGACAGACACCGCCACCACCGTGACCGAGACAGGGACCGCAGCCGCGAGCGCTCGAGGCACCACCGTCACCACCGCCGTTCATCCCGATCGAGAGAGCGCGACCACGACAGGCATCGCGAATCGCGTCGTAGCGACGATACTAGTCACCGACACAAACGCTCGCGCCATTCAACCGACCACGGGGACGATCGCGACCATGATCATAAGCGCCGACACAGGGATAGCAGGGACGAGGAAAGGAAACCGGCAGCCGAAGCAGCCGAAGTGGCTCAGGATGAGGCTCCCAAGCTAAAGCGAGATGCTTGGATGGAGGGACCCTCCAGTCTCGATATCGACTATGTCCAGCGGCGCTCGACCACGCGTTTGGAAGAGGAACCGAAACCCAAGATGCTTTCGGCAGACTACGAGCTGAAAATCCACGGTCGGGAGATCAACACCCATCTACGCGATCTAAAGGACGGAAAGGTGCTAGAGGAAATTGAGGAGAAACCCGCTCAGCATGAGGTTGACTACACATTTGGCGACGCGGGCTCGCAATGGAGAATGACCAAGTTGAAAGCTGTGTATAGGGAGGCAGAGGACACCGGATTGTCAGTGGAAGAGATTGCGGTTAACCGATTTGGAGATCTCCGCTCATTCGATGACGCGCGCGAGGAGGAGGCAGAGCTAGATCGCCGCGAAAGATACGGTGAAGGATATGTGGGCAAGGAGAAGCCCTCGGGCGAGCTCTTTCAGGAGCGGAAGCAACAGGAGAACGTTCACCGTGGCGCGCATGAGCACCTTCGCAGTCCTACCAAGGAGCTCAATGCTGAAGGACAAGGCAAACTAATGGAGACCGTCCCGCCTCAGAACACCACCCAGCATCTTGATTTGACAGCACTCAACCGACTCAAGGCTCAAATGATGAAGGCCAAGCTCAAGGGTGCGTCAGATGCCGCCGAGCTCGAGGAGCAGTACAATGCCGCCGCTGCTGCCATGGCCAACCGCAAAGAGTCAGACGTCGTGGTCTTGGGCGTCATGGAGAACCGGATGCTGGCTGGAAAGAGGAACGAAGTGAAGGCAGTTGAAAACAGACGAGGTCGCGAGCGAGGCAAGGTGGAAGACAACGATGATATGACCATTGAAGACATGGTCCAAGAAGAACGACGGACGCGCGGACAATATGGGGGAGACGGCCGTCGCATCGCGGAGAGAATTGCCAAGGACGCCAAATTCGAGGTGAGGGCTTCTACTAGCATATCGATATCACCCGCTAACATTTCAGCCAGAATGATCTCGAATACATGGACGACAATGCGTCCAAGCTTGCCCGTCGGGTGCACCGCTCCGAAATTGACATCAAGAATACCACGATAAATGAGCTGCACAAGATGAACAAGATTCTTGACAATTGTCCTCTATGTCATCACGAAGACACGAATACGCCTCCTATCGCGCCCGTCGTCTCATTGGCGACAAGAGTTTACCTCACACTCCCCACTGAACCCGAGCTCAGCGACCAATGTGCCACCATTGTTCCCATCCAGCACCGGACGAATCTGTTGGAGTGCGACGACGACGAGTGGGAGGAAATTCGCAATTTCATGAAGAGTCTGACACGCATGTACCACGACCAAGGCCGGGACGTGATCTTCTACGAGAACGCAGCCCAGCCCCATCGCAAGCGACACGCAGCGATGGAGGTGGTCCCCCTCCCTTATAGCCTCGGCGAGACATCCCCAGCCTTCTTCAAGGAGGCCATCTTGTCATCTGACGCGGAGTGGTCTCAGCACCGTAAGCTAATCGATACCCTTGCCAACTCTAAGAAAGGCATGGGGCGGAGTGCTTTCCGTCGCAGCATTGCCAAGGAGATGCCGTACTTCCACGTGTGGTTCAGTCTGGACGGCGGCCTGGGCCATGTGGTGGAAGATGAGAATCGCTGGCCGCGTGGGGACCTGTTTGCTCGGGAGGTCATCGGAGGGATGTTGGATCTGGGTCCGGAGGTGATCAAGCGGCAGGGCCGCTGGCAACGAGGCGGCGATCCCCGAGTGCCGGGGTTCCAGAAGCGTTGGAGGAAGTTTGACTGGACTCGAGTTCTTGTTGAGGGGTGATTTCGGTGTGAAATAATGGGGAGAGCTATGCCTTGCACAAAAGTCTAGTCACACGAGCTGGGACATGCAAATGAAAAATGAAGCATAACATAACACCTCACTTTGCTCTCACTTCGTGAGCCGTACGATACTTCATACAATATCCCCCTCCTTTCACTTCTCTTTAAATATCTGGTCTGATCTCATTTCTCTTCTCTCCACATCTCATCACATCCAACGCACCATCCTTCTTGAACATCCTGGATTCAGCTTCAAACCATTACAATCCAGTCAGTCCATCATCTCATCCTCCAAACCACACAAAACCCATCCAGTAAAATGACCCCCAAAGCCAACACCAGCCAAAAGCGCAAACGCACTCCGACCAAAGAGAAGGAATCCAAAAAACAGCGCAAGACAAAGAAAACCAAGACCCTCAAGACCAGCGCACCACCATCATCCCCGGACACCCAATCCCACGCCACCATAACACCCCCCCAAACCCCAACACCACCGCGGTCCTTCTCGGTCGAAACCCTCTCCCCCAGCGACAAAGCCGCCCACAACCGCCTGCAGCAGCAGATCCTCGCCGAGACCGAGATCCTGCACGTCTACCTCCGCAGCCTCCGCAACCGGCTCACGCAGACGCCCTCGCGCGACGCACAGTACGCGATCTGCAAAGCCAACGCCAAGGGCATCGCAGCGCAGTACGCGATCCTGGCGGACCTGAGAACGGAGCTCGAGTATTTCGGACGCAGCGTCGAGCTGCATGCGCTGGATGCGGCGGCGGCGGCAGCGAAGCACAAGACAACCGGCGAGCTGCAGAGTCCCAGCTGGGCGGAGGTGGTCGCGGCATGGGGCCAGCCGGTCGCGGATCGTGTGAGGCGCTACACCCATTCCGTTACCTTCTGCATGTCCCTGGCTTGGTTCGCCAAGCGGGGGTTCGAGTGGAAGACGGTCGCGAATCTGCTGGTGACGGCGGTGATCAGCCGGCTGGATGACTCCAGGCGGCCGAGTCAGCTGGCGCTGCTGACGGCGGATGCGGTCTACGCGAAGAAGGAGATCCCGCGGCCTGCGCCGGTGCTGGCGGCGAAGGATGTGCTGAGGGTCGGGTGTCGGTTGGATCGGTTCGGGTTGCTGGTGCCGCTTTCGGTGGAGGAGAGGGAGTGGGCGAGGTTCTTGTAGGTTCGTCTGACTTGGTCCGCATGAGTGAGAGGAATGCAACTATGAGCTTGGGGTTGTAGCAGGGGTTTTCGAGGGGTGATGATCGGTTTGTGACTATGGCCGGAGGATCATTGGAGAGGTAGAAATGTGCAAGCATTGAAACATGTCAAGCAGAAATATGGGCTATCAGGGCCAATGGAAGGCACAGACTCGCGCTTTTAAGTAAGGTCTCCTTCTGCAAAGTTTCCCAGCAAACAGCTTTCTTGTCACCCCTGTCATGCATATTTATTGATTTGAAGAAAAGCTCACAATGCAAATCACAAGACAGTATGAGAGGCATATACAATCTAGTTCGGCCTATTCGAATATGGCATGTGTGGAGCGTTGATAGTACGCCAGCCTTAAAGTGTTCTATGCGAGCATGCCGATAGGTTAGAACATTCCCTGCAAAAAGCCAATCGTGGACAACTGGGTACTAGTAGGTATGTATCTACCTGGAGAGGAGTGAATCTGACTTCATGCAGGTACAAGACACTGGCATTGTTGTCAGCAATTGTGAGCCAATGGAAAAACATCCTGCATCAGCATTGATCAGCCGGGATGGGCAGATCAACGGGGCCAACGTTCTCCCACCCGAACCATGTGCCCGGGAGTTTAGAAGGATTAGCCATGACACTACTATCAAATCGCATGTCCGCTACAAGAAAATACATGAACCGCTTGAACTTTCCTACGGCACTCCAACAACATCGGCCAATCTGCCTCAGAGCATGCGACCAAGTCCCGGAATCTTCTCCGAGCCCTGACAAAGAGCAAAGCCAATAGGGCCTGTCTGATTACCATTACCATACAACCAGAATGCGAGAATCTAGCAAAGACCCTTCTCCGGTTGACTTATACTCTCACAGAGGAAAAACAATTGAGTTCTTCTCAGATCGCGTCTCAAAGTACCACGGTCCACGGACCTCCTTGAGTCAGGCAAACCAGGGGCCCCCGGCAACTTATTGGACATGTTTGATGACCCTTCAGATAGTGTACCTGAGCAGCCCATGGAACAGCCGATGCCAATGGAGCAGCCCAATGGGAGGCCCCACCCCGAGTTCAAGTTTCAGGGCCCGCACGCAACAATTGGCCTCACCAAGAATTTCATTTCCTCGGACCACACGCACAGGACCTAAACACAGTCCAATCCACCGGCGAGGCTGATGAGACGACACGACGACGGGGGGGGGAATGAGAGCCAAGTATCGCAAAGTCAAATTGGCCGCAGTAGTTCAGGAGTTCATGTGTGATGGGTTGGAGGCGCAAAACTCTTCCTACCGGAACAGGCATGGTGTGTCAGCGCTAGGACTGCTATCTGGAGGCTCCCATTGGCCGGCTCGCTAATGACGTCACTGACACCTGAACCATACGCTTTGCGGACTAGCGGGGGATGCGATGGGGATGCTTGGCGCTGCGATATACTCCTGCACCGAGACCCCGAAATAGACATTTCGAGCTGCATGAGTGGAGGGCAACATAAACAGAGATTTCAGCTGGGGAGGAGGGGAGGGCAGAAGAAGGAATTGAGGGTATATAAGCATGCGACCCTCGCGGATCCTGGGAGAAAGCATCCCAGACCAAAGCATTCATTCTCTTTGCGCATCATCCAGTCATTCGTTTGATTCGTCTTTACTATACGCTCTTTTTGTTGCTTGTCGATCACTACTTGTGTGTTGTATCACTGAGCCTATATACCTATACTTCACTTCTGGATATACACTAAACTTCCTTCATTCCTTCACAAAGTGAGTACACGTCCTTCAGCCTCCGGGATCTCTTCCCTCACTTATGTACAATGATCACCAACACTAACCACCACAACCCCCCAGTCACACACACAACCATTCACAATGATCGACAAATCCGCCATCATCGTCTTCGTCATCCTGGGCTGCGTGGTCTCCGTCCTCATCGGATACTCCATCCACTCTGTCGCCACGGGCGGGTTCCGCAACGACGAGCAGGAACGAGAATTCTCCCACGAACAGCGCTCCTACATGCGGGAGTTGCGCCTCCGCGACATCAACTGGATGGCACGCGACAATGGCCTGCGATACAACCCGGAGCCGCCCCGCGATCTGGAGAAGCAGTGACACATAATGGTTGCTTAGAGCGTTTGGTGCATTTTCGGAGTTCAGCATTCAGGTGTTTGGTTTTTTGGGTTGGGGTGCAGTGGGAGTTGTGTCGTCTGCAAGATGTTTCTGTTTTGGGATGAGTGTATTATAGTTTATTGGATATATGATTGTGTTGGGCGATAACTTGTTATATTCTGTCAAACTGCCAGGTGGAATCTTGGATATACTTAACTTTGGAGATGGGGAGCAATAGACACCATTGACTATTGTGACCGAGCTGAAGAGGTCCTTACCTGCGAACGTTCAGTAACCCAATATAGTGAGCAATTCTTACCTTATATCGAGAAATCAAGCTCCTACAATTTGTCCGCCTAGTATATTCAGGTATCCCTCATCCTGCACAGATGCTGCAGTGGTCTACCCCAGTGCGCCGAGAGATCTACACGGAAATGAAGAATGCCGCGATCTATATCTCCAGCATGCTCAGCCTGCCCACCATCGTGAAGGAGTGCTGATAATTGTGGTATAGATCCAGCCCAAACTTTACAGAATTACCACTCATACTTCCAATAAGCATCAGAATCATCAGGATAAATGCCTGGGGGTCGTGCATACGCATGATAGAACGCCGAGTGGTACGACTCCATCTCAATCCTCGCGTACAGAGAACCAAGACGCTTCGACCGCGCATACATCCAGCCCAGAAGCGGCGCCCTCGATCCTTCCACCTCCTCAAAAAACGTCAGCAGACTCTCATCTTCGGGCTCCCACTCCTCCTCACTTGGTTCATCTGGCGGCTGTTTGTGGGTCTCTCCATCCGTCCACTCCCCCCGGTAGAACCCCCGATACTTGTCTAGCGTCCAGTCCCGCTCCAGCACGATGATTGGAGCACCGTAATGCTCTCCGTCAGTCTGCGCCGCCTTGAATTGCTCCAGACAGTAATCATCGACAATCAGGCACATCCGGTACTGCGGAGTGTCCGCATCTCGCATTGCCACCGCGCCGGGTCCGTCCCGTTCTTCGGTGGTGTTGGAGACCCAATCTGCAAAGCGGGTGCGGATAGCATCGCGGGTCGCAGGGCCAATTCCCGGTCCGCCATCCCCGTTCTTGTCCAGGATGGGCACGTCGGGCTGGATGACTGGGCAGTAGAACCGGGGGAACAGTGCATTGGTCTGAACTGGACTAAGCTGAGCTTGCTTAGTGCGGACATTCTCAAATCCCCGGAAACTTTTGTAGACTCCGCGGTACAAGCTGAGGAGGTAGGCGGACCACAGATTCTCCTTGTCCTCGGCGCTGCTGGGGGAGGTGGAGAAAACTCTGAAAATTGGGAACCCCCATGTCCTGCCATCGTAACGCTGCAGAAGCCTGGAAATATAGGTCAAGTAGTTCTCTTGATTCCGACGCAGAAGGTCGGGAGGAAAGTTCAGGGGGACATCTGTGAGAGGAGGACCTTTTGGGATGGTGACGCAGTCGATGTCCTCCTGGGGGATGGTAAACCAGGGGTGGAAGAGGTGTCGTTGGATTAGTGGGCCATGCAGACGGGGAATGAGGGTGGGCTTCCTCAGGACTGTCCAGGGGCGGGGCAGGCGCATTGTAGCGAGTCTGTCACGTTGGGTTCTCGAGACACAAAAAGAATAGCGAGAAATTATACAGGTCGAGACCGGGCGGGAATGGTTTCAATATTACTATATTGTACTGTACCTGCCAGGTGGTGCTTATATTTACAGTAGGTACCTAGATCTATGCCGGTTCGAGGCCGCTCTTGCCCGTTAAGGGCTAGCGCCACCCGCACCTGTGGGGCGAGCATGAGCGACCAGAGTGACGCTCCAACCCGTCGCAGTTCGCAACAAACCCACCCAAGGCCTGTCCGAACCGCCTCAAACTCCATCAACTCTCACCACTTTTCCTTCTCACGCTCAATCTTAGCCTTCTTTGGTGAGAACTGGGCTGACACACGACAGCATGGCAGAATACTGGAAATCAGCAGTAAGCTTCCTTTCCCCTTCCTCCCTTCCTCTCAGCGCCCTCCGTTGCCCTTCCAAAAGCTCAAACTAAGCCACCTACTAAACTAACTCAATCTCTGCGAAGCCAAAATACTGGTGCAAGCAATGCAAGATCTTCATCCGCGACACTCCCTTCGAAAAAGCCCAACACGAAGCCACGGGCAAGCACCAAGGGAACCTCAAACGCTTCCTCCGCGACATCCACCGCAACAACGAGCAGCAGCAGCGCGAGTCGCAGCGCGCCAAGAGCGAGGTTGAGCGGCTGCGGCAGACGGTCGCGGGACTCAATGACCCCAGCAAAGGTGGCGATGCCGCAGGGGCACCGTGGCGGCAACGAGAGACCCCCAAACCCCAAGAGAGGCCGGTGTCGATGGAGGAGCGGAAACGGCAGATGGCGCAGTTGGCGGAAATGGGGGTGGCGATTCCGGACGAGTTCCGCGGGGAGATGGCCTTAGCGGGGACGTGGCAGACTGTTTCGGAGAAGGTGATTGATGGTGGGGAGGAGGGCGGTTCGAAGGCGGGGAGGTCGGTGGGAGTGCGCAAGCGCAAGTTGGAGGGTGGTTCTGGTGGTGGTGGTGATGCTGATGTTGATGAGGAGGAGGTGGAGGCGAAGAGGGAGGCGGAGAGGTTTGTCTCGAAGGGTTGGGGGTCGTCGGTTAGGAGGTATCCTGGGGCCAAGGAGGAGGACACGGATCTGGATGCGCTGCTGGCGTCGACGAGAGAGATAAAGAGGGTGAAGCCATCGGAGGTCAAGGCGGAAGCGGACGTGGATGCGAATCCGAGAACCCAGCAGGATGCAGAGCCCGCGGGGAAGGAATCAACCAAAGGCCACTTCGTGCCGATCAAGTCGGAGGGAGAAGGGCAGCCTGCAGAGTCGGGTGAAGCACCTACTGTCAAGGAGGAGCAGGCAGGGGGTGATACATCGTTGGAAACTGTACCGAAAACCGAGGCTGAAGAGCCAGCTGCTGGAGTTGTGTTCAAGAAACGCAAACCGAAGGTCATGAGGAAATGAGTGTGACACTCAATTATGCGATGGAACAGTTCAAAGGGCTGAGACGCCCTTGCTGAGGGAATTCGACGCCTGATCTACGATGCAATACGCATGCTGTCACTGGATGTTACATCCAGGAGTACACCAGCTGCATGAAATGTCTCAGCTGCAAATGGCATCAAGAGGGGCTCACTACAAGAGACTCATTAATGGTCACGGAACAAACCTCCACATGTACGTTGATGCCAAACAGCGTAACGGTGCTGATCTGGTTCATCTCGGGAGGTTCATCCATGAGCCTCGGGAGTGTTCTGGCAATTGGAGGAGCTCGGCGGGAACAGCAACTCCAATTGAACACCCAGACAACTGCAGATTTAGCCTTGGCGGGCAACTGAAACCGCATCACCAGAGCCGCACCCCATCTGTAGATATTACTTTTTCCAGTTATTGACCAAGCCAAAGCCTCGAAAATAGCTTGATGGTTTGAACAATTCACTTGAATTGGGTGGTGCGCAGATAGTAAATAAACAGCGCGCTAGAAATTACCGAAATGAATAAACTCAACTAAGAATACTGCAGAAATCCCAAAAGAACACAGAAACTAGATGTTAAGGAGAATGATAAGAATCACATAGTAATGGTTGTACAGTACCTTGTCAGTTGTTGAATATGGATTCAAGTCTGGTTGCCACTGACTGACTGACCACCGACCGTTGGACCCTTCCCTTTTTTTTTTGCATCGAATTTTTCTGCCCGTATTAATTTTCCCCGTCGGCGTAGTCGGCGCAGACCAAACCAAGAGTCCGGGGACTGACTCTCACTCACTCACTCACTCACTCAACTTCTTCTCTTTCTCCCTCTCTCTCACCCTCTCACTATTCTTTCGCGGCCCCGAAGCTCTCGCGCTCTCTCTGCCTCGCTCGTTTATCTGCGCAACAGCCTTTTCCTGTCGCATTCCCATTTTCCCCCTCCCACCCCCAAATGCGGAGATTATTTGGTGCCGCATTGCGTGTTTTGGTGCTATAGTCATTCGGCTCGCTTCTTTTCGCTTATCTGGCCCAGTGCATGGTGAGTAAACGAGAGCTTCTTCCCATTTGCTTGTCCCGATCCCTCCCCTCTGGCAGCCCCCCCGACACGCGCTCGACCTCTGTCTGCCTCGGTCATTGTGACTTGTCGACTCGCCGGTTTGTTTCTTCGACCGGGGTAAATTACTACCGGACTCGCATGGTATCTCGACCTCCGCCAGTGCACCATGTACGATTCTTCCGCCGTGGCAGTGCCGTCCTGGTAGGATCCGGGGAGGCTCTAGACGGTCGCATCCAGCGTTGCCCGGTCTGACAAGGCTGCACTGCCTCTTAGGACACAAGATGAAAGAGCTTGGATATTTGGACGGGGCTTGGTCAGGTTAGGGGACGGTAGCCAACGCATCGTGGATCGTACCAGCACCCTCCGTATGCGGACAATTTTCGAGGGAATCGCGTCGGAACTCGACACCCCGACAAATGCGCGAGCCAAAAGAACCGACCAGTCTCGACACCAACTGTTTGATACGAACAGCCATGATGTCCAAGGGTTGCCAGAGTGTCGTTGGGTCGCGTTAATCGGAATCAGCCCACTAACATGCTTTACCTTTTGAGTTAGAGAAACAGCACCCATCGGCTCCGCATTCCCTGCAAAGTCTTTGCTAGCGGTAAAAGTCATCCGTGGCCGACCTCGACCCGTCCGACAGACCGGAAAGCCTTTCCAAGGCTCGAATACATTTATTCTTATCGTACGCACGGGTGACAGAGGTGTCGAACTCTTATTGAGATGGCGGAGCCAACAGATTCGACGAATCCAGCAGAGGAGGCGCCCAAGCCGGCTCCCGAGCCGACTGAGATGCCTTCTGCTGAGCAGCCCTCTGCTCAGATGCCTCCTGCTGAAATTCCTCCTCCTCAAATACCTCCCGCTGAGCAGCCCTCTAATGGGCAGCCTGCCTCTGAACAGCCTCCTCATCAGCAACCCCCTCAGCAACAGCCTTCCCCTCAGCAGCCGCCCCATGAGCAGCCTATACATGAGCAGCCGCCCCACGAGCAGCCTCCCTATCAGCAGGCCCCTCATCAAGAATCTCCCCCTCAGCAACCCCCTCCTCAGCAGCCTCCTGCCGAACAGCCTCCCCTTGAGATGCCCTCGGTTCAGATGCCGTCAACTGAGCAGCACAGCAGCGAGCCGCCAGTAGACCACGCGCTTCCCCATATCGATACCTCACTCCCTCCAATCGATACGACTCTGCCAGCGATGGAGGAACACGAACGTCTCAGTCATGAACTGCCCCCAATCGATACGACGATACCGTCGCTTCCTCCAATCGATACATCTTTACCCCCGCTCGACACTACGCTTCCAGCTACGGACGGGCTTCATACCGAGGAACCCGATTTCTCGTTCCCGGAATTAAAACAAAGTGACACCGATGGCCATGGGGTGGACCATTCACACCCACCAGGAACGAATGGTTTCGACTTTCCCGATCACACGCCCCATTCCTCGACCCCCGCTCCCTCCTATCATCCTCCAGTGAACGACACGCATTCGCAGCAGCCCGCTCAGCAGGAGCACTCTCATTTGTCCCACCACACACATCAACATCAGCAGTCCCCACACCCAGGTCAACCGCCGCAACCCCATAACCACTACGAGCATCAATACTCCCACAACCAACATCATCCGCAGCAGCAGCACACGCCATCGCAGCATGGATCGCCATCTCAACACCAGCAAGGTCCGGGGCAGTCGACACCGACACAACCGCACCAGCAACAGCAACAGTACCAGCAGCACCAGAGCTCGGACATGTATCACAACCACCAATCCATGAGTGCGCCGTCGATGCAGACCATGGATCACCATTCGATGCAGGGACAGCACTCCCAAATGCCACAGGCCCCCATCGGTTCGCCCATGCCCTCAAACATGCCTCCGATGACGTCCGTTGGCCAGTACATGACGGGATACCCTACCAATGTTGGTCAAATGGGGATGAATGCCAACTCCCAGATGCGTTACCAGCTTCCGGGTGACCCTAACAAGATGTTGTCGGGCGGGAGACACAAGAAGGAGGTTAAGCGTCGGACGAAAACGGGGTGCCTAACGTGTCGTAAGCGACGAATCAAGGTATGTGCATTTGTGCAAGAATAGCATGTGTGATCTTTTTGATCGATAATGTGTGTTCTGTCGTGAGGGTTATTAATGTGGGGGAGGAAGAGGAGGGGAGGTGAAACTGAACTGCAAGGAGGGCGGGCGGGCGGACAGACAATGGCAGGCGGTCGCAACAGGCGAGTGTTCGCTTGCGCCGCCGCAAATGTTTGTTCGGCTCGCCGAACCCCGCCTGTCGCTTGTTGTTGTTCTCGCCCACTCACCACTGTTGCTGCTTTCCTCCCCGCCTAACTATTCACGCTCACATTTATTTTTTGATACCCTGAGCGGTCACTTCTTTGTGTCACTCTATACTCTTTTTGTTCTTCTTCTTTGACCTCTCCTCTGTGGATTTCGGGTTTGTACCCTTCATCGATATCCCCGCTAACTAATTAATGCACACTAGTGTGACGAGGGTCATCCTGTCTGTCGGAACTGTGTCAAGAGTAAACGGGAATGTCTTGGTTACGACCCCGTGTTTAAACAACAAC